CGAATATAACTGATGTTGTTCTTTATACTTTTGTCATCCAAATCTAGAAGTGATCACTTTCCACACTAGTAACAAAAGGCACTCTTGTCTTTAACGTTTACACTTCTATTTTATCGAGGTAGCAAACTAATTTAAACTTAAAATCTCTTTCTAAAAAACAAAAACAACTGTTGGATACAACCCTCTCATAGCTCAACTGTAGATAAAACTCGGCAAAAAATGTAAATAACTCACGAAAGCTCTCATAGCTCAACTTTAGATAAAACTCTGCATTCTCCGGTGAACTCTGTTCACGCCAAAAACAAACTAAAAAACAAAAAAAACTCCCTTTTTCTGTATGTAATTTAAACCGTGATCACTGAAATATTGTTGCTTCTTTACTTTTGTCATTTATCAGCCTGAAATTTGTCAATTTCAAAGCTTTTGTAACAAAGGCCTCTTTAACACATTTCCCTTTTTATGGCTTTTCTGTTTACACCATGGTTTCTCTATTCTTATGGGCCTCTAACCTTCTGTGGGACTCTAACCCTTCTGTGGGACTTTAACCCTTCTGTGGGACTCTAACCCTTCTGTGGGACTTTAACCCTTCTGTGGGACTTTAACCCTTCTGTGGGACTTTAACCCTTCTGTGGGACTCTAACCCTTCTGTGGGACTTTAACCCTTCTGTGGGACTCTAACCCTTCTGTGGGACTTTAACCCTTCTGTGGGACTTTAACCCTTTTCCTCTGCAGGTAGCTAACTTCTCTTCAATACAATCTTATCTATAGATACAAAATTTGGCAGACCCCAAAAACAGACCACAATTTAGCTTACTCAATGAGGCAGACTTTGAATTAACAGGTGTCCGCTTACCTTATTCTTGTCAAACAGGTGTGCACGGGCTGTCCGAGAGGTCTGCCAACTCTTTTTCGCGTCGGAAAATTCAATTTAAACACAAAACAGAGAAAGTGAGGGAGCAAGAGCAAGCCCATCCAAAAGCGAGCCCTTTCAGCGTCCACTGGGATTTCTCCCCTTCCAGATAACGTGCTGTTGCTCCCACACGCCGAAAAAAAGAAACAGAGGAAATTCCCTCAAAACAATCCAGAGAATGGCACACACGGAGCCGCGCATTCTCCACCAAATCTGTTAGGATTTAGGCAGACAGAGACGGATCGTGGTGTGCCAAACTCTGGAAGTTTATTTAAGTTTCTCTCTCAAGTTCCACTGGTTTACTCTGTTTCTTTCTCTCAGACAGAATAAAGGCAGTACACAGTTTATATAGTCATTGTCACGTCACACATCGAAAGACATACGTGTCACAAAGAGACAGTCACATCATAGTCATAACATGGAGTCCTTGTAGAGTCCTTGTACAGTCCTGCACGTAGGCCATATTGCTATCTAATACTAATACACCCACAAAACTAATTTAAACTTAAAATCTCTTTCTAAAAAACAAAAACAACTGTTGGATACAACCCTCTCATAGCTCAACTGTAGATAAAACTCGGCAAAAAAATGTAAATAACTCACGAAAGCTCTCATAGCTCAACTTTAGATAAAACTCTGCATTCTCCGGTGAACTCTGTTCACTCCAAAAAACAAAAACTCCCTTTTTCTGTATGTAATTTAAACCGTGATCACTGAAATATTGTTGCTTATGTACTTTTGTCATTTATCAGCTTGAAATTCGTCAATTTCAAAGCTTTTGAAACAAAGGCCTCCTTAACACGTTTCCCTTTTTAAAAATTGCTTTTATTATTACACCATGGTTTCACTTAGGCCTTTTCACTTATGGATCCTATACACTTTATGGCCAACACTTTTTGGATCCTATACACTTTATGGCCTTTTCACTTATGGATCCTTCACTCACTTTATGGCCTTTTCACTTATGGATCCTTCACTCACTTTATGGCCTTTTCACTTATGGATCCTTCACTCAATTTATGGCCTTTTCACTTATGGATCCTTCACACACTTTATGGCCTTTTCACTTATGGATCCTCACTTATTTGAACACAATTTAGAGAGTTCGACAGACCTCAAAAACACACCCAAATTTAGCTAGTATCCAATTATGCAGACTTTACATTTAAAAAGGTGTCTGCTTACCTTATTCTTGTCAAAGAGGTGCGCACGGGCTGTCCGAGAGGTCTGCCAACTCTTTTCCGCGTCGGAATCTTCAATTTAAAAAACAAAAGTGACAGAAGCGACAAGAAGCATCCAGGAACAGCTCTTCCAGCCTGCTGGAATCTCCACTCCCAGACACAGCATGCCGATCTCTCACGCAGAGGAAAAGAAACAGAGCAAGCTCCCCCAAAACAATCCAGAGAATGGCACAAACCGAGCCGCGCATTCTCCACCAAATCTGTTAGGATTTAGCAGACAGAGACGGATCGTGGTGTGCCAAACTCTGGAAGTTTATTTAAGTTTCTCTCAAGTTCCACTGGTTTACTCTGTTTCTTTTCCTCAGACAGAATAAAGGCAGTACACAGTTTATATAGTCATTGTCACGTCACACATGGAAAGACATACGTGTCACACAGAGACAGTCACATCAGAGTCATAACATGGAGTCCTTGTAGAGTCCTTGTAGAGTCCTGCACGTAGGCCATATTGCTATCTAATACTAACACTTCAAATGTCAATAACATGAGGGACAGTAGGATAAGAAAGAAGGTACTATAATGAATTAGGACGCAGCCCTAAGCCTTTAGTATTTATTTAGTGCTGCCAGGGAAAGCCAACATATTTTCATTGTGTCTTTAAAAAAAAAAAGATAAAATATATAATATTGAATGATGTTATTATTATTTGATGCCACGTAGCCATAGCGCCCTCTTGTGGTACAATATTTGTGTGGAAACTAATACAATGTGCAATGACAAGACTACCACTTGGCATATGATGAATTCTTCCATCACTCTATACCTTTGTGTTTTGCAGTTTGAGCCATGGCTACTTCATCTTCTACTCAAGATGAACATTTTTGGCATTTCCTAAGGAGCAGGGGTATTCCTGAAGAAAACGTAAAGAAAATGCAGCAGGAGCGGGTGAGCTTGTATAACAACTCTTTTTGAACAGATCAATCCACTGTTTGGAAACATTGCTAGCTATGCACGCAGCCTGGCCTTAACGTATGGCCGTTAGTCTTTATTTATTTATTTAGGATCCCCATTAGTCCATATTAGAGACTGCTCTTCCTGTGGTCCATCGAGGCTTGCCATGCAACGCAGCTGCATTATCTGTACAATTTTGCTAATATTACTTTGAAAAGCTCAAATATTACGGCTCCCAGATCTTATGTGCAATTTCTGAATGGAGCCTAATGTTAGTGTCTTGTTCAGTGTACTTGTATTTAGTTGAGAAGCACAGTAAGTTTGTGAATTAAATCTAACATCTTGGCATGAATTAATTTGCGTTGTTGTTATTAAAAATGATTTCTATTCTCAAAGGGATTTCCAATCATTTGTTTCTGTTACAGATTGATTCTTCAGTTGTTGGGGAGTTGGATGATGGAACTTTGGCAAATTATGTTCCAGCATATGGGGATCGAATTGCTTTAAGGCGCTTCTGTGTTGAAAACCAACAAAAAGGTTGCAGTGATGCAAGAAAAATATCCTTATTGGAGAAACTTAAAAGAAAAATGGCAAGGCAAGGCAAGGCAAGTTTATTTATATAGCACAATTCATACACAAGGCAATTCAAAGTGCTGAACAAAACAAGAAAGCATTAAAATCATAAATTATCACAGAACATTAAAAAGAAAGATAAAAATATAAAATCCCTGTATGCACAGTTAAACAGAACCGTCTTTAACCTGGTTTTAAACATTGTCAGAGAGGAGGCCTGTCTCACATCTTCAGGAAGACTGTTCCAGAATGGGATCAAAAACAAGCAATCATTTAGAATCCGATGAAGAACCATCTCTGCAGCCTGCACCAACACACCTACGGAAAAACAAAAGGGCTTGGAAGACAACAAGGAAAATAGAGGTTGGATGGATACATGACAAAAAAAAGGTTAGAAAACGAAATGGTGGAGGAACTAGGATCATTGACATATCCAAGAAAGCGACGGCAAAAAAGATTTTATCACAAGCCAAGGATTTATTTTTTCCCAAAAATGAATCAAAGATAGGCATGTGGGAAGAGTTTATTCCCTCCATTGTTGACTTCCAGGAATCACCCCTCGATGAGAATGTTACAGTGGGAGAACTTTATGAAGCACATAAATTCGGTATACTACGCTTTTATTTGTCAACTCAGACGAATGCTGATGCAATATCCCAAGAAAAGGAGGAAGATCTTCACAGTCACACAATTGTTAACGTTACACAACAAGTAATGCAAGGAGACAGTTGTGATGAGCATTATGTCGCCTCATTTTTACCATCTTCTATATCAAGAGAAGTTGATATTGTGGACCTTACATCGATTTGTGACACGTCTGAAGTTATCATTGGTGCTACGCAAGGAGCAGTCATAGGATATCTTGATGATACAGTTCCACTTGAGGCCATAATGACTGATGAACCTCCAGATAATGCAGCACCAAATACCTCGACTCCCATAAGATTTGAGAGTGGGCCATGTCACCTGCCTGCTGTTCCAGTGGAATTGATGCATGTTACAATACATTTCACAGAGTGAATTTGTTAGAAGAGCTGATCACACAATTTAAAGATGAATTGGTGTTGACCTGCCCAATTAAATACAGCTTTATTGATGAAAAGGGTTCAGATGCTGATGGAGTGTCCAGGGATGTGTATGCTGCCTTCTGGACTGAATTTTTAGACTGTGCTGCAGAGCGAGCGGATGTAAGAGTGCCTTCCCTGTCGCCAAAATGGCAGGAAGAAGAATGGCGTTCCGTAGGCAGAATCCTGATCAAAGGTTTTCAGGATCATGGATATTTTCCTGCTCGTCTTGCTCCAGCATTTTCTGCAGCTGTTATATTTGGCGAACACTCAGTGTCCCCTGATCTTTTGTTTGACTCACTTTTGTTATACTTAAGTCAGTCAGAGCGTGATCTCTTGGCAACTGCTTTGAAAGACAGTTTGGTTGGTGATGATCGAGATGAGCTCCTTGATATCATGGATCGGATGGGAGTGCGGACGGTACCAACACCAGATAATCTGAAGCCTATTCTCCTCCAAGTCGCACACAAACAAATAATTCAGCATCCAAAATATGCACTGGATAACATTGCTACAACAGCAGGACCCCGTCTCAGGGAGATGTTTGGAAGTATCCAGGAACTACAGAAAATGTATGATGATTTAAAACCAACAACACGCAAAGTTTTGAAGTTACTCACAGCCTCTCCGTCGACTCAAGCTGAAAACCAGAGTTTGAAATTTTTCCATCAGTATGTAAGGGGATTGGATGACATGGGCCTGAGAAAGATGTTAAGGTATGTGACTGGCTCCGATGTAATCTGTGTCAAAGAAATTGAGGTGATATTTACAACTTTAGATGGGTTAGAAAGGCAACCCATCATACATACCTGTGGTCCAACTGTGGAGCTACCATCAACCTACAACAGCTTTCCTGAGTTGCGTGCAGAGCTGGAGGCTCTCTTGTACTCCAACATCTACACAATGGACATTATATAGATTTGAAATGCCATAACTCCTAAAAATATGTACATGTGTTTACATTGTTTTTGTACAGCTGTGATTTTAAAGGAGTAAAGTAATTGCTATTATTTTGGTTAAAGGCTTGTTAGCCACTTGGATATTCCCTGGCTAGTGCATTATTTCTATTCTTTGGGAAGTGTTCATGTATTTGAAAGGAATACCTTGAATGTTAAATTCAATAATTGTTACAGCAATAAGAAGTTTGCCTGTGAATGTAATGACAATGTCAGGACACACGTAATTGATTATTATTTTTTTTTTTTTAGTATTGATGTCATGTAAAGAAACAAAACGAATGTTTGGGACTTTTTACAGGTTCATTGTAGTCCCCTCTGCACTTTTACCTTCTTCACATGTTAAAAATAAAAAAGACACTGTTTACACTGTCTTGTAAAAAACATGTGTCCATGTTGAAGTTAATGGTGAGACATTTTGCAGGTTTTCTTTATCAAATGTGGATATAAATGTAAGCACGTAAAAACCTGTAAAGCTCAATAGATTCCTCTGCTGTTGTGGGTGGTTTAAGATTGTTTTCTGCCATGGCATAGCAACAAATGTCAAATACTGTTTTATCACATGGTAATGGGCCTCTCTGGAGGCACTCTTCTTGGCAGGCCTGGATCTTTTCATGGGAAACGGCTTTAAGGTGTTCTCTTGCACCATACAGATGAGGTAGAATGTACATCATCACAGGACGTCCTGCTGGAGCTGCTGCATGCCTGGATCGACGAATTCTGTGGGTATTCCAGAGGTGGACAATCTCCTGCAGCTCCTTCTACAAATATAAAATGTTTGTATGGGCAGTTATGATAAAAGCAACACATTGCAAACTTCACTTATTCATATTTCGTTTTGATCTTAACTAAATTAAACATAACTATCCCATAACATAAGAGAAAGGAATTAGATTTATTTATAATAATAATGGATCGGTTTTATATAGTGCTTTTGTGGACACTCAAAGACGCTTTACATGTCATTATCCATTCACTCCATACACGGTGGTGATGAACTTCTACAGTAGCCACAGCTGCCCTGGAACACACTGACAGAAGCGAGGTAACCAGTCTGTGTCATCGGTGCCTCCGACCACCACCATTGATCAAGTATCATCTTAATTTCACTATGCACCTTATATGTATGGATGATTTTGAGTGCCACAATTAAATACTCATGAAATAATTTGTTTTAAATACATAACATTTTAAATAGACAATTGAATGTACTAATAATTAACTATTTATGGTGTCACTCCGACTATATGAGGTGGCAGAAATTATTTTTGTAGAAATACATTTCAGTAGTCTTTACTGCTTGAATTGTATGTAATTTCTAACAAATATTCTCTTTAGATCAAACACTAGGGGGCGCAGTGCCACCTTTAATATCGCCAGTAATAATAACACGCACCCATCTATCCTAAAACTATTTAACAGAATTGTTGAATACATTTACCTCTATTAACTCAAGGCATGTGAACTGGACGAGATTTTTGTCCAGAAAGTCACCAGAGAAGTAGCCCGTCTCCTTTAGATCCTGAAATACATTCATCCAATACTGTGCGTGTTGCTTCCTTAGAAATCCCCACCACTGTTCAATGCGCTGATTGTGATTACTTGATCCCGTCAGGTAACTTCTCGTTGAGAAATCATCTGTGTGTTCATTTCTGAGGAAAACTTGCATCTGTCCAACATGACAGTTCTCTGTGCCCAGATTGGATCGTATTCTTGTGGCAGTTCCATTGCGTGATGACACCTGATTGATAAAGTATCCGGCTATTACCTTTGGGTCGCTGTTAGTGGAGAATGCATGTAACCATATCACCAGTCTTGAAAAGCCGTCCACTGCACCGTTTATGCAGATTCCATAGGGTTTAAGCTTGTCGTAAGAATCTATGTGCCACAAAAAGTTCGGTCCTGGGTTCTGATATATACGGCGGTGAAGACGATTTCTGCGTCTCAGCTCTACACCACATGGATCCAATATCTTTAGGAGGCGTCTGATTGTCTCTTGTGTCACAACGTATCCTGCTTGAATGCATTTCAGATGCATCATTTTGTAACCATGGAGTGAGCCGTGCTGCCCTTACCAAAAAGAAGTACATTCAAGTATACTTGGTAGTATACTTAAAAAGAATATAGTATACTTCAAGTTTACTTTCACTGTACTTATCAGAAGTATACTTCACCTAGTAAATTTTTAAGTATACTAATAAGTATACTTATATATATACTTATATCAAAGTTTACTTACATTTAGACTATACTTGCACTTAGTATACTTAAAATTTACTTAAAGTATACTAATAATTATTTCAATATTGTACTTGTATGTGTACTTATTCAAAAGTTTACTTACATTTAGACTATACTTGTACTTGACTGTACTTACCAGAAGTATACTTTGCCAAGTAAAGTCTAAGTACATTAAAAATTAGGCTATAGTATTATACCAACATATACACTTAGACTAAAGTTTACATTTAGATAATACTTGCACTTGAGGTTATCTTATTAAAAGTTTAAATATTAAACTATTTGCATGCATCTTTTTGATTGTATCCCTTTTGATATATTTTCACATTTGCTGGATTGTTTTATACTGCAAGATGGTTAAAATCTGATCTGATCTTTGTCAGTTCTTTTTTTTGCCAAAAGGTCAGCATGTATGTGGCTTAAGACTATAGCCTAAGTAAACTCCTAGTCTACATAGTGTCATTATAACCCTTTTATTTCAAACATCGTCCGGCCCTTAAATAGTACACAAAACCACCTACTTTCTAACGATGGAAAAAAGGAGAACAACAACTTTTCAGGTAGTTTAATGTTCCCATTTTATGAGCATCAATAAAGACAATGAGCTCTTTCAGTCCCGTTCATATGGATTTGGCAGAGGTACAAAATACAGTTTATCTGTCTCAACGACGACACATTTCTTTAATATCGTCTCAGGCCAAATTGCATACACGTTTCCAGTCTTCTTAACTTCGTGAATGAAAGTACTCTCTACATTAATCTTTGAATCGTTACACAATGGCCTGTTAGATTTACTCAGCTCCTCTACCAACACACAAGAATGTTTGATACATGCACAGTATCCCGGGTTTTCATGTGCACACTTTTCTTTAAAGACAACCAAGTCATTAATTAAACATAATTTACCATCATTCAAAGATACAGCACTGTTGAATCTTTTCTTCAGCCGTTCATAAGTCTGACTGTGAAACAAAATGCCTTTAACCAAAAAACGCCTGTAATACCAGAAGCAGTTACTTAGATTTTCACACAGTTTTCCAATGGCAAGCCCATGTGAAGCTGGGATGTTTTCCTGCCAAGGAGGATGACCAAAACCCTTGACACTTCCATTAAGTATGACACATTTTTCTGTTCTTCGGTCATAGGAATACTGTTTTTCAACAAATGACTCTACCTTTGGATTTCCAGATGTTATGGTATGTTTGGCTTTTTCCGGTAATTCTCTCCACAACAGAAATGTTCTGACCATTTGCAACGGGACAGATTGTGTCCCATGAAAATATTTAAGGAGAGTGCCCATATTGGACTCGAATGGAAAAGTAGAAGTAGCCCATAAAGGTCCCCATTGTTTAACACTTTGTGCGACATGGGAAAGCAAATGGATATTGAAAGTCATGCGGTCATTTCCATACAGTCTCTGAAAGTCAATAACAAATGTTTTGAGTGCCAGTTCTGCCATCATGATTGCTCGTTTCTGGATCTCGTCCTGCAGTAATGTGTATATGCCAAATACCAAAAGGAACAGATTATTCCAAAATCTAGCAGGAAGAATTCCTTTTAACGTTGGCAAGGCATAAAAGAGTAGGAAGGCTCGCCACTCCGAAGCCTTCCAAAATTTCCTGTCCTTGAAAGATCTTGGAGTTCTTGTTATCTCAACAGGAGGCTTTATCTTTTCAAGTCGCAAATCAACTTCTTCCATCTGTTTACCAATGTACCAAGAAGCATCACTGTTCGTAGAATCAAACCATAGAGTAGCCAGCTGTCGGGTGACGCCAAGGCACACATTGTGTTGATATTCTGGAATGAAGCCATTTATCATCTGAAAGTGACTCAGCCTCATCAAAGGAGATGGGCCTTTAACTCCAAATACAGGTGCATCCACTGTTGCTGACATTGCATGACTAAAATGATCCTTCTCATTACGCAGGAGGGGTTCCGGTCTGGTGTATGGATAAGCTTTGCCGCCTTTGTGATAACAAAAATCACATCCATAAAAACCATTAAACTGCTTTGTGTTACGAAGCAAAGGCCGCGCCACTGAATCAGAAGTACAAAGGAGCACAAACACTTTAGACACATGAGGGTTTCCCTGTTCATCTTTCCAATCTACACCTTCGGTCTCCAACAAAGAGGCGTCTTTTACAAATGGGGCTAGTAATGTAAACATTGATGGCTTGCTAGGCCCAAACCATAACGCAGACAACAAAATGTGCTTTCTTCTCTCATCCGGGGCTAATTCAATGACCTGACACTGAATTGGCCAAATGCTGCATTTAGAACTTTTGAAGACTGGTGCTCCGTCACAATTCCAAATTAAAGTTAAATCATCTTTCTCTAGAACTCCACTATCGCATAACTTTTGGTACTCCTTGCCAGATTGTATATCAGAGAGAATCCCTAACTTTTTATCATGTTGAGTAAGCGTCACACTGTGCTCTTCCAGGAGTTGTTTGATCTGCGCTCGCAGGGGTAACACGAGAATATAGACCCCTTTTTTCAGGTGTTCGTCTGCATCAAATGGTGTGTTACAAGAATCACATTCACGGGGACAGTCAGCTCGAATGCCAAGGTATTTCAAACAGCGTTCACAATAAAAGTGTACTTCATATGTAGATGAGATTCCAAATTCTTTATGGAACAGGTAATGGGAGGATGGGATCAAGCCAGGAAATGCAATGTTGAGCATTTCCAGCAAATGAGTCACTGCTTCACCAGTCAAATTGTGCCGCAACAGAAAGGACATGAGCATCAGTAAAGTCTCTCCTTTAGAAACCGGAGCACCAGGATACAAGGGCTTGTTGCCATCATCTTCCCCATCTTCATTGACCTAGGGGAGAGAGTACATCCAAAATGTTAATAGTTGCCATATTTGAAGTTTGGAAAAAAAGGTTTTTCGTAAATTACCAATCCCACAGAGCCACTCAAAATAAAATTTTATGCATCATATTTTCAAATCCCAAAGCAGAGTATGACTCCTAACTGTGCAGAAATATCAGTTTATCATATAGGATAAAGCATGCCCCCATAGTACAGAAGATGACTCAAGATCCTTCATCTAAAATTGACAACTCCTGTTCAGCTGAGAGCTTATACAACCATGCCCAACTACAATTATTTCGGAGGGGTACAATGGTTTTCATTTCTAATAATGAATACTGGCACAAACTACAATGCGGGTGGACAAAATGCAAAACATTTAGGAATCAGTTATCTGTAACATGTATGTGACTCATCTATAGTGTGCCTGGGCAGACAAATTGTATGACAAGACACCCCCTGTTGCTTACACGATAAAAGGCATTAGTCTGATCGCATTGGATCAAGTATAAATTGTGATATGTTTAAGGCAAAGTATCTATTTTTAAACTCCTTTCAGTGACTTCAGAGCTAGAGGCAACGTCACTCATGACGTAGGCTGGGAACTGCATAATGAGTTGAGCATTTATATCTCCATGATTAGAAAGTGCAAATCTACTTTCTAATGCATTTAGCTGCCCTCTACCATTCTTGTCAATGTAGAGGGAAAAGAGGGGGAGATAGCCAATTAAAAAAAAACACAAAAAAAAATCTAAAATGGGAAGTATCAAACCACTCCCTTCTCCATTTGTGGATGATCCCCAGGCATCTCAAAACAATGTGGGCTCTGCCCACCTGGGTGATAATTGGGTTTGTTCTGCTTTGACGTAAAATATATCAGAGGGTCACAACTCAGTTGTTTACCAGGAGAGGGCGGAGCAGCTGCATGATGCTAGAAACAATGTGCTCTTTGTTTCCTGTAAAAAGGCTGAGACCTCATTGCTCTTCAGTCGCAGAGCGACAGGTAAATAAGGAAGTCATGGAGCTTCTGCCTTAGACAGAACAATTCTGAATCTTAAGTATGTAGTAAATAAATTAAGAATGGAATGAAAATTGTAATTACACTTTTTTTCTTTTAAATCACACAATTGATGCTTATAAAAAAAGGTTGAAAAAACAAACAAACATCCATATATTATCTGAAGTAGAGTCATGTGTCCCAGTTCCTCTGAGTCGTGGTCAAACCCATCCTGCATCAGCAAGGAAAAACTCATATGAAAAAAAAAAGTTTGAGAAAGGGATCTGCTTCACTCTAGTGATTCTTCATAGACCTCCCACCACCCATTCTGATTTGTTGTTATAAAACCCTCCCTCCAAACCCTTCATCATGATAAGGCTATCACACACACACACACACACACACCTAAGTGTCGTTGACAGGTCCTCCCTGTAGATTAATTAGTTTATTGACGTGTCTTTACTAACTAAGGCACCACTGTTTGTTTAAGAATAAGCTCGGTGTGAACCACACATGTGCTACGATAAACCCTGATCAATAAATCACTTTAGACTACTGTGAAACACCAGACAGAGGCTAACTCATTACACATTCAAAAATGACACCTCTTTGAAAAAAAAACAGTAACACTTTTCACTTTTTACTTGCTCAATAGCGCCGTCCCCTTTCTGGGGAGTTTTAGGGTGCAGTACCACCTTTTCACCACTTGCTCAATAGCACCATCCAGTATATCTACTTCCATTCCTTTCCATGAATGTATTATATTATCAGAGTATTTCTCAGAAGAGTTTCACAGTTTGTCCAACACAAAAGCGCTCCATAATTGTATCAAATATTTAACAAAAATTGGTTAGAATTACAGCATAAATACATGGTTAATATTCTATTTAATCAAAAAGACATACATTTATTCTTAGATGTTATTTCAATCTCACTAAGAAGCTGTTATTTTGTTTCTCCACCCTGAAAGCCTCACTCCCTCTTACTGAACTGTATCATAGCCGTATACCTGCTTATGACCATTGCAGTGATGATGGGTTCCCAGCCTGTACGCAGGAGAATCAGAGTGTCTGGATGTTTGGAGCAGATGATGATCCAGACGGGGATGAGGCAAACGATTGCAAAGTCCACCAGGAACAGTACAAATGGGTTCTGTTCTGAAGGCACATAGCATTTGGTAGACTCATGTAAGTACAGACAGATAGAGGCTTGAAACACTTTCAAATCCCATCTATAGACGTCTCACATAAGTTTTCTCAACTATGGATGGACTATACCATTGAGTGATACTAGGCAACCATGGTATTGTGGAATTTGGCCTTCACAAAATGGCAAAAACGCAAGACATAATATTCAAGGGATCCGGCTTTTAAGGTCACGGTGACTTCAGTCATGTCTCTGTTGTTTGGACGAGCTAACACCTGTGGATTGGCAACTTTTGCTGTGTTATGTCTGATAAAATGCTTGGTCTGTCTTCATTCTGTCCAAAAAAAAACGTAAAACTGCATGAGAATAAAACTTCCAGGTTACTCTGGTGTGTAAAGATTCTGTCTGAATTGTCTCATATTCGTCAGTATACGTTGGGCTTTTTGTCACTGGAAGTATTATATTTCTACACTTTGTTGATAAAAAAAAATTCCTGTGATGAAATTAACTATTCCATAATATACCATCTGAAATTGTTCTATTATCATGTTTAATGAATGTGAGGTTAGTTCAGTTCAATTTGAGGTTAACAAGGAAATTGTTTACAATCTGTTCATTAATATGCACTATTACATCCTACATAAATAAATAGATAAATAAATAAATAAACTGCATGCCAAAAATGCTAAGATATTTCACTTGGGTTCATTGTTTTCCAATCTGTTGGGAATACTAACAGAAAGCTAATGTTACCCATGAGAGTGTGGACCCACTGGCTGAAGCAGGCCAGTAATGCCAGAGTGATGATGTCCCCACAGCTGGCTGCCATTGGCGTCGCCACATTGTCGGGGTTGAGTCCCAACCGCTTTGCGCCAATGATTACTCCAACCATGATAAACCCTGTGACAAAAAAAGACAGTATTTTTCATCTCTTAAAGGTATGCAGAAGGATTTCCCCAAATTTTAGGAAAGAACAGCCCCCTCCACTTTTTGAACAAAACTTTCTGGTCTTATTTGACGAGGATGTATCACCAGAATGGTTGACTATTGGTAGGACCATTAGTCTTGATGATTCACCCGGAAGTAGAAAATTCTCCTCTACACCTTTAAGATTGTTTTATGGCTATTTATTCAATGCTTACCTTGGAGTAGAGAGGCTACGAAGGCAGTAAAGAGACTGGTGGAAGACAAAATAACGAAGTGGTACGAGGGCATTTTTCCCTCTGCCATCCAGCCGAGCAAAGTGGCCATGAGTGCAGCCAGGAGACCCAGAACTGTGGCCTGCAGCTGCGAAAGGGGTCAGTGAAGAAGGCGTTATTCTAGATGATTCATTCATTCATACAAAGGGTTTCTCAAACTAAGTGTAATGTAATAGATTGTACCTGTTTAAGTGCAAGATTACCAGTAATTACCATCCACCTTTCAGCTGGAAGATCAATTTTCCCTGCATTTACCTAAAAATACCAAATGTTACACTGACAATAAGTTTTTAATCATTTTAATCACATCCTTTGTTAATACAAAAAAATACGTAGCCTACTGAGCTTCATGTTTGTCTCTTTCTTTGGTCCTTACAATACAGTGAGACACTTCACACCTGCCAGCAAGTTATTATTCTCAGAAGCTGGCCTCATTTAACCGTAGAATTGCCCTATATGAAAAACATTAATACACAGTCCTCTCTTGACATGCTTTGCGCTTACTCAGACTTATTACAAAATGTGTCGGTTGTGTAGTTTGAAAATACTCACAGCAGTTGAAAGTCTAGAGGCCAGAGTCATTTCAAGATTCCCTTTCATTCCCAACACCGCAGGGACCAGTATGAGGAGCTCCGTAATCTCCAGAAATACATCCCACGTCTGCAACATTGGCAACACAAAACAAGTATAAAGGGCGACCAAAGTGCTGTACATAAAAAGACATACAAAAAATATACAATTAGAAAATACAAAAAAGCAGTGGCAAAAACACACACTATTTACAGCAAAAAATCTTTTCAAAATCAATTAAAAGCCAATGAGAACAAGTGAGTCTGAAGACGAGCCTTGAAAACAGGAAGTGAATCAGACAGTCTAAATTAGCATTCAATATTTCCTCACCTGGACCACTTCTAGAAGCATCCCGGCTGAAACTGTCCCCAGACCAGCCAACAGGAATGGCACCAGTATCTGCAGAACCATGGAGCAGAGCGACTCCTCATCGCTCACGTTAGAAGAGTTTATGCTTAATTCGGTGTTGGAGCTCTTTCTTCTCGACCTGCCACAATGTTCATTTGACAGCAACAAATCTGTTTCACTGTAATCCCGGGAATAGTGTTGGTTGGATGGCTTAGTTTCACGAGCTTCCAACCATGAGCCAGAGCCATGTTTTGCGGACGTCTCAAACCTGGGAACAGATCCGTTCTGTAATTTTTCTCCCTCTTGTGACGGTTGAATTTCCATAGTTTGAGATTTGACCCTGAAATGTGGTCCTGGATGCTGAGGTGAAAAGGCAGCTCCTATAGTGCCATCAGGTCTGAAAGAAACAGTGTAAAAATGTGTTATTATAAAATCTAGAGAGCTGCAATCTCGTCAAATATCAAAAACAGCAACATGGTAGACTGGCGTAACACAAGAGTCATCTGATGGCATAGACATTATCATTCTTCATGCTTGCTTCCCTTCTGCAACACTGAGCCAGTCTTGTCTGAATGGGACAATGCCACTTACTTTGGAATTCCTGAGACATGAACAGGTTATCTGTGCGTTTCGGATTCAGGATGTCAGTTTTAACGGAATGGAAACGGAAAAATACTAATAGTCTGTGAATATAAGTATTTATTAAAGAATTCAGACATGTGCATCTTAAATGAGCTAATGAATTGCCAATGTAATTAAAACATTTCCACAGAGATAGCAGGTATAACCATAAAAAATTACTGTATGAAATAATTGTATATATATTATTATCTGTGAAGAGACAAATCTGTTCAAGAAAGCTATTTAAATCCACCTTGTCATATTTACGTCTATTTTTGACTGAATTCATAAGTGTTGCTTTTATGTGAAATATGTAGTAATACAGAGAACATATTTGAAGTTTTCTGTCAGAATTACGGTACTTATTTGAGTTTAATGAAGAGTCAGAAGAGTCATTCACCTTTTGTTTACTTCTTGTCAGTCAGGCATCCTGGTCCAAAATGCCAGGGTCACATTAATAAAGAACGTTAATAAAGAATAATATTTAATGTTTAGGCTGTTAATTAAAACTAATGTGTCAAAGTCTAAACCCTTTTGGTCTGAATTTTTTTTTGATCCTGCTTTAAAATAAGAAACCTTTAAAGATTTTAAACTAACTATATCTATACATAACTTGTGGCCCCATACATATTATTATTTATTTTATTTATTTATTTAGACTTTATTAAGGACTCACATGCAAGCACAGGATCCATAGCTTATTACTTTGACACTTTTCAGATTGCAGTGTAAAGTTCTCTCATCAAGGTTACAAACAATATCCGGCTGAACACTGACGCAGGCCAAGTCTCAGTCTTAATCTTGTTAGATCTAAGTGCTGCCTTTGACACCGTCGACCATGAGATCATCTTACAGAGACTAGAGGACTGGGTTGGTGTTGCTGGCACCGCCCTAAGTTGGTTTAGGTCTTACCTTGAAGACAGGAATTACTTTGTGGAGATTGGAAACTGTGTCTCAGATCATATGACCCTGACCTGTGGAGTACCACAGGGGTCGATCCTGGGACCTCTTCTGTTCAATCTCTACATGCTGCCGTTAGGTCAATTAATACGCAGAAACGAAGTGTCCTATCATAACTATGCAGACGACACTCAGATCTACGTCTCACTGACTGCAGGAGAACATGGACCAGTGGACTCACTCCTTCACTGTATCCAACAGATCAGTGAGTGGATGCAAAACAACTTCCTTCAGCTAAACGCAGACAAAACTGCAATGATTGTCTTTGGTCCCCAGAAACAAAGAGAGAGCGTCATCTGTCATTTACAGTCTCTCTCCCTAAAACAAACAAACAAGGTCAGAAATCTAGGGGTAATACTGGACTCAGACTTAAATTTTAACAGCCACATCAAATCAGTAACATCAGCAGCTTTCTACCATCTAAAAAACATTGCCAGGATCAAAAACATAGTGTCTAAAGCAGACCTGGAGATTCTTATCCATGCACTTGTCTCCAGTAGGTTAGACTACTGCAATGGCCTGCTCACAGGTCTGTCCAAACAGGCTGTAAAACAGCTGCAGTACATTCAAAATGCAGCAGCTCGAGTCCTGACTAGAACCAGGAAGTACGACCACATTAGTCCAGTCCTCAGGTCTCTGCACCGGCTTCCTGTGACTCAGAGAATAGACTTTAAAACAGCTCTGCTTGTGTACAAGTCTCTCCATGGCCTCGCACCAAAATATATTTTGGTGCCGGCCCGGACTCTGAGGATCACAGGGACTGGACTCCTGTTAGTGCCCAGAGTCAGAACTAAACATGGGTAGGCTGCTTTTCAGATTCATGCTGCTAAAATCTGGAACAATCTTCCTGAAGATGTGAGACAGGCCTCCTCTTTGACAGTGTTTAAAACCAGGTTAAAAACGGTTCTGTTTAGCTGTGCATACAACTGAGGGATTTTATATTTTTATCATTCTTTTTAATGTTCTGTGATTATTTATGATTTTAATGCTTCCTTGTTTTGTTCAGCACTTTGAGTTGCCTTGTGTATGAATTGTGCTATACGGGGGCGACAGTAGCTCATGGGCGACATGAACATGAAGTTGGTAGAGCATTGGCCTTTAAGCCAGAGGGTCGTGGGTTCAAGCCTGACCTTCACCATCGACTCCTACTGTCTGCTGTCGTTGTGTCCTTGGCAAGACACTTAACCTCTGGGAACACCAGCCACAGTGGGGCGGCTGCGGCTGTAAAGTGCTAAACTGCCGTTGTGTCCTTAGGCAAGACACTTCACCCCCATTGCCTAGAATGAGTCTGGTGTGTGTGTGAATGGTTGGTGGTGGTGGTCGGAGGGGCCGATGGCGCATACTGGTTGCCTCGCTTCTGTCAGTGTGCCCCAGGGCAGCTGTGGCTACAGTAGTTTATCACCACTGTGTTTGGAGTGAAAGAATAATGACACATGTGGAGCGTCTTTGAGTGTCCAGAAAAGTGCTATATAAAACCGATGCATTATTGTTATTATTATTACAAATAAACTTGCCTTGCCTTGCCTAAAGCAGCATCCATAAATAACTGTGGCATTGAGTAGTTTTTGTTTTCATATCAAAATCGAGTTTTAAAGTTACTACTAAATTGCATATAATAAAGATAGAAGCATAAAATAAACATGAAACCCAATAAAACGTTACAGAGATTAACAATGCAGCTATTTGCACAATTTAAATGCAATAAATCAATAAATAAAGTATTTTAGACTGGGCCATGGGATATACAAAATAATGAAACAGGACACAAATTAACAATGTTACAAAAGCTCTGAACAAAATGATATGATCTTAAATTTACCCAAAGATGACACATGGAAGAAGTTTGTCCAGTCCGTGTCCAGTCCGTGTCCAGTCGCCTCTGCACTGCTCTGAATGGTGTTTTCAGCTTTCTCTTCACACCTTCACACAACATTCACTGGCCACTACTACGGGACTACATACTTACTCTAAACATAAAATTTAAACAAAAACACTAGAAACATATGCCACTTTTATTACTAATAAAGTCTACTCCGGTATAATAACAATGACATAAAATGCAAAGCAGAATAAAACCATAGCAACGCACTGGCGAGAGGATCCGGCAATAAACTCCATCTCCCAGAAGCACTTGGGGCAAAATCATGAGACTTGGCACATCATGGGACTGTGCAGTAGCAACACTTGTTAACAGCAGACTTTTGGGGCTTACATTCTGTGGGAATGGCGACAGAAACCATCGCCCCTGACTGGGAATTTGACCGTTTTGACGACGGTTCTCAGAGTAAGTTCCCAGGGCGTGTTTTTAATGAGGGAGACTGAGGGAAAGGCGATAGTTGCAGCATTAGCCACCTAAAGCTAGCGTTTATGCTAACATCATAATGTACCATCTACTTTATAATTAGATTTTAAATGGGCTGATGTTTATTATTTATTATGCACGATTATATTGGAGCTAGCAGTGTACCAAAGTCACTCGATCAGATTCTGGTAAAAAGTGAAAGTAAGGAAGTGAAATAGACCACATCAGGGGCAGTGCATCATCAGCACCAAAACCATACTGTGTCTGCGGTCTGAGGACAAAACAAGACATGATATCACAGGGGTTTGATAGGTTATCCTCGCCTCCATAGCATAGTCTAAAGAGAGAACAATATAATAGCTATGTTGGGAATTATCCTTAAATGTATGCTCTGTTGTCATAAACTGACAGGAAGTAGGTTACGTGACACAAGAAAACAAGAAATGCATGTGGAGAGAGATAATTCATTTTTTAAATCACAAAAAGATGGGTGAATATGGAATTACATAATGACCATAATGAAGCTGATGGCACTTGAATATTGTAGTTATAAATAAAACATTGGATAATTTCAATGTAGTGATATTTTACAATTATAACTCCATCCATCCATCCATTTTCAACCCCTTAATCCATTTCTGGGTCGGGGGTGTGTCAGTCAGAGCTGCACCCAGTACACATAGCACCAATTATTGCTCACTAGTTTGAAATTATACAAAAAAGTTGCTCTTATTTCCCTGTAATACCCCTGAAGGTTAATGATAAAAAAAAAATGGAAAGATATTTCCATCCGTGATCATCCTTAGCTGATACAGAAATAGGAAACTTACAATCCTAAATTGTAAATTAATTTAATTTAGAACAAGTAATTCATGAGCGAACCACTCCATTAAATAGAAAGATATACAAATGTACACAATATCTAGACAACACTGCTCCTGACAGGTCCCTAGTGGCTTTAGACCAAGTGCAGACGACACATTTCCCTATGGGGTCATAAAGTGAACCTTAACCATCCTGATATTTGCTCTGAGAACTACATGTTTTTCTCTCACAGAAATACACACAGAGGTTCAGCTTAAGAACTACTCCAGGTTTCTTGTAGAGTACACGTCTCAGTTGCAGGGCATTGAGGAGGCATTGGACGACTCCATTGGAGATGTGTGGGACTTTACTCTGGATCCTATTGCGTTAAAGGTACTATTAAAGAAATATAAAATGCCCCTTTTAAAGTATAGGTGCATTGTTTTTATTGAATACATTCTGTGTTATAGCTTCTCCCTTATGAGCAGTCTTCTATTTTGGAGTTAATAAAAACAGACAACAAGGTATGTGTTTATATGTTTGTAATATTTTCAAAACATGTCACACAACTTCTAAGATACTTTTTTGTGATGCAGATTTTAAATAAAGTTATCACAGTCTATGCTGCTCTCTGCAGTGAAATAAAAAAGTTAAAATATGAGGTAAGGTTCATCATTGTTTTCAACTTCTGATTTGTATTGTCTTTTTATTTAATGAATGAATTACTTTTCTTTTGAGCAGGCAGAGACCAAGTTTTATAATGGGTTACTGTTTTATGGAGAGGGAGGTAGGATTCATACACGCCCAAATTAACTATGATTTATTAATGGTAGATCATCTTTGTTGATTTAATAAAAAAAAAAAAATATCAGTTTCAGATGCCAGTGTTGTTGAAGGAGAGTCCCAAATTCAAATGGGACGGTTCATCTCTTTCCTCCAGGTAAGAAACAAAAAAGCGTAAAATATGTTATTACTAATTCTTAATACTTATATTGTGTTTCTAGGAACTTTCATGTTTTGTGTCAAGATGTTACGAAGTTGTGGTCAATGTGGTTCATCAGCTGGCTGCACTTTACAACAGCAATAAGTATTTTCCTCTATTTTGTTCTGGCCATTTTGTTATTCTCCAAAGGATTTACTAATGATTTGTGTTTTTGTAGAGGTGCAACCAAAGTCATTGAGTCTTCAGGCGTCCATTTTCAAGTATGTCTCTTCCCTGAATGGTCTTTAGCATGTGATATTCTCAGTGAGTTGTTGATTTATTTATGTTATAGATTGTTTATGAGCATCTCGGAGAGCTCCTCGTGATACTTCTCACTCTTGATGAAATTATGGAAAATCACGGTACATTAAAAGATCACTGGAAGATGTACAAGAGGTGAGAAAGCCACAGTTGTATACAATTTATACAAGTCATATAAAAAGAGTAAACAGTTGTAAAAAATAGTGACTCTACGGAGGGTTTCGTCGTTTATAAGAAGTGCCTAATGCTTAGACATCAGACGTCTGTTTGCATCCCGGGTTAAATGATGGAATAATGAATGAAAGAAGATTTTTAAGCACAAAGTAAATGTACCACAATTTAATGATGAAAAATTTGGACATTGTTATGGCAAGTTGGTTAGCCTCAAGGACGCCAACTCACCCCCCGCTGTTCTATTCAATTAACCTGCAGGAAGGAACCGGTCTCCCCCCTGCACCGACAGACATGACGCAAATTACTATCTCACCTTTGCCCCTTTTGCATTTTGCATCTCTATCGGTCCGTATGTCTGCATCTCTATGTCCCTTTTACATTCTGCATGTCTATTGTCCCTTCTGTTTGCATCTCCATGGCACAAAGATTGTCTCTCACCAGGCAAGGCGCCCCGCCATCTGGATGCCCGTCTCAAACTGTGACCCCTCCCACCTTTTGTGGGCGTGACTGTCTTTCATGTGTTGTCTATGTAAACGGGGACCTGGGACTGGCCCCGGCAGAACTGATGTACGCTATTTTGTGTATGTGAGTTCTCCGCACGTGTGTTATAATAAACTTACGCTCCTGATTAAGACAAATACCTTTCCAGCTTTTTCCTTACTATGGATAGAAACTTCCATGACAACATGCATCTAATATTTTAAGACAAATGGTGAAGGAAGTTGACTAGCGGCTGCCTCACGGTTTGGTTTGATGAAAGCCTTAACAAAAAAAAATAACAATTGTAAACCGCTTTGTGACTCTGGTCTGTGAAAGGCGGTATATAAATAAACATTACTTACTTACTTACTTACCTTAACAAGACAATACAAGCACAGAGCTAGACTGTAAAGGTAAAGAGGTCTTGAATTTGACTTTGGGACTACCCTGTTATCTTTGAATAATTTGGAAATAAGTCTGAATTGTTGATGAATATATTTTTAAGAATAAAACATATTTGTTGAGGTTAACAGTAGTCACAGTTCAATCAGTCAATCATAATTAATAATTCATGAATTTTTCACGGCAGGTTATTGAAGTCTGTGCATCACAACCCAGGAAAATTCTCCATCCCCGAAGACAAACTGAAGCCTTTTGAGAAGCTGCTGCTCAAACTGGAGGGGCAACTTTTAGATAGCATGATACTACAGGTAACCACTCTAGAGTTTGCATCATGAAAGAATACAGTGCTGTTGCTTTTGTGTGTGTGTGTTTTTTTTTTTTTAACCTTGATTATCTCTTGGTGTCTCAGGCTTGTGTCGAGCAAAGATTTGATGATCCCGGAGAAGGCGTCACTGTTGCCAAAAACAGTGCCTTTGCCGAAGAGTTTTCCCTCAACATCCGAAATATTTTCACCAGCATCGAGTCAAAGATTGGTCAGTTCTTGTCAATAATGGTCTTTGAATAACAATATACGTTTTTTTTATCAGCAAACACTTCATATTGTTTGCAGGAGAACCTTCGGAAATAGACCAGAGAGATAAATATGCTGGAGTCTGCAGTCTGTTTGTCCTTCACTTCCACATCTTTAGAAGTGTTGACAAAAAGCTCTTCAAATCCTTGCTCGATGTTTGTAAAAAGGTGAAAAAGAAAAAGTGTGTGTTTTTCCATGTTTTCCATTTCTTAACACTTTCGTATTTCTTCTACTTAGGTACCGGCTGTCACGTTGACCGCCAGCATAATTTGGTTTCCTGACAATTTTCTTGTATCAAAAGTCCCCGCTGCTGCCAAGTTGATGGATAAGAAAAGTATTCAGTCAATTAAAGCACACAGAGACACATATCTGCAGCAAAGAGCACAAACGCTTTCCAAGTAAGTAAATAGCACTTCAAAGTATTTCTGCTGTTATCACCACGTGTTAGATACCTGGTGTATGTAAAAATGGATTACAGCAAGCCCGAGAGTCTTGCTTAATTTTCAAACATTCCAGGCAGGCATTTCAGGCATTCCAGACCGCCTGCTGTTCTTCACATTGGAGGCTTGAAAAGTTCCCATGAAATTGCTGAAACAAAGGGGGAAGGGGGGTCTAGAGCAGGGGGGGGGTCAGGTCAGGATCTCCAGAACATCACTGTCCTATCAATCTTAGGCTGAGGCCCTGTTTCTTCTGAGATGCTGCACAGACGTTTCCAGGCTATTATCAGAAACGACCAGGCTCCTTAATGCGAATTTCTCAGCGTTCATATGAGGTTGAAAAACGATGTAGTTCTAGAGCCCGACCAGTAGTGGGCAGAGAAACTTTACAGCCCACACATGCAACCCCCCTGCGTGAAGATTTGGGGATCTTCCACAATTCTTCCTGGGATACCAATTAATTTGAACCCATTACAAATAAAGAATAAAACAATAAAACGATACATTGATTCACTGCCATCATATGAAATACAGATATGGCACAGATCAAATACAGTCAAAATAACTAAATAACACATGAAGGAAAAGACACACAAAAGAGCTATTGCCATACTCACTGTTCTCAAGTCACCTCAAAGAGATGATCAATCACCGTATAAACAGATCAGGAATCTTGATCGCAATCTAACACAAACATTCCCAAGAAACAGAGCCTTTTGTCTTTCCCCAAATCATTTGTTAAACATTAAAACCACTTGTTCTGCATAAATTGTGGCTGAAGTAATTACATATATATTTTTAACCATTTAATGTAAGAAAAGGCAAAACGGTACCAATTAATGTGAGATACTGTAAACAAGTGAGATTCAGAAAATTAGAATATTGTTCAAAAGTCCATTTTGTTTTGTAATTCAACTTGAAATGTCACATCATTATATGACACTCTTTTATATGAAGCCATGTATTTGTTTTATAATGTTGATAAATGGCTCAAAGCTTGTGAAAACCCCAAATAAAACATTAAAAAAATTGTAATGTATACAATTGACTAAACAGAGCTATAAATACTGTATGTCAGATATCAGGGACATAGTTTATCTACGATTCAGTTCAGTTATTGAATTAAGGACTATAGTGTACAGAGTCTTTAGGTTCACATTTGGAGATTACAGAAACAAATGGAACAATTATACATTTTTTTTATTTCACTGAGTTTCACTAATTAGGTTACATTCAACCAGGCAAGATACTAGATCGTATGAGTCTGTTATGGAGATTAATGTTCAACTGATCCAAGGAAAAGTTTTTTTTTCCACTCAAATCACACAATCTACAGCCATGCAAAGAAAAAGTCTTCTGCAGGTCCTCTTGATATGGGTTCTGCATATTGGGTGGTGGTACTAGTCAACTTCTCTTCACGTGAATCACGTGAAGAGAAGTATTTTTATGTGCACATAAATGGAGCATGTCAAATCCAGCCCCGTGGGCCAAAAGCAGCCTGCGAGACAAGTGGCCCCTGAACTTTTCAGCTATCTTTATTGCAGTGACCAGCTGCATTGATGGTAAGGGGCTACTATGGCATGTTATACTTCATGATAAAGCCTATTGTCTCAGGAAAAAAAACATGTAATTGTATATTTTCTAAAATGTTAACTAAAATTAAATTAGAAGTTGTTTTTTACTAATCCACTTTCAATACATCCCTTAGTGATTATTGTTTGGCCCAGTTTTGGTTTAATCCATACCTACTAGAAAATATTATCCAAACTTAAATCAAATACAATTATTTTTTCAAAATACTTTTACACTTCTGGCCCCAGCTCCTTTGTTTTTAAATTTGGCCCCTGACCAAAATGAGTTTGACTCCCCTGACACAGCTGGACAGGATCATCCGGCTCAGACAGAACTTGCCACCTGTCTGACCTTACAATGCAGCAAGTGGTCTCTTTTGGTACGGCTCTAGTTGATGAATGTCCCTGTGATATCCGCTTGGCTCAGGGTTGTCACTGGCAGACGCCACACAGTCTTTTTTTGAATTCCTTAAGCTCCAGATATAGCTTTGGACCTGGACTGGATGTAATGTGAACCCTGAGATGTGCTATTTCAGACACACAAAAATTTTCCCCACAAAAGATTTCGATCCAACCCTATACATTTCGAATCTGATTGTGTCATAGAAAAATAACAAGAACATTTATCCAGGCCTAAAATATTTTTGGCAGTATGAATGATGGAAGTCTTAAGTAGTAGGAAGTGAAAGTATTTTTGAGCAGGCATACCAAAACAATGGCCCTCAAGAAAATGGCAATCCCCGTGCATTTGCCCTCAAGTGTTCTGCTCATATGCGTTTTATGATCTCTTAACTCCCTCGTAAAATATTAGTTTGTGTTGCATTGTTAAGCGTGAATATGTCTGTCCAACCTGTGCCAAGTTCAACCACTTTTACTGTTATCTTTTTTTACGTTCTCTCATAGGCCTAGATGTGAAGTCTTTGGACACATCAGGGTTTGAGGGTTTCGTGATAATCGTCAAACAATCTCACCGTGGCTTTCGTTTCTTTCCAGGGATGTTCAGTCCTACTACGTGTTTGTAACGTCTTGGATGATGAAAATGGAGTCTATTCTATCAAAAGAACACAAAAGCGACAAGTTGGTGGAAGATCTGAACGGCAGATGCAATGTGTTTCTACAGGTATAAACCGTATTTAAACTGCTTGTAATAATACATATAATACTATTGGTGTTTTCCTGAAGGGAATCTTGTACGCATACAGCATCAGCACCATCATCAAGACCACAATGAATATGTACATGTCAATGCAACGGCCCATGACGAAAGCCTCGGTCAAAGCTCTGTGTCGACACGTGGAACTTCTGAAGGTGAAAATGAAATACAGTCCTCCCTCGCTATAACAAAGTTCACCTTTTTGTGTGTATCGTTAGCTTTATTTAGAGTCAGAATAAAACTTTTTTGGCACGTGTGATTAGTTCAGAAGACTGCTGTGGTCTTCCCGTAGCCCTCAGTGCGGTGTTCAATACATTTTAATACGTGGCACAGTTAAAATATATTGACAGTTTATTTTCTTCCATGTCATTCATCGTCACTTTTCCAGGCCGTGGAGCACACCTTCTACAGGAGATCCATTGTCGTTGCGGATTCTGTTTCCCACATTAGTCAACAGCTGCAGTCTCAAGCCCTCACTGCCATCAATGTAGCAAAGGTAAAACTGAAATTTTAAAAAAGTGGGTTTTTTAATTATACCAATGACTAATGTGTCTTGTTTATGCAGAAAAGAGTCATCTCAGACAAAAAGTACAGTGAGCAGCGGCTGGATGTGCTCTCCTCTTTGGTGCTTGCAGAAAACGCACTCAGTGGCCCAAGCACAAAAGAGCGCCGCCTTGTGGTGGCTCTGGCTTTGTGCGTTGGCACCCAGATGGTAAGTCGGTCACATTACTGATTAATAAGCCAAATTTTCATGCGATAAAATGCAAGGTTGGGTCCACGAGACTGAGATGTGAGATTTAGTTCTAATCTATATCGGACATATCTATTAGTTTATCCATCCATCCATCCATTTCCATCCATTTTCTACCCTTTAATCCATTTCTGGGTCAGGGGGGTGGCAGTCAGAGATGCCACCCAAGTCTCATAGCACCAGCCCCTCACTGACCCTCTGCAGGTGGTGAGTCCACAGGAGGACGGCTGCTCTCTGAGTGTGAGCATAGCCTTGATCTTTCAGTGGGGGCTTTGGGCAAAGTGGGGTTAAGTGTCTTGCCCAAGGACACAACGACAGCAGTCATCAGTGGGAGTCGGTGGAGAAGGTGCAGAGGTGGGAATTGAACCCACGACCTTCTGGCCTTAAGGCCAATGCTCTACCAACTGAGCTACTGTCGCCATTAGTTTATCCAATGATAAGTTATTATTTCAGATTCCTTTTATTTCCCATTTGCAGTAAAACCCCATTGGAATACTTGGACCTTTTTTTTAACATGTGTATAAAGAGTGCATCAGACAAATATTTAAAATTAAACAAGCTAAAAAGCATAAGCAACAATTTGTCACTGTGAAATATTTAAAGCTGCATTCATGACCGTATTGACCTCAAAACTGAATGCAATGTAATTTATTCCATGTCTTGCCATCATTTGTAATACTACAGCATTTCTAATTGTGCAGTGTAGTGGAAATTTAAATACTTCAATGAATGGATCCGAGAGAAAACAGCTTGTCTTTGTGCAATTTATTTAAAAGGTGATGAGAATAACAAATACAATAAAACTCTGCAGAGTCAGACAGAAGCGACGCATACCCAAGGTCTGCGTCGTCTCTCTCTGGTCTGCTCACATCTAACATTCGATAATATAGTACTGCGAAAAGCTATAACAGAAAGAACAATGGGTTGAGTTATGCAGGAAGAGGAGATAAGAGATAGGGAGGGGAAAAGATTGTAGTGCACCTGCCATAACATTTAACATTATAACGAGCAAGAGGATGATACCGTCGCCTCTGCGAAGGTCATGTGAAAGTGTCCTTTGTGCAGGACAAGCGGCCTTTGTTTAAATGTATCAGTGAATTTAGTACAATATATTCTGATATATGAAACTCGCCACAACAGCAGCCCATTGTAACCCATATTTTGTCCAAGCTAAATTGAAAAATTCTGGTGTCCAGAAACACATCCATCCATACAAACATCAATAAACACAACTCTAAAAGTTGTTTTTGTTACTGGTATTTTCATGTTATCTTCCGTTTTGAATAAATAGCTTAACCTTTTAATTTTTGTCAATTTAGAAAACATTTAAAGAGGAGGAGCTTCTTCCGTTGCAACTTGTGCTGAAAAAGTTGGACCTGATCAGTGAGCTGAGTGAAAGGTAAACATCCGTTCTCTACATCAATTGAAAATATTACTTTCACATTCAGTTTTTGACCAAAAAGGAACACATCACTCCCATCCTCAAACCATTCCCCTGGCTCCTTGTCCCACACTGCATACAATATAAGGTCCTCCTCATCACCTACAAGTTCCTTCATAACCAGGCCCCCTCTTATCTCACCGACCTCCTCCAACACTCGCATCTGAACAAAGTGCCAAACCCTGGGGGGGCCCGAGCCTTTGACGCAGCTCCCCCGACTCTCTGGAACTCTCTGCCACAACACATCAGGATCTCAGACTCACTTCAGAACTTCAAATCACTGCTCAAAACCCACCTGTTCAAAACTGCCTACACTTAACTGTTTATTTTTAACTTTTTATTGTATTTATTTGTCTGTTTTGTAACAGTCTTTGCCCAAAAATCACTATACAAGTATAATGTATTATTATTATTATTATTCTCCTTCTCTTCAGGGTGAAACTGCAGTGTGACTGTAGTTTTCTCTACTGGCACAGAGCTGTATTTCCCATCTATTTGGACGACGTGTATGACAACGCAGTCGATGCAGCAAGAATACATGTAAGACTCTGTTAATGCTGTTTTTCAAAAGTTTCTTGGACAACATCGGACAGGAAGTATTTCTAACTGCAGTGAGGAGAAGCGATGAGACAAAAGAGCCAAGCCGGCGACTTCACAGGTCTCGACCTCACCACCTCTAGCTCATCTCTTCTCCACACTAGGCTTTTATTGACAGACCAAAACACACGCGTTATTCACCCATCAAAAGATTCCATACGGTCCAAACCATTCTCTTGTTGACACACTGGTTAAACATGCAATCTAAAATCTTTTCCACTGGCTACTTTCTCTGACAACCCAAAATTGCACTTAGCCTAAGCACATTTTACAAACATGGCAACGTAACCCAGTGATCTCTCACATAATTACCTTAAAGACCATAGGATTCATTCACTAAATTTGATAATATAAACTAGGGCTGGGTAAACAGATTTTGATTGTCAAACAGAATTTGATGATAACAAGAAATGTAGACATTTGAATGAATATTAGGTACCCCTTATTATTCAATTGATGTTTGTATTAGCAGCAAATGTTGATTTTTCGCTTCAATCACAGTCATGCTTAGATACATTGCCCTGTTTTAGAACTGGTCAAAATTGTTTTTTTCCGTACGTAAATATTAACGAATGTAGTCACGCCCATCTCTGGCGTTCAAACTATAATGTGCCACCACTTTTGGCTTCTACGGGCTTTTTTAAAATAGCCATGGGGGCAGGAAAATGGGAGATATTGATCAAAATAAATAATGGAATATATTTGAATTTAATATTAATGAAACAATGATATTCAAACATGGTTTTTGAGTCCCAGCCCTAATATAAACACACAATTCATTTATTAGACATCAGCTACTCATGTGTCGCTGTGTTAGAGCTCTTGTTTACTCCCAGGTTTTAAAATCACCGTACTTTGCCTTTATTATAAGTTGCATTATTGTTTTAATTTTGTCTCTCTTTTGTAATTAGTACATGTTTAGTGCCCTGAGAGACGGCGTGCCTTCCATGATGCACGCCAAACATGCAGCCTCATGTGACCAGCTTCTGCAGAGCTACGACCAAGAGATCATGCAGGTTTTCAGTGAGGTATGAATGCATCTACACAGTTGTTCTCACAGCAGGGGCCATGGTAGGGCTGGGCGATAAAACGATAACGATATATATATCACAATGGACACGTGTCAGATATCAATAGGAAATGAGGTCAGTAGAATGTTCGATAGTTTAACTTCACTTCGATAGTTTAACTTCACTTCGATAGTTTAACTTCACTCCCGCGCGGGGCATTCTGGGGGACGTAGGCAGAGGGTGCTCGACCTATCACGGCTGAGCATGAACAGCAAAACATTCTGAAAAAAAAACAAAAAACAACCGCAACAGTATATGACCGTCCATGGAGCTATAGATCTGTGGAGTCCTTCCGTTTCCTGGGCACCACCATCACCCAGGACCTCAAGTGGGAGCCGACCATCAGCTCCCTCATCAAGAAGGCCCAGCAGAGGATGTACTTCCTGCGGCAGCTCAGGAAAGCCAAGCTGCCTGCACAGATGTTGGTGCAGTTCTACACGGCCATCATCGAGTCCATCCTCACCTCCTCCATCACCGTGTGGTTCGCTGGAGCCACAGTCGGGGACAAACAGAGACTACAGCGCATTGTGCGCTCTGCAGAGGAAGTGATCGGCCGCAGCCTTCCATCGCTGCAGGACCTGTACGTCGCCCGAGCTCGAGGCCGGGCTGGTCGTATCACAGCCGACCCCTCTCACCCTGCACATGGACTATTCCAACCACTCCCCTCAGGCAGGAGGCTGCGGTCCATCAGGACTAGAACCTCCCGCCACAAGAACAGTTTCTTCCCCTCTGCTGTTGGACTCTTGAACACTTCTTAACCTGTCCCCCCGCCCTTTATAAAGTCACTTTACTGCCCATCATACGTCACTTTACTTCACTGTACTGCTGTCACCTTACATTGTGTGCACCATGTGCACTTGTATATTGTAAATAGTAACTGTAACTCTATTTTAAATTTAAATTTATTCTTTAGAAGTGTTTTTTATTCTTATTTTTATTATCTCTTTTTGACTGTTGCACTGAGCCAAAGCAATTTCCAAGTCTGTGACCTCCCGTTACTTACGTTGGCAATAAAAATGATTCTGATTCTGATTCTGATTCAGATTGCGTCGTCACGTGTTTCAATGCCTTGTCAATAGTTATGCACGTCTGTTAATGCTGATATTAAGAATGCTGATATAGAGAGACAAAATTTAACCAGTTGAACCCAGTACTTGGAGAAATGTCTTAACCCTCTATGCACATGGGTCATTTTGGGGAACTTTCCTCGCCTGGTTTTCTTTGTGTATAATTGTTCATAAAACAGTCATCTTTTGATGCAGAGTCAAGCAGTATACTTTGTTTTTTTTCAGTACAACCTGGGGTTTTAGAATATTCATATTGTAAAGCTGTCATATCAATTATATAAAAATTATGGAATCATGAAGACAAAGAAAAAAATCAAACGGAAAATCAATTTAACAAAAATGTATTGAAAAAACACAATGAAATGCTATAAACAACTTTTTACACTGCATAGAAATGTTATTTATGGTCTTGGGGATAATGGGGAAAAAAATTGAATCTCTAACTATTATACCTTTTACAAAATTCCACTATAAAAGCAAAAAACTCTGTACTCCTGATTTCCTTCCTGAAGCAGTTTGTCTATAATGCTGGGGTTGCTTCTGTAGCACAGCTGTAAAAATCGTAAAACATAAGAAACTGAGCCAAAAAAAAAAAAAACATCAAATATTTATATAATACATATATTTATATTAGGGCTGTCAAACGATTAATTTTTTTTAGTTGATTAATCGCATAGTAATGGTGAGTTAACTCACGATTAACTCATTGTGTCCCATTGACGCACAAATACGTCAAAGCAAATAGTAACGTTGTGTGCCATTGACGGATTAATCCGTCAATTGCCTTTTTCGCTATTTTCACGTTCCCAGATGTCTATTGTATCTAATATGTATGGGGATGACTTGAGACCATATTTTATCGAGCCAGCAGGTGGCAGCATTGCTCTCTGAATGGTTTGAAAACATGTAGGTGCACATGTTGTGCCTCTTTTTTCTCAACTTTCTGGTGATTTCTGGTGATTTCAGTAAAACTTCCCTCTACTCGACGGAGGATTACAGGGGAACGAAAAAAGCTATAAACAAAATTCTTTTTGCTGAGGAAAGTAGACAGTCCATTCTTTTAGAATCTGGTGTTGGATTTCAGATAGTCAGTCATAGTACACAATATTCTGTGGGTCTTGAAAAATCAGTAAAAATCATCAGAAATGGCTGGCACTGTGGGAGTACCTGTTCTGAAATAGGCTGGCATTCAATGAGTTAATCGCATGTTTAACATTCTATTTTAAATCCACTCCAATTGAATTTAAATGAGATTATCAAATATAAATCCAGTGTTGGGTAAGTTACTTTGAAAAAGTAATTAGTTATAGTTACTAGTTACTTCTTCCAAAAAGTAATTGACTTACTAACTGAGTTACTCCACTATAAAAGTAACTAGTTACCAGTAAAAGTAACTATTGCGTTACTTTTTTGTTTGTTGTGGTACCGAGTTTTAGCTGGCTGTAATTTAGGATAACTTCAAAGTAGATTAATTGTTGCAACAACCCCACCCTATTTTAGTATGATATGTTAGTTTAGGGAACTGTCCTGCAGGCAAACAGGTATAAGACAGGCCAAGGTGCCATTTAATTAAATTGCATTTATTTTTATCCATTGATCAAACAAACACATTACAAAACTTGCAATTGAAAGAGACTATTTTAAAATAATTAGTTCCCAAAGACACACACGAGCAACACTCGCGCCTGACAGACAAGAACCAGGGAAAATACAGTGCGCAGATTGTGCCTGACAGACAAGAACCAGGGAGAATACAGTGCGCAGAGTGCTGAGTATGTGAACGGAGCAATCGCTTGCTGCTGTTATTATAATAGCTAGATCCATGCTTGCAGCCCGCGCAAAGCTTGCACTCACTCACAGCCGCTAACAACAACCAGAGCGGCCACGGAGGAGGCGATCTCACACGCAGCATTCTGAGTGATCTTCTTATGGATAAATGGGCGGGTCATCGTGCGTTAATGCGTTAAAAAAAAAAAAAACGCGTTAATGAAAAATGTAATTAACGTGAGTTAACGCGATAATTTTGACAGCCCTAATTTATATACATCATATACACATAATGTCATTTTACTGTATTTATTATCGTCTTTATCAATAATGCGCACTCTTCAGCCGGTTATTGCAATCGCAGCTGTAGTTTCAACTGTGGGAGAACAAGTAAACGCAGAGGAGTAAGACATCTCACTCTCTGACGATCTTTGGCAGTCCCCGTGTGTTTGTATCTCACAGCTGTTTGTACCTCACAGCTGTTTGTACCTCACGGGTCACGCTTTTGACAGACAAATCAAAACTAGTTTCGGAAAGCCCTGAATACGTACTTCACAGAGGAAAAAAAAGTAAGTTGCTACGTTTTACCGTTCGCGAGTAAATTGATCATTTGTAAAACATGTGCGCATTTGTAAAACTGCGCATGTTTAAGAGAGACAGAGCTCGGCCATCTCAGAACAGATCTGAAGCTCAAAACAGTCTGTAAGCTCCTGTGAGCCTTGATTTCATATAAACAGTACCTCTCAAAAGTACTAGTTTGTGCTATTTTTATTAGGTTTTTGCACGACAATGTTAAAATCAGAAAATTGGAATGAAGTTAAAACCAGAGTCTTAATTTCCCTAATACAACAGCTGCCAATACAAAAGACACGTTGCTCATGTCGTTCCTTAGTCTAATATAAGGAGGTCTACACAAGGGCTTTCCGTCTGCCTCCTGCCTCCTGCCCCATGCTCAGACACAAAAAGTTCTTCCTTAAACCCAAGATGCATTTTGTATTAGTCTTAATAGAAAGCGTCAATGCTCCTTTACATGCTCCTTTTTCCAACTGGGTTTTCTTATGAGTTTTTCCTTGCCGATGCATGAGGGTCTGTTGGACAGTTAGTGTCCAACTAGAAGGACTGTGGTGATGATCCAGGACACTTTAACATTCTACAACATGTATGGACATTTTTCAACATGTGTTCTATATTCTTTATGTGTTTGAACTGTTGATTCTCTGATCTGTGTTGGTGATTTCAATGGTTTTGTTAAGTCTCTGAGATGACTTCTGTTGTGATTTAGGGCTATACAAGAATAAATTGTATTTTATTGTGAAGTACAGTACAGTTCAGGTGCTCAATGAAGCGGACTCCGGCCAAGGTCGCTGCTTCGACTCCCTGGGCCTCCTCTCCTCCCGTTTCCTGTGATTGGGAAGTTTTCCACACAATACGTTTGAGAGAATGCAGCTGGTTCTCATCACATACAAAGTTTACCGACTAAACTAGGGCTCAGTCAGGTTTAAGCCTACAATATTTCAATGATCAATGCAAAGATAAACAATTGTATTCCATCAAAACTACTCGGCCAAAGATAAATTATTCTATCAAATGAATCTGTTTGTATGTATGTGTGTGCGTGTTGTTCAGAGTTAAACAAGGAACTTTTGTGATTTATTAAATACGTATAGAATGTAAACCGGTACAACTCGGTTGTGTTAAAAGCCAAGGCGTTCAAATAGTAAATAGTCAAATATGAACTTTCCACTCTGGAATTTGTCAGGCATTAAAGGTGCAGTAAGCGATTTTGTTAGCTTTGCTGTAGCACCAACTCGAAACTCCCTCCCCCCCCCCCCCCCCCCCTCGCCTCTTGCAAATGTGAAATTTAGAAAATCTGATAACTCAGGTGCGCACAGTTGCGAGAAACAGGAAGAGGGTGAAGGGGGTAAACGCATTCGATTGGTTTGTTGGGAATGAACGAATCACTTTGGTTTATTTTCATTGGTCCGCTCCAAAATATGTTTTATTCATTTTTGGAGACTATAGGCATATAGTAACCCGCTGCTCAATTCCATTACTATTTGAAAACGCATGATAACTTCACTACTATCGTATTAAAAAATGACGTGTTCAAAATCCCTTAAAGACATGACCAGGATTCAGAAAGTTAAATTTAAAAAAAAAGTTTATTCCCTAATACAGAGGAAATCTAAACAGCGGCCTGGACCAAAAATACCTGTCCCTTATCATCTATATGAAGTATAACTTTGGTGGGCGCTCCACCAAGTTACACTGCTCTCCCTGGTCCAGACTGAACTAAAACATCAAGCAAAATATGTTTTTAGTTCAGAATAATGTGCAGAAGGGGCGTGTCGTATCAGCCATTTCCCGGTCCCTGGCCTTTCCATCAGGTCTCCCCCTCCGCATCTCTCCATTCCACACCTAAAAAGGGATTCACACTTCCAACCTATAGATTTATTCCTTCCTTGAGATAAGGAAGAACTCTCAAGGCTGCTGTCACTGGTCTGGCATCAATTTCCTTCTCTAAACAACTCCCTTAATTAGTCCAACAGCCCGCTTCCTAAAGAACAAACCTATGTGCAGTACAAAAACCTCAAATAACACTAACAATATAGTATAAAAGTGTTAGTACATGAAATCACTAAAAATATAAAGTAAATATATGTTAAGAAAGGTTATGTATATTATCATATCAACAAATGTGTAGACTAGCAGGGTCCAGCCAAGTCAACCAACCCATGATTGAGGGCGGCGAAGAATGCAGAACTCTCCCAGATAAGAGTCAGAGATCATTGACTTTTTCCTGGGCTCTGGTCTGAAGGACGAGAAGAGCAAGCAGCTGTGTTGACTTAGTCCCACACAAGTAGACACCTCTGATGGATGAGAAGATTTCCCTCCAACCCAGAGTTCAATAGGTCATATTGCCACATGTGTTTTTGTGTGTCAGCGTGTATAGATAAATACAACACTACTTTTTAGGGTTTAGGGATGTTTTCCCACAATATTTAAAAAAATGCGTCTGGAAAAAATCACTGACTGCATCTTTAATATTATTAAACTAAATTGAAATGTTTGAGAATCATCTTGAATATATGATGTCTTGCTTCTCTCATGCACTGTAACTGTTTTAGTGAAAGTAAATGTGTTTGACTTGTGCAATTGCAGCACCTACTGGACAAACTGTGTAAAGAAATCGAGAAGGATCTGCGTCTGTCCGTCCACACACACCTGAAGCTGGACGACAGAAACCCGTTCAAAGTCGGCATGAAAGACCTCGCTCACTTCTTCTCCCTCAAACCCATTCGATTTTTCAACAGATTCATTAATATCAAAGGTAAATGACTTCAGTCTGTGCTTGTTGCAGAGCAAATGTCAAAGCTGTTGTCTCCACTCTCTTCTCAGCGTATGTGACTCATTACCTGGATAAGACTTTCTATAACTTGACGACCGTCGCTCTGCACGACTGGGCCACGTACAGCGAGATGAGAAATCTTGCCACTCAAAGATATGGACTCACAATGACGGAGGCTTATCTCCCCAGTCAGACACTAGAACAGGTAAAATATAGACAAACTGAGTGGGTGGGTGGGTACACGCACTGTCTCACACACACACACGCACACACCTGATGATTTTATATATATATATTTGATAGTATAAACGCAATGGGTTTTTTTCACAGGGTTTGGACGTTTTGGAGATCATGAGGAACATCCATGTTTTTGTCTCTCGTTACCTTTACAACCTCAACAACCAGGTAAATCTTGCAGTTAATGTGTTTTGGTATTATTGTAGAATACATAATAACAGTGGGTTAAGTGACTAGTGAATTATGAGTAGATTAATAACTGACAACAGCAGTGAGGAAATACCTGTGAAATCTCTCCTTCACACAGCGAGGGTGTCATCAGTCTGTCACTGAAGCTGCTCTCCAGAGAACAGTGGGTGACGGTGACGGTCATGGTCCTGTCCCCCCCTGCTTCACTCTGTCTAGGGGACAGCCCAGAACCGAGCTGGACTTCCTGATTGTCCAGCATCATTATCAATTAATCAAATATATTTCAAACAGAAATCCAAACTGTTTTGTATTCTTCTCAGATCTTTATAGAGAAGGCGAGTAACAACAAGCATCTGAACACGATCAACATACGACACATTGCTAACTCCATCCGGACGCACGGCACCGGCATCATGAACACCACGGTCAACTTCACCTACCAGTTCCTGCGCAAGAAGTTTTACATCTTCAGTCAGTTCATGTACGACGAGCACATCAAGTCCAGGCTCATCAAAGACATCCGCTTCTTCAGGGAAACGAAGGACCAGTCTGATCAGAAGGTGAGCCTGCATTCATGGGAAAAATATGATTTAATGCAAACTTTATTATGAGGGCCATTTTCTTTACCCAGACTTATCCAGTAGCTGTAATGTTCAACTGGTTTTAATTGAGTTTAATACATTCAAATAAATGTATTGGCGTATATAAACTTGGCTGAAGGTCACACAATGTATGTTTATGTTTGCTATGACTAATTTTGGGCCACAGAAAGTCACACCATGGGCTGCAATTGGCCCTCGGGCCTTTGTTGGACACGCCTGTTTTAATGCGATTGTCAGATACAGTGGGGTAGCAGTTGGAGCTCTCACTGGGAGTTTGCATGTTCACCCTGCGCCCGATTCTTCAGGCAATGTACAATAGGCTCCTGCAGGCCTCTTCTTAAAATTAGATTCCTAAATATGGAACTCTGATGAAATATTGGTTAATAATTGTAATTAGTAAGAAATATAGCTCCCAAAAACAGATTTTCTCAAATCTAGCTTGAAGGTCTAACTGTTACAAGATCCAGGACTGTTTTTATCTGTCTATTATCATGGCAGACAATCAACATATCTTTGCTGTTGTCTTTTATGTAGCAAACCCAAGGACAAAGAAGAGATTTACAAACTACAACGTTTATCTATATAATTGATATGTCTTCAGGCCAGGACAAACTGTTCTTCTGGAGAGGATGTTTTGTCTGAGTTATGGTTATCAATGTTTATTATACTTCAGAATTGTACTAATAATGAATGCACCTATGAAGTAGGACTTTGCACAATAGAAATCACCGGTTCATAAACTGTTCATGCTAAACTAAATGATTTATGTTTAGCCAGTTTCCTGTTTCTAGGCGACATTTTTAGTACTTTATCCATCCCAAAGTTGTGCCTTAGAGCCACCACTAGGAGGCCTCGGTTGTCCACACAAAAAGCAATTGAAATGTCAGCCAATGATATATATATATACACTCACATGGATTTTTATGGATATTTATCTGAAGTAAAGTGAATGAGAATGATTTTTACCTATTTGGGATTAGTGGATATATGATTTGGTTTTGAAGGCTTACACCTGTATGTTTTCAAAAAAAGGATGAGCTCTATGCTTTGAATACTTGGTCAGGCCTCCTTGAGACTTGCCTCTAGTGTGACCTGTCGTTAGGGTTATTTTTTTTACCATATTGAGTCCACTTTGCACCTATATTTTTAGTATCCGTTTGATCGAGCCGAGAAGTTTAACCGTGGCATAAGGAAGCTTGGTATTACACCGGACGGCCACAGCTACTTGGACCAGTTCAGGCAGCTCATCAGTCAGATTGGTGAGTTTACAGAAAGTGCAGTATTGGTAAAACATTAATCTTCTTCTTTTTGCTATAACCACTGTGTCCTCCAGGAAACGCCATGGGTTATGTGCGAATGATCCGCTCCGGAGGGCTTCATTGTTGCAGCAGTGCCATTAGGTCAAAACTTTAATATACCTCAACGCTGTCTCATGCAATGTTTAAGCTTGTTATTATTTTGCATTTGTATATCTCCAGGTTCGTTCCAGATCTGGAGGATATTGTGAACTTTGAGGAGTTGGTAACGGAAGAAGGATTGTCCTCTGAAACCCAGAAAGCTGCAAGGTATGAACACAATACGGATTTTCTTTCTGGGGCTGATGCTATGTGTACTGGGTGGCATCTCTGGCCACCCCCCTGACCCAGAAATGGATGAAGGGGTAGAAAATGGATGGGTGGATGGATTTTGTTTCCTGTTATAAGAAAATAACTTTTTGGCCTTTGCGACCCTCAAACACAACGCAATAAGCTTTCAGGCTCTACTCTTGTTTCTTATTTTTTGAAATGTCTAAAACTGCAAATTGGAATATAAATGTGAACGATATCAAACCTTTTGAATCATAACAATTAAAAAAAACAACAAATCTCTTCTCTTCTAAATTACCTACAACCCATTATTTTTTTCTGGAATTTATTTGTAACTCATCTTCACAAACCTAGTGTTGGAATCCCAATCAGATAACAATTATTTTTTGCAAAACTATCACTAATCTTTAAAACAGGTGATGTCAGACTGAGTTACTGCGTTTGGAATTGTAAGTTTTTTGTTTTTGTTTCCATTTTTCAGTGTTTTAGACTCTGTTCTTGGGGATCTGACCAGTAATTCTGCCGAGGGGACAGAGTATTTCAAGATGCTGGTGGCTGTGTTTGCACCAGAGTTTCGCAGCGCAAAAAACATGCATCTGCGGAACTTCTACATGATCGTACCTCCTCTGGTAATCTACGCGCTCTAACATTACTAAAGAAAACGTATAGACATACCTTGAGTGATTTTTATTTTTTTATTCTATTTTAATTTTTTACTATCTTAGGTTTTTACTCAGAAATGAGCTATGGAGTCCTGACTAAGCACAATTTGACCACTTTTACTTTCTTTTCTTTACTTATCTGTTGTGCTTTTATTGTTATTTTTATGTAAATGTGATTTTTATGAATGTTTTTGTGTCGATGCCAAGTCTCTTTTTTTCAACTTCTAAAAGAATCTTCCCATGGGTACAAATGGTCACCTTGAACCTTGAACTTGTCTTGTTTCCAGACTGTGAATTTTGTTGAGCATTCCATCAGCTGCAAAGAGAAACTAAACAAGAAAAACAAAACTGGAGCGGCCTTCACAGATGACGGTTTTGCCATGGGTGAATGCTCACAGCTTTTCGATGTCAGATGCTGGATACAGAATATTCATGTTGTCGCTTGTGTCAGGTGTGGCCTACATCCTGAAGCTGCTGGACCAGTACCTGGAGTTCGACTCTCTTCACTGGTTTCAGGCCGTCAGGGACAAATACAAGAAGGAAATGAGCGCTGTAGTGAAGGAGCAGAGCGTCCAGTCAACCAGTCAGGATGAAAAACTGCTGCAAACTATGAACCTGACGCAGAAGAGATTAGATGTGTACCTGCAGGTGTGCTTTGGGCCCAGTGCAGCTCTTCAATGTGGAACCTCTTAATGATTATGTTTCTGTTTGCGCGCGCAGGAGTTTGAGCTGCTGTACTTTTCCCTGAGCAGTGCCAGGATATTCTTCAGAGCAGACAAGACGGCAGCAGAAGAGACACAGGAAAAGAAAGACAAAGGTGTGTTTTCAAAGGGGCAGGATTTAAGGATAAGGATTTAGAAGTAATTCAACATATAAAAAGATTTACTCGGTCTGATCAAGGAGTGTATTAAATCTAACATCAGAATTTGTGTTGCCTCTTACAAAAACAACCAGTGAAAAGATTATTTCCTTGGAACAATATTGAACTAACGTTCTTCTTTTATTCTTCAACAGAAGAAGCTTCCAAAACAGGTGACAGTTTGAGCAGCTCAGCTGTTTCTGAGACTTCTTCAAAGTGACCTGAACATTGTCCTCTATTGATTTGAAATAATGAAGCCAGACTTTTGTTGCCAAGACCATGGAGGACACACCCATGCTGTTGAAATATAAAATGTGAAGCATGGTTTTTTGGAATATACCTGATTTCAGTAAGGGCACAGACGAGATTGATTGTTCCTTTTGATAATAACTTTTTAGATACATTAATAGTGATTTTTGATACTGATTTCATGGGGAATTGACAATTAAAGTATAAGTATAAGAACATGGACAGTTAAGCTTTGAGATGGTTCATTTTCACATTTTGTGCCTCATTGCTTCATTGTTTTGGTTACAAATTTTAAAAGGCTTAATAGATATATCAAATTATTGTCTCTTGTGTTCCGGGCTTTAGTGTATTATTACACTCTTACTTTGTGCAACATCGATCATCTTTTTATACGATTGTTCTATTGTAGCATTGCAAGACTTGCACCTCTTTTAAGTAAGTGAGATGTGCAAACTGTCAGTCATGTCTTTTGCTAAACAAAGGGCCATTTGTTTTAATGAGCCAAACATGTGCCATTTTCCTGTAACAAATGTAGGCATTTCAAAAATCCTAGAGCATTGAAATGTAACTAGTAATTACTAGTTATTCATAATGACTGTATGCATTCACCCTCCCTGGTTTGAGCCAACATCAGACTTGAGGCCTTGTAATGGTTTGTGAACGCCCCCAATAAGTCGTGTACTGCGTACATTTGTAGGTTTCTCATTGTATGTCTACATTCTAATAAATGCACTTTTAACAGAATGTCCTTATTTGTGACTCAAAGAAATATGTATAAAGCCTTTTATCTTTAATACAAAGAAAACTTCAGAAAGTACAAGATTGGTCTCATCTTTATCATTTCAGTCAGTTTCCAAATCCAATGAAATGCTGCTGATGCTGTTTGAACAGTTTTCACATAACTCTCGTTCTTTATACCTCATTTCTAAAAGTGCCCACAGTGCCAAGTGACACCCTGCCCACCAGAAATATTTTACATGTATATTGCACCATGCTGCTCACACTATAAAAACTAGGTTACGAGGCAGGGCAATTTTCTTCCAAAATAGATGTCATTATGTGTACATACATATATTTATATAGAGCAATCATATATACATATCTGTACATACCAATGTGATGCAAATAAACATTTACATTACTTTTCTTACAAAAAATAACAAAGATTGGAAAGTTTTGCTTACGCTGAGGCAAAAAGTGTAGCATTTTAACATTGTGACAACAGATGCCTCTTGCCTGATCCACACAGAACTCAAAAGAGCAAAGGAAAAGTTTGTAAAAACAGATCAGACTTCACGCTGGAACAGAAGCTTTTCATGAAGGAAAAGTATCATGCAGTGAATGATGTTGTGGATCTCCCTGAATAAAGAGATTTTAGAGCGTTGATGTAAAAAGAACAAACAAATTATGTTTTCTTTTATTACTAAACATAGTGCAACAATAGACACTGCATGTCTCTCCATCTTTGTTTGAGAAGATTTGGATGTCCCTGTTTATCTTGCCAGTTTTTAAAATAAGGCAAAAGCCTTGAGTAGAGAGTCCTCTGAGGAAAAGAAATACAACAAAACCAAAATGTAAACATCACAGACCCTGCTCAAAATAAGACCGAACAGGGGAAACTGAAAAGATAAAATCAGAAGTGTTGGTGTTTGGGCAGCATGTGTATGGAAAAGGCAGGACAGTTTGACGGTGGCCACAGCTTCTGCAGTCAAAACAGCCTTATAGCATCCTCAAGGATTAAAACTGTAAACTGCCCCACAGTCCTGGAGCCAGACTGGTGTGCGCAGGCCGCTGTGGCCTTGGACTGGTCGGCCTTAGAAGGCCTGCTGTGCTGGGTTGTAATTGAATGTTGTTGGCACATGAGGTCTCTCTTCAAGCTTGTCATATTCTAAATGAAACTCCTGCAAGACAATTGAGGCAGAAAATTAGATTGAAAAACTTAAATATAGCAAGAAACAAGGAGCTTACTTTGGCTACTTTTCTCCAGTTAAGACAATCAAAGAAATAGTATGTTCCTCTTTCATAAGCGTTGGTCTTCAAAGTGGGCTCCATGCCAGGTGCTCTTGTTATCCAAACCCGTTCTTCTTTGTGGTACCGCCAGTCCCGATTGAAACTAATGGATGAAGTTGAATTAATTATTATTAATTTGGAAAACTTGACTTGTGGAGGCTGGTGACTTACAGCTCCACTGCTGCCAGAAGCTGTAGCAGGTCTCCGCCGTTCATGTAGTACAGATAGAACAACAGGTCCTCTCCATATCGAGCCAGTTTAATAGCAGCCAACTAGAGAGAAGAAACTCATTTGATCAGTTATCACCTTTTAGGTACATGGTTTCAGTTTTGTTTTACAAAATATATCACAACTCAAGTGAACAAATATTTCTACAACTTTGGAAATAAGTACTTGTAAATTAAAGAGATACCTTGTCTCTTATGTGGATGTTGGTTAAGTACTCTGATGGGACATGGAAATCTGGAAAAAGGAATTACATGTTTGAGATAAAGCTATCCATGATTCAGAAACAATTAAACAGTAAATTGATGACATTACCGATGTCCTGAGGTCTACACGGTGCTGATGCCCACGGAGAGGCAAACTTTGGGTATAGATTTCTGTGTAAATAAAGGGTGCAAAACTAAAACTTACAAGTATGATATTCATCACAACATTGAGCAATAGACTGAAAATAGGCCCAATAGTAGAATATCATATATATGAAGATAGACTTGGAAACCCTACTTGGAGTGTGTTTAGCAATTATTAGTCCTGTTATGTGTTTACATTTACAGGTTTCATGTTAAATGTCGTAACAAACATTTTTGGATTTATTTATGCAGCTCTCTCAAAGTACAATAGCAGAATAGTTGTCATACTCAGGTGAGTTCAGGTTAAGCCCAAGAGTTGTGAGGTCACTTCCTAAAGCCAGATGAACCATGCCTGGATCTGTCTCAGCAGCACGGATGAAAGTCAGCAGGCCGATCATTCCAAATTGGTCTGTTACCATGCCTGCAGGAATGTTTGTCACCCGACCTGCAGGGAAAACAGTCGTAAAAACCATATCACAGCTGGATAGAACAGGCTCGGGTTCACTTACCATCAGGCAACACCTGAATTCCTTTCTTCTGGTTATTGTTATTCTGAACCGACACAGGTTTGTCTCCAGGAAACTTTGGTCCATCTGTGTTACATGTGTTCTTGGTCGTCACATTTAAATTCTGAGTGTAAAAAAGTTTTTTTTTTAGTTTGAGTGAATGAATTCCCAAATATAATAATGAAAACACAACATACATTTTTGTTGTCATCGTTGTTTAGCGAGGGGTCCTTATAATTTGGACCAGGAAGTGCTGGGAAGTCCTCGTTGTGGATAGAAAAATCTTGTGTTTGATCAGTCGATGGCTTTGTCACCATGCCAACTTGAATTTACAAGATAAATATTAAGAAAAGAGGTCTTGGGAAAATAAATTGTGGAATAAACATTCTTTTACCATAAGGAGCCCGACTAGACAACTGGCTGAGCACTGCCGATGGGTTTCCAGTCCCTTCCCTTCTACTCCGATCTGCCAATGCAGGGAAATCAGACAGATCCAGCCCTGTAATGTTTTCACTTCCATCTGCAAAAATTTGAATAATTTACCAATGTACAAAAGTAGAACTTATTGTGCATGCATGCAATAAATTGGACAAACCTGTGCCGTTAAAGATGCTCCCTGATAACGAATTGTTCATTCCAAATGCTTGATTTCGGTTCATTCCGAAGCCGGACATGCTAAACACAGCGTACATTTGTTTAACATACTTGGTAAATCAGAGAACACCATGGTTCAAGAGTGTTACCTGTTGATGGTGAAAGCTTGGCGGGCTGGTTGTTGTTTGGGCATACAGATGATACTTGGTGAGCTGCGGTTCGGGCTTCCAAGTCCAGAGCTGCTCATACTGTTGGTTCTGCCACTGATCCCAAGGCCAACTTGTGAGTGATTTAGCATGTTCCTGTTCATTGGCAAAGTCCCCCTATTTACCATAATCAAATATGAGTCTTTAAATTAACTTTTCTAACTTTTCCGTAAAATATTTGTGATGCATCTAAGCTGAACCCTGCATCATTCCAATAAATATATCTGTACCTGCTTGGTGATGGAGGTGTATGAAGCGACATGGTTGGGACCCCTGTTGTGGGGGTAATATGACTTGGTAACTGGTTGCCTTGAGTAAGATTTCGGTTTAACTGAGGTGTGTTGTTTCCCATACCCCTTACCGAGAAGCCAAGTGCACCTGCTGGGGAAATAATATTTTCATAAAAATGTAAGGGCACAGGTCCTTGTTGAGTTTTGAGACATATCAAGGTAAATTGTTCCTCATCTCTAAAAACACTTATATTAAAAACAAAAAAAAGGCAAGATACACTTACTTTGTGCGTTGTACAAATTTGCACCGAGCTGAGACAGCTGGTTCGATGATGACGGTGAGGGTGAGGACAGCATCTTGAAGATAATATAAAAGTGAGTTTCAAGTTCATATTTTAATGATCATGAATTGATTTAAATACTCACATCTTTGTCTGTCCGATGGGGAAACATGGATTGGTTATAGTACATGTCATCTGTAAAGTCATTATCGACGACCTCAACAAAATCAGGAAATTTCTTTCTAGCACCAAACATGCCTTTAGCGTCCTGTAAAAATATGAAATTACAGTTTAAAGACAGAACCACCAACTTCATAGTCATAAAATAAATGTACATATCCAGTGTCTAGTTACAGAACACAGAAAGGTTCAAGAGCCCTGTCTACCATTCAACATAAGATTAATTTGCATATATAAAACGCAACCATGTTAGGCTTCGATCAAACGAAGTTTTCATATATATGTAAATTTGCCTTAATGTGACATCACACAGAACCCGTAAATGCTGTCCAACTTTCAAAACAAAAACACAACTTGGTCTGTAGCCGTCTTCTACGTTTTCTTATAATAAATAAAATGTAATATGAGAATATCATACAGGTCTTTAAGTGTGGTTTCCCCAAGACGTTTTATAAAAACAAAACGAAGTTTCCCTTAGAAAACAATACAAATGCTACAAAGCTACGTAGCCAACAGCAAGGCTAACCTTAGCATGCTAGGATATGTGGCTAACCTTTAAGTCAGCCTTCACAATGAACCAGGTCCACAGCTGATCGTATGTGATGGCTCTGACAACAATAACTCATTGAATTTGTTTCAATGAATCAACATACAGCTGTCAGTGTCACTAATGTAAGAAGCTTGGCCTCAGTCAGCTGTCTGTGGAAGTGTAGCTCCGACTCCAGAGCCCAGAGCCCAGAGCACAGCGGGGAGAGAGCTAATGGAGCTAACGAACCAGGCTCACTTTGGAAAGGAAGAAACTCCGTGCAAGCTTGATTCTCAATACAAGTTCATGGGGATTATAGAGACAATTAAAAATCAAAAACCCCTAAAACTTACTGCATCAATTTCTCTTCTTAGCATTTAGATCCAAGATGGCTGTTCAGCGTAAAACAAAAACCTCTTGCACTCTGACCTTACAACCTGCGGATTACTTCCGTACACACAGCGATGAAAAAAACAGCAGTCAAAAAGCAGCGTAATCAGTGTGTGCGTGTACGCGTGTACGTATGTGAGTAAGCGTGTGTGAGTGTGTGCGTGTATGTATGTGTGTACATTTATCTCTATTATTATTATTGTTATTATTATTATCATTATTATTTATTATTAATAATAATTATAATAATATCATTATTATTATGATTATTATTATTATATGCCCCAATATGTTTGTCACATGTCTTTTATTTATTTTGCATCACTAAGTACAAATTAAAAAACAAAACAAAGACAGTGGCGTAAACTTGGCATTGGTCCAGTTGCTGCCGTGTGTATGCTTGAGGGCTGGAGAAGATAAGGTGGTTGCTGTGCAGGCTGTCTGTCAACAGAAAACAGAGGTGACCTAAGATAAAGATGAGGGTTGAAAATGAACTGAGCATACTTTCCAACACTACAACATAGTGAACTAAACTTCCATAAAGAATTTATTGTACGTCCTCCTTCGTCTTTATCCTTCCAAAGTGTGGATAAAAAAGTCTAAATGACACCAGGTACATAGAGTGAAATAGGCCTACATAGCAGATCATGAAATTTAGTAAGGGCCCTGAACAATTAAACTAATTCTAACTCAGAACTTGAAATATTATATTCCCTATACGATTTAAATCTGTTCTTCCCCACACCTCTGCTATGGCCCGAGGAGAGGGAAACTCATTAGGTAGGCTAAATACGGGGAGGAGAAAGCAGTATTGCCATTGCCCTCAAAATTCAGAACAGAGCTCAGAGCCACAGAGATAGTCGCCTATGCATCTGTCTAGAGGCTCAGTCTCATTAGGTTAAGTAATATCTGGGAGATTTGAAGTCATGGCATCAGCATCATACACGTAAGTGATATGAAATTTGAATTTGATTTATGTCATTCAAAATTTTGGTGTGAAGTACATTTATTCAATATATTGCAATTGTTGTTTATTAAGGAGCATGATCTGACATCAACTTGTAAAGATGGGAAATACCATGCGGGGCATAATTACCTTCATCCCTTCTGAACGCATACAGCAGTTCTTGGTGGGAGAGCTGAAGGAATTGCCTCTGGATCGGACACTGGACCTAAGCAACCGGCAGCTCCGTCGCCTGCCTGTCTCTACTTGCGTCTTTGAGGAACTGCTGAAGCTCTATCTGAGTGACAACAAACTCAGCAGCCTACCACACGAGCTCAATGGGCTGAGGAACCTTCAGCTTCTGGCTTTGGACTTTAACAGCTTTGAAGAATTCCCTGAAGCTGTGTGCAGACTATCCCAGCTGAGCATCCTTTACCTAGGCAACAACAGGCTGTACAGTCTCCCCGATGAACTTAACAATCTCAAGGAGCTCAATACTTTGTGGCTGGAGGCCAATTGCTTCACAGTTTTTCCCAAGGTAATATGTGAGCTTCCCAATTTAAAAACTCTGCACTTGGGTTACAATCAGTTACAAAGTTTACCAGAAGAATTAAAACGGCTGCAGGAGCTGAAAAGCATCTGGCTTGCAGGAAACCAGTTGACAGAATTCCCACCAGTGTTGTTAGAAATGCACAATCTTGCTGTCATAGACGTGGATCGAAACAAAATACGCTATTTCCCAGTTTTAATACACATGGAAGGGTTAAAAATGATTATTTATGACCACAACCCTTGTGTGAATGCTCCAGCAGTGGGTGAAGGCGTGAAGAGAGTGGGCCGGTGGGCGGACTGTCCTGATCCTGATCCTGAAGAAGACACATTGAAAGTGACCAATGAAAATAGAGTGGAAGCAGCAGAGGGGGGGCAGCCCGATGAAGAGCATCAGGACTCCTAAACATAGCCCTTTGCTATGAGCTATGAGTCTGAAAGTCTGACAGATAGTGCAAAACACCTCTCAAGAGGTCCACTCAAAACTGAGCATGCCAGTATGGGTCATCTGAGGAGTGGGACGATGTCATTAGAACCAAATATGGCAAAGAAAATAATTATACCACAAAATGCTATAGAGATTAGTTTATTTTTACGGTAAAAGCACTCTTTTGAGATCAGAGACTGAGGGCAATATTCCAAATGAAAGAGGTTAAATTCAATTAGAGGATGTTCCATCACCGCCAATGCATTATTTATTTGACAGAGAGTCTGTGGCATTGAAAAATGTTGCTAATGGCCTGTAATATCTTATATCGGGTTTCAAAAAAGCTTTGTAGCCTTCAAGTCTTTTTATGTCCTGCCCTTTTTATCATACTGAAAATCACATACATCCAATTCTAAGTTCTTAAAATTCATGCATCTTTTGTTTGTAATTAATGTTGTTACTGGTGAAACCGTCTTTGATTGAATTTGAAATCAAATACAATTGTTAGAATAACCTTTTTATTTGATTTATTTTCAAAACAATAACAGGTTCCATGTGTTATCATCTCATAGACTTTCAGCTACACACATCAATCCCAATGACCTTTAGTAAAGTTACCAAAGTAACCTGATCAATTCCAACGACCAGAATAAACGTGACAAAATAAATTACATTCATAAATAAATGCTAAACAAAGGAAGTTGTTGTTGTCGAGACAAATGTAATTATATATATATATATATATATATATATATATATATATATATATATATATATATATATATATATATATATATATATATATATATATATATATATATATATATATATATATATATATATATATATATATATATACATACATATATATATATACACACACACACATACAGACACACACGTTAGTTGCAAACGTAAATAACAAATGTCAATTCAACATTCACCTCGACAGTAATGACCTTAAAAACAAAACGAGGTCTTTGCTACATGTACTGTACATGCCGTGGGCAAGACTTTTTTCTTAGAACTTTATGAAAAACACCTTTGAGACTATTAGGGGCATTTATCCCAAATCAAATTGAGACTATCACAAGACATCTTTGTATACAGTTTTCTCCAGATAACCCTTGTGACTGTAAAGCCTTCCACCGACAACATTCAATAAACCGCAGTCTTTCCCGTGAACATTTAACCACTTTCCATGTCCCATTATAAGTCTATACAAAACTCAACATTAAAAGATCCCAAAAATACCATTGAAAGGACATGGGACAAAAGGGCATGAACATTTTGTGCACTTCTATAGGAATGCTGCACATCCTGTTATGGTTATTGTGTAAACTCTGTACCATTAAAACCAACAAATAAAACAGTAAAATGTAAAGAAATATTGCATTTGGGAAAAATAAAGAATGTTTTGGCTTCTTCATGCTTCAATTAAAACATATCCTTTCATTAACTGTCATTCTATGTTCAGATATGTCGAAGGTAAACTATGCTGCTTTGCAACATGGGGTTGTACGGTTACTGCTTCGGAGATATGACCTAGCTTAGCTGGATGATGTCACTTGCTTGTTTCCAGTGTATATGGATTAATTTAATTCCATATTTGGGAACATTCCAGGAAAATTAACATTGACCATACAGTATGTGGCGGACCATCCACCAGTGAGAAAAAGTGAGACAGTCTGTGCAGCTATAGAAAGCATAAGTCATATTTTTTTATATTTTTAAATTGATTTTTGTTTATAATTGGTTTAATTTAAGACTGTGCAGCTCACAGGCTCATCCAGGGGCCAGCTCTCTGCCTCAGCGTGGACTCACTCTCCTGAGGTAACGGGCATCCTGGAAACACATCAGCACTCTCTTGTTCCTCTGTAACATTCATATCATGAGACCCGTCTTCAACTGCAGAATCTGGAACCTCAAAGCCAAGGCCATCTTCATTTGATGAAAGAGTCTTCTCTTCCTCTGTGTCATTTTGATTTGAGTCTTCATGCACTGGGCCAACCACTTTAGGAGAATTGAGTTCTTTCATTGAGCTCTCCCTCTCCATACGTTTCTTGACTTCCTGCTTTCTCTGCTCAATACGACTGTTATCACCCATCATCACCTTCACTCGCACTTGCTCTGGAGGCCAAATGCCTCCCCATATAAACTGCAGGTAGCTGAACAGCACAATGACACTGAGGAATGCAAAGTTTGTGGCCACGCCAATTACAGCAGAGGTCACAGGGAAGTTGTACAATAAGTAACGAATACCCGTGAAGAAGGCATGTATGCGTAGGTGAGATGAATATATCTGCACTCTTCTGGACTGAATCTCAATGACAGCACCAACAGTAGGTTCATAAGCATTTGTTTTGTAGTCTGACATCAGTTCAACCTCTATCAGCTGCTTCTGTTCAGCCATCCCACTGAGAAGAAGGGGTGAAAACAGCAGAGTACCCATATTCTTCAGGAGGCTGGAGCGATAGTGCAGCATAGTGGAGCGGCCCACAGAAGACACCATTTTCCCACCTTTAGTGAAGCAAGTCATTTTGACCATGAACATACCCAGGTGCTCGTTTACAGGAGACTCTGGCATCTCCAACTCCAAAGACATGCGGTAGGGCTGTCCTATGGCCATCACTTGGTCTTTCTCGTTCTTCATAAAAGAGATGTTGGCAGTGGGAAATGAGCAGAGCGCAGATTCAGAGCTGTCACATTCAGAGCTGTAGTAGAAGTGCACAGGGGTCGAGAAGCTGACGGTGGGCATGTAGGAGTAGTAAAAGCTTCCATACAGAAAGATTGAGACCCACAGCAGGAGCACCAGGACACAAAATAAGATCGCTGCCTGGAATAGTGTCCGTCTGGCTTTGTGGAAAGTGACAGCGGCCACATCATGAACCCAGTGAAACACAGGAGATGCCAAAGCGCCCATTGTGACGGGTTTCGGAGACACGGACCTGGCTCTGCTCCCGATGACAGTAGCCGAAGTCCCGAGCCCAGGAGAGGGCTGTGGAGTCTTATAGTCCGACATCAGTGGGAGGAGGTTTCTCTGTTGCCGTGAAATGTCTCTAGATTATATCAACCGCCCGAGACATTCAGTCCATCCTATGCTGCTGCTCCTCAAACCCTCCAAACTATCCGAAGTGGACGGAAGCCGCAGTTACATCTAGCTGTTACTATCTTTCGTACGAAAATCATTGTCTTTTAACTTTCCATCAGTTTTCATCATAGAAGTTTGGGCACGTTCTGTACATCTGTCACCGGTGTTAGCCTCCTGTTTATCTGTCGCTAACACGGAAGTATTGCAGGACACGTGACGACACGATCCGGAAGTTTACACATTTCTTTTGTGGCTGCGGCTAAGCTAAAGCTAAAGCTACACCGCAGCGCCGCTGCGGCTCGACAACAGGCCGCGTTATTAACAACAATGGGAAAGAAAAATCGTTTTGCGGGTGGGGCAGCAGGTCGAAGGACCATATTACAGCTTTCACCTCCCGGTTCACGTGGAATTTATACGGGCGAAGCGCACTCCGGATCCGAAGGTAACCTTACCGCATGATGGCTAGCATGAAGCTAGTCCTTGTGCTATACAAATAATTATGGCTACAAAGTTTGTTGATTATGTGGTAGACAACTACTCGAGCATTATTTAATGTTTTATTATGGGTTTAATAGAGCACACGAGATTTATGACGCACATGTATCACTTGACAGATGAACAAGACGTGGACGGACATAATTTCCTTCGAGACGGGCAATCCAAAACAAAGGCTCCCACGGTTAAGGCAACGGGTAAAATATTACTGTGCATATGATTCATTGCGACGTGTTTATTATTGCTAATGAAAACTGTTTTGCTTAGAGGGTTTGTCTTTGCTTGGAGCATATGCAGACAGTGATGAAGATGATGTTGAAATGAAGACCCCTGTAAATCCACAGCTCAACAAGTCTGCTGACATAGATAGTACTTTGGCTGATTTTATGGCTGTAAGTAAAGGTTTTTTTCATGTCCAATCTTAAATTGATACTTTATCTTTCAATGACAGCTGATACCTGGTCAATACCAACGATGCTACTGAAGTAATCACAGGTTACTTGCTGGGTTGAAATCGATCACTGTAAATAAATGTGTTTGAGTAAGAGTATGAAGTTATGGGTTTATATTATACGAAACATTAAAATTTACCCACTGGCAAGAATACAAGATATCCTATTTTGCATATAGTTATAGAACTGGTACCCAATCCAACAAAGTATCCAATATCTGCACGAATATTTGATACCAATATTGTTTCAGTGAAACCCTGTTATTTATGTGAAATGTATATTAAGATTATTGAGCCAGTTTATTTTATATACAAATCTTACTTATATTTTCAGGAAATTGATGCAATAACTACCCAACCCACAACAGATGATGACAACTGCGATACAACTGGCTCTATTCCAACAACTGGCAATAATGGTCAGAAATCTGATGGTACCGAATCCATGGAAACGCAAAGTGCAAATGCTGCTTTTGAATACAACACCCAGGACTCCTTAGCTGGAGGTAATTCACTCGTCTCATTGGAGCAAGAAACATTCTCTGTAATTAAGATTCATTGCATTTATATTCCTTTCGTAGTGGGAGTTGAAATGGGGGACTGGCAAGAGGTGTGGGATGACAACACAGGCTGTTATTACTATTGGAATACAGTGACTAATGAAGTGTCTTGGGAGTTGCCTCATTACTTGGCTGATCAAGTGCAAAGTCTTGGAAAACAAGCAATCAAGTAATTTTTTTTCTTGGTTGTTCTTCATGCATTACCCGATAGAAATCCTTTTGCCATAGTAACGTTAACCTTGCTTTGTTCATGTCTTTGCTCAGCACTAGTGTCAATGGCAACGGTACAGCCCATGATGAACACCATACAGAGGAAGTGGTCGTTAAAGATACTGCAATGACGGAGGCTAAAGTAATTTTACATCTATTTTGTTGTCATAAACTATCAAATTCAAAGGGGTATCAATTGTCATTTTTATTTTACAGGCAGAGGTTATTGAAAGTGTTGTTGCTCTTGTCAGTGAGAAGGAAGAGCATTGCGGAGTAGCTGCTTCTCTTTTGGGCCCTTTGATTCCCTCCGAAGTAAAGGAGGCAGAAGAAAAGTGGAGAAAGAGACTGCTCAAAGGTTTAGATGAAACGGAGAATTCTTTGGATTCGGATGGAGAAGCTGGACATTCTGTAGATTCTCCTGTTCCACCGCTGGACCAAGACACTCCTCAGAGTGAGAAAGATGTCCCTGCAAAGAACCAATCGGTTCAAAACTCGGACGATGAAGGGCCTGAAGAAGATACGGAGGAGTTGGAGTTGGCTCTCGAAAGAAAAAAGGTCCATAATTAGTTAAAGAGAATTTTTTTTCTTTTTTCACATCATTTCATTACCTTGTATGATTTCTCAGGCTGAATTGAAGGCTCTTGAAGATTGTGATGGAAGTGCTGGGGGCTCCAGCCCTTGTTCTGAAACTAGTCAAGATGCCACAAATTCTGAGAGCACACTGTTCAAGAAGAAACGCTGGAAAACTGCCTTCCCTAGTGCACCTAGCCCAGACTCTACCAGCAGAACTTCTAACATGGCAGAAAGCACGGAGACTGGTATACACAGTTTAAGTAGAAGTGTTTTTTATTTTATTTTAGATTTTGGTGTAAGCATCCCATTTGCCTTTCAGATCTCCCGAAAGTCGTTGATAGTGTTGTGCAGGGAGAAGATACAGAAACAGAGACTAAAAATCCAGAAGACTCAGATGATGCAGAAAATACTTCAGCTAAAGAAGAAGTGGAGACACCAGAGCTCAAGGTTAAAAAACATGACATTTCAGAAAAGTACAATAGCATTTATTCAGGTCTATTGGACTGTGTCTTTATGCAGTGTTATTATAGTTCCAGATAGGAGAACTTGCCAACACCTTAACCAGCAAGATGGAGTTTCTAGGAATAAATAAGAAAACTATCTCAAATTTTCAACTTCTTCTTCTGCAAACAGAGGTAAGAAGGTGCCTACACAATAGCATATCTTGGGTTAAATATTTGATCATATTCATGTTATTTAAAAGCAAAAAACTAAGAGCAAGTTATAAATCACTCTTTTCAGTTTTATTTATGTAAAAATGCCTTCTGTAAATCACTGGCTTTTCTGATTGTATTTGATGTTCCTTTTTCACAGACAAGGATTGCTGACTGGAGGGAGGGTGCTTTGAATGGAATCTATCTTCGTCGCAGGCTGCAGGAAGCTGCTGAACACATAAAATATTACGAACTTAACGCCACCCCTAAAGGCTGGTCCTGCCACTGGGACAGGTACGCGCTCCTTACCTTTCACACCTTTAAACCCCCTCGTCCCCAAAGTCTTGTGACAACAGCTGGTCCACCGCAGTGGATGACTTTTACATAACTTGGCGAGACGCTAAACAAGTCTGAATGGATTCAACAGCAAAAAATCTCCGTCCAGGTTCATGTAGTCCGAGGTATTTGGGCCAGCCTGCATTGTGATAACTGCATGTCACAAAACGGGAACTTCATAGAACAGACTTTTAAATGTCTTTGAGAAGGCATTCTAGACTCGCACGGGTTCCCGTAGACTTCTTGGTAAAGGGAGGGATACACTGGGAAGGCTTGGTGGCCTGGGAGCACTTTGCATTTCACAGGACTTCAGCCCCAGATTGTGCGGCACACAGTGATACCCTGGGAGCAACCTGATGGAACAAATAAAAAGTGAAGATGAAGCGATGACGGGATTCCAGCAGGTCAGACCATCTCTTTCATGTTCTAATATGATTGAACATTTTTTATTTGTATATTTGCTGTTTGTGTGATACATTGTCTGTATAATCTTGTTTCTTCTTCTCCTGGGAAGAAGTGGTTGTCCAAATAAAAGCTTGGCATCAAGTCTATCAGGCCCTCTGCTTTTTGAAGCAGAGATGTTTGATTGCAGCAAGAATTTTACCATAATCCAGCTTGGTGGCAAAAGAATTTGCCATATGTCTCAATTTCCATATCACAGGATCTCATGCCATTCAGTCAGTTTTGATTTCAGTTTCTAAGACCTTTTCCTTTTTATCTCTGTTCTCCCACCTTCTAGAGAACACAGGCGGTATTTTTATCTGAATGAGCGGACTGGTGCATCACAGTGGGACTTTCCTACAGAGGAGGAAAAGGGAGAGGATGCCAAGGAAGGTCAGTCTACACATCCTTGAGGATGCTGTTCATTTTTATGCTTCCATGGGTTATAACACACTATTTATTTTTCTGTAACTAACACAAGAACTTTGTTTTGTAAATAAGGATCATCTGCTGCTAAACTCACAGTCTGGACCTCATCCCAACCTCCTCTTCCGAGTAGCCCGCCGCCACCCCTCTTCAGCAGTTCCCCTCCCCCACCATTGCCCCCAGACTCTCCACCCACACCACCTCCTTTGCCTGACAGCGATACTGAGATCATGGAGGTGGAGATGGAGATGGATGACGATGATGGGGAACCTCCAGCCCCTGGTACAGAAGAGGAGAGCGAAGGGCCTCCTCTTCCACCAGGCATTGCAAACACAAAAGTAAAAAAATATACTTTGTTATAATTCAGTCTTTCTATATAGATTTACATCTTCACTTTTCTTCGAACAGATTGTAGACTCCAGCGCTTTTGGGAGGACACTCAAACGTAAGGCTGGTCAGTCAAGTAAAACTGTTACAATTGGAAGTAATCCCATCCGCTACAGTCAACTTGTTGCAAATCCAGGTTTGTCTCCGGCATGGATTTGAATACATTTTGTCTTGGGCGTGCTTATTTATTTTATTTTATTTTTACTCTTGCTCACTCAATGTATTGTAAAACGGCCATTATACCCAAAACTGGCAATGAAATGAATTAAAAAAGCGATGATATGTGAACAACACCCACAATATAATTACACGGCTATAACGTTTTTTTTGTTTTCTTTTTCTACAGCTCCAATAATGCCTGTGGCTGCTTATTGGGGAATGCCTGCTCTTCCACTTGTGCCTTCTGAACCTCCGCTGCCACCCCAGCCTCCACCTCCCCCAATTCCCCCACCACAACCACCCTCGGAACCTCCTCTGCCAAAACCCACAGAAAAAGTAAAAAAGACCAAAAATAAGGTGAATGTCTCCTTTAAAAAAAACTGCATGTTGTTGCACAAGAAAATTAACACACTTATTTATCTTTTTTTTTTTTTTTTTAGTCAAAGAAGGTTAAAACCAAAATGCCGTCTTTGGTGAAGAAGTGGCAGAGTATTCAGAAGGAGCTGGATGAGGAAGAGAAAAGCAGTTCCAGTGACGAGGATAGAGACCTACTTAACAAAAAGGGCATTGAAGATTGGAAATATCAGCAGCTTATGACGTATGCTGCTGCTTTTGTCCCGTCACAGTTCAGCAATTGGGTTTTCACATTAGTAATGTTTTTTTTTTTTCATTTCAGGGGAAAGGCGACAAAAAATGCCAACTTTGAAGCGATTCCAGACAATTGGCGGGAACGAATAAAAAAACGAAAGATGATGAACAGCACATAATGCTTATTCCAATTGCCTTATTTAGTTAATATCTATAAATTAAACAATATAATGACCTTGAGATCAAATACCACTGAAAAATTGTCGGTTGAATGTTGAATGTCATGATTGTTGTGCCATATGATTTTATTCATTGTGTACATTTGGTTCATGACGTTGACTGAGACATTTGTGTATTTCCGGGGACATTTTTACAACTGTATATATGTGCATTATTTTGAGTCCTTGAGACACGTTCTGGAATGGAAAGGAACTTGTACATTTTGTATTTAAAAGTTATTAAATGTGTTTTTCCACACATTGTCTTTGAAAATGCGTTTAACTAAAAAAATAGGGATTTTGTTTCTATCTATATTAATGAGACAAATCACAGAAGGAAGAGACTAGTTTCTTATATTTTCCCTTTTGTGTTAAAAGTTTTACTTTTTTTTTTTGAGGAGGCGTGGATGTTTGGTTGGTTGGTTGCTAGGCAACGCTTGCGCGCTTTTGGGTCAGACCATGGCTCTAACAAAGTCTATTCACATTCTTGCACATGTGTGATGCCTAATGGATGTGTAAGTACACCCCATCAATAACTTTAACTTGTTTTCCTTTTTACGCGTAAACTAATAGCGTTAAGTGAGCCAACTTTATAGAGCTAACGCAACAAGTTGACATGCTAGCCATTTATGTGGAGCAGGGCTTTTCCATACTCACAATGTAGAGGTAACGTCAACCCGGTGTGTTGTTTGTGAAATGTATTATCCCACAGGCATTCACAATGCTATAAGCACGAGGCCTCACTCAATGAATGAAGGAGAAGGTGCTGTCTCAAGGAGAGGAGAAAACGTGACTATGGCCTCATCTCTGATCAAAGATTGGTGGAATTCCTATCAAATGAAGGGACAGCTCTCCAAGAAGTCCAACACCCAGGAGGATAAAGAAGAATTTGGGAGAAAGACATGTAAGAACATTTTTTACTTCATCTTAAAGGTAGATAGGAGGATTTTCTATTTCCGGGTGGATCATCAAGAATATTGGTCCTCCCAATCATTCTGGTGATACTACAGTCTATGGGTAATACGTGCTCCTCAAATAAGATCAGAGAGTTTAGTTTAAGTGTTGAGGGCGGTACTTTCCTAAAATGTTGTGAAAGTCCTCCACTCTCTTTTGGTGAGAGCTGCCTAAATTGATATAGTAAGGCATGAAGATAACATCTATACTGTGATGACATTTGAAACTGTAAATCTGTGGTGTGAGATGCCCCCAAGATAGATATCATTTTTCGAAGAACTTAATCAATACAACATCTGTTCTTTTGGATACGCATAAGGTATTATGCATAATCTGGAATGTTCTTGGTAAAGCAGTAACATGAATGGAGTCTCTTCATGCCATAGACGACAGGCTCTATGGTAGAAAACTAATTTACACAATGTAGCTTTATGTAAAAGAATTACAGTACATTTAAACTGTGGAAACTCCACTTGTGCATGAGCATAATATATTAAACATGCTCTTTTGTTTCCAAAACAATAGCAGCAAATCTGTGGCTGAATAATCTGGTTTAAATGAACAACACTAGGTAATGCGATCTGTGTGAGCGACATTACCTTGTGTGAATAAAAGGAAACTGTTTTTACTTTAGTATCCATGGACCTAAATCAAGCACTGAGGACTAGACAGCTCGTTATCAACTTAGATGGAAACCAGCCTATTTTGAGCCTCAGAGCACCGCTAGATTTGGTGAATTTTCCATCTATCTCCTGTCTCCGCTGGCCCACGGAGTGTGAAGTCATTGGTGATACAATTCACCACATAGGTACATCTAAATACTTTCAGACTTACAGACTAACAGTATTCCTAATTTGGAATAAAACACTTTTTGTTATGTTTTTAAGAGTGGGATCCCCCACAGCCAGAACCATTTTATCAGCAGACAGGCAGAGAGCGAATGCCTCTGCCAACTGGAGATGAAAGAGGGAAAGTTGTATACAGCATGGATCAATGTAAGATGATCTTTCTAAAATATAAAAACTTGTGTTTTTTATTATTTGTATGTATTGAACTTATTACAGCAGCTGTGCCTCAGTATTTCACCTGCTCACGTGTTGGTGGAAGCCCAAGTCCCATCAAGAATGCAACTTGTTTTGACATCAAGTTGACAGATCTTGTTCTTGAGTTTGAATCTCGCTTTGAAAGTGGAAATCTTCACAAGGCTGTCCAAGTGTGAGTTTTGTGATGTACTTTCAGCTTGTTGTTTTTAATTAATTACGTCCTATTTTGGTTTAGGGGCCCATTTGACTATGAGTTGACCATCCGCTGTGACATGTACACCAAAAAACACACACAGTGGTTTTACTTCAGAGTCAAAAACATGAAGGCCGGGGTGACATATCGCTTTACCATCGTGAACATGATGAAGAGCAGCAGCCTCTACAGTTATGGCATGAAACCACTTCTGTATTCAGAAAGGTCTGCCAAAGAAAGTGGAGTTGGATGGCAACGCACTGGATTCAACATTAGATATTATCGAAACCTCAATCAGGTGGGAGTAGTATATTTGTGTATCTGGACTTTGGAAGTTGCCATGGCTAATGATGAAGTCAATGCTAATAGTCAAAGGGTATAATTTAGTTTCACTTGCTCATTGTTTTCTTTAGTTAACCTTTGTCATTCCTCTCTTTTGATAGAATATGAAGGAGAATGAAACCAAATCCCTTTACTGCCTCACATGGAGTCTTCAGTTCCCTTATGAATCAGACACCTGTTTTATGTCCCACTGTTACCCCTACACGTATTCTCATCTGCAACACTACCTACAGCGCATTTCAACCAATCCAAACGTTGCATCCTACTGTAAACTCAGGATTCTCTGCCATAGCCTCGCTGGTAATGCTGTGTATATGATGACCATAACATCTAATGACAATAAGTGTGAAGAGAGAGCAAAAAGAGCAGTGGTGGTGACAGCGAGAGTGCATCCAGGGGAAACAAATGGCTCCTGGATGATGGAGGGATTCCTGGATTTCCTGCTTGGTAACTCGGAAGATGCTCAATTGCTCAGAGATATGTTTGTGTTCAAGGTATTTATTCCTCTCTTCTCTTCCTATGTTGTAATTGTATTCCCTTTGGTTCTGATCTTCTTGTTTCTATATCCTTAAAGATTGTGCCAATGCTCAACCCAGATGGTGTGATCGTGGGAAACTACCGCTGCTCTCTGGCTGGCAGAGATTTGAATCGAAACTACAAGACATGCCTTAAAGATGCTTTCCCTTGTGTATGGCACACTCGAAAAATGGTGGAGAAGTAAGAAACTGTCACACCTATGCATTGAGGATTTTATTCATTTATTGACAATTCTGGCTTCAGGCTGCTGACAGAGACTGATGTAGTGCTTTACTGCGACTTTCACGGCCACAACCGTAAAAACAATGCCTTTATGTATGGGTGCAATAGCCAAGGTGATGCTTCAACGAACCTTTATGAACGAGTTTTTCCTCTGATGATGAGTAAAAATGCCAACAATACGGTAATTGTCTCCTTTTACTAGAATAAATTAATAAATGTGATGTTGATACAGTATACAATACAGTACGGTTGCAATGTGAGCAATTTTAATGTGGTGGCTCAGTTTTCCTTTAAAAGCTGCAAGTTCCGGGTTCAGAAAAGCAAAGAAGGAACTGGACGCATTACCATGTGGAGACTTGGTATCCGAAACAGCTACACCATGGAGGCCACGTTTGGGGGCTCTACGCTGGGTCCGTTTGTTTGTCTTTTATTGTCAAAGTCACACAACCACATTTGTTAATCAGATATATTTGGCTCTTTCATACTTCTTTCATTGTAGGCGACAGAAGAGGGACTCATTTCAGCACTCGAGACCTCAAGTCGCTCGGTTTCGGCTTCTGTGACACTTTACTCGACTATTGTGATCCTGATCCCTCTAAGGTGAAGCATCTCATTTTACAATAATTAGTTTTGGTTCAAGTCTGAGGTCAATGCACGCTTATCTTCTTCTTAGACCAATTATTGCTTGACAGAGCTGATGGCACTGATGAGCGAGCAGGTGAAAGAAAGACTGGGGAGAGATTTTACTGATTCAAACGTTAAAGTTTCTGACCTCGAAACCAGGTATTTACTTTAAAGAAACGATTATCTTTAATACACCCTGTCACTATTTTTAATTCAGCCTAAGTGATGGGATGTAGTCATGTTCTTTACCAAGAAAATATTAAAAATAAGATGTGATAAACTTGATTGATCTCACAATGGAGACATATTTCTTTTTCATAGCACCAGTGGTTCCAATAGCACTGATTCTGATGGACCACCAATGCATTTACTTAATCGACCAACCACTCCCCAAAAGGTATTTGCGTCAATCATATGAATGATAGCTTACTGTGTTAATGTGCACTCTTGCATATTCCTGAAGAAGAAAAGAAAGTGCCTCAAGAGTCGTAGGGAGAGGAACAGATTGCATACAGAACCAAAGGTCCAAGATGGTGACAGCAAAGATATGGTAAATGAAAGCAGTGAACTGTCATTCTCTTTTTTGTGTATTTTACTGAGAACATTTCTTCTGCAGGACTCAGATCTGCCACATGAAAATACCACAAAAGCAAGATGTGTAATTCAGGAAAATAAGAACCAGGTTTGACTTTAGCGTGTAAATACAATGAGAAATAGATCAATAAATGAGCTGGTCTATTTTTGCTGTAGGTGACAAAACTGTCAAAAAAACTTGATATCCCTCCTGTTAACACCCACCCAGGCAAACCAAGTCAGGTGACTCTGTGGCAAGGCCTAAAACCTGTTGTGGTGAGAATGATCCAAAATGTCTGATTGTAATAATTTAACTCATGTATATAACCTTCTGTTAATTGTCATTTGATATTTTAGAACAACTGTGATATGAGATTATCTCATTATAACAATAGAAATTATCATCTCAACTCAAACCCAACAGTCCAACTGCATAGGGGTAAGTAAGAAACTATAACCAGACCAGACCCACGATTTTCAATGAATTATTTTCAAATACTTTATTTGAGCATGTATCTCAGACTGTAGAGGGGTGTGGCTGGTACATAACTGCGTAATGTGGCTTCAGCACTTAATCTGCTCAGAGATGGGATTCTATGTTTGTCTTGCTTTTTCTCAAAGATATTGCGCAATGGCGGAGCCCTTCACAATTTTTGCATTTAAGTGCCATTCTTCCACCACAAACTGATTGCAGACATTTCACTCAGCGACTTTGCACAGTACCTCGGCAGCGTGCAATCACCTATGTCTCCAGAGGTTTGTTTGTACTTACTAACCGTAACCATGTGACTGTTTACAGTGTTTATTCTAATGATAAAAATTGTTTCAGGGTTTTCTTCCATACCTGTGCCAGACAAGTAAATATCGCACTACCTTTGTGGACGTATACAGTGCATAACCTACTTGTTTGCTTTGTTTTGTATGCAGGTCTCCAGGAGAGTTCTTCTTCAAAATGGTCCCCAATATTTGTGATAGACAATTGGCAACATGTTTATCCACAGAAAAGTGCAATAATGACCACATCTATAAAGATACTTCTTTACTTGAGAGATCATCCATCGGCCAAACGACTTTAAAGCCACAACATGACAAGTTTGAAGGTTAATCAAAGATCATTCTATTTATAATTTGGTCTCCTACCTCAGAGATGGTTTTGTTCTTGGGCTTGGGCAAGACACTTAACCCACATTGTCTTAGTGCCCAATGTTGATCATGAAAAAATTATCAAGATATTATTACATAATAATAATACTAATAATAACTTTATTTATAGAGCACTTTAAAAACAACACAGTTGACCAAAGTGCTGAACACAAGTAAAAACACAATATAATATAGAAACATATACAAGAATACAAATTGCACAGAAAGTCAACCCACTGAGTTAAAAGCCAAAGTAAAAAAATGAGTCTTAAGAAGCGACTTAAAAACAGGAACTGAGTCCGCCAGTCTAATATGCAGAGGCAGACCATTCCACAGTCTGTGGGCTGCTGCTGCAAAAGCCTGATCCCCTCTCGACTTCTTTCTGGTCTTAGGGACCACTAAGAGAGCCTGGTCTGCTGATCTTTGAGCCCGTGACGGAGTGTGGGGCACAAGCAGATCAGTCAGATACTGAGGGGCCAAACCACGCAAACATTTGAACACAAATAACAGAATCTTAAAATCAATACGAAGGTGCACAGGGAGCCAGTGAAGAGAACAAAGAATAGGGGTGATGTGGTCAAATATGCGCGTTCCAGTTAAGAGTCTGGCAGCAGCATTTTGGATTAATTGAAGGCGTGAAAGTCAGGTTTCACTGAGTCCGGTATAGAGGGAATTGCAGTAATCTAAACGAGAGGTAATAAAAGCATGGATTAAAATTTCAAAGTTATGACGAGATAAAAACGATTTGACTTTGGCAAGTCGCCTCAGTTGAAAAAAGCTGGTCTTCACAACAGCACTGATTTGGGACATGTTCTACATGTACATGTTTACAGATGAGTAAAGAATCTTAAAAATAAAGTCTGATGTTGGTTTTACCTCTTGCCAACAAATCCCTGCTAACTATCACACTTTTCAATGTCATTTAAGCAACATTTCTCATATTCAATCTCATACAGGTGTGTCTGTTCTGAAGTGTACACCATGCAACGATCAGCAAGGTCCCAACGTTTATACCGAGACTTTTTTTCAGCCGTTGCAGAAGAGCTCAGACAAAAGGTAAAAAAACATGTAACTTTTAAAATAAGGCTCATGTTAGTTTGGTCAAAATCTTTTAAATACTTTTTTTAAGTATTTAAAATGTGGTCAAATGTAATGACACCATTGTCAATGACAATAACTTCTTTTTTTTATTATGACAATAGCTTATCAGTGGAAATTATCTACTATCTATCTACAGGAAATGAAACAAGCCAAAAGTATTGGGGCTTCCCAAAAACAATGCATACTCTCATCTGTAGAACATGTCTTAAGTTTTATCAAATCTGCAGTACATAATTCTTTGTCAAAGAAAACCTCTACTATAGTATGGTGTTTATTGCAATTGTAATGTTGGTCTGTGTCCCAGTGGATGGGTTTATGCAGTGTGTGCCCCTTTGGCCACTGGTTTCTCCTACTACCCAATAATACGTGCACCATGTGTAGCATGGGGCAGGGGTCTCCAACCTGTAGCTTGGGAGCTGCCAGTAGCTCACCACTCCCTTTCAGATAGCTCTCCAAAGGTTTCAGAATCGGAATACATGATGCAGTGCAGAGGCTTGGCTGACCTTGGCACTTTTAATTCTCATTACTGTTTCAGGCAAGGCAAAGGAACTTCAAAGAACAGAGGGCAGCTACTCAAAGGACTTCCGATGAACTCCATACCAGAACCAGCCCTTGCACAAAGCTTTGGTGGTCTTCAGGGGATACAAAAAGTAAAAATTGATTGCATTTCTGGAAGAAACCACTCAAAATAAAACCCACTTTCATGACCATCACAATCAGTAATACTGTAAAATAAGCTTGAGTGCTAGTTTTAATGAAGAAGATTTTATTTTATTTTTGTATGTGAATATTTTGAACACTGTACACCCTTAGATATTATTTTAACATTCACAATTAATAAATAAAAAAAACTACACACAATCAACATAACAAAATGAGTGAAAATGTTAGTCAAATTGTCTTAGATGAAACTGGCTTTCTGTGTGTCTGACGAGGTCCTGGAGTGCAATGAAGCCAGCAAAGACCTATTAACCCAAAATATAACCATTACATGGGTTACATGTGTACAATACAATGAAATACTGAACAACATATTACTGTACCTGGGTTAGTAAAAATATGCATTGGACAATATGAACACCTCTTTCCAATGGTTGTATGAGAATAGCTTCATTAAACAGCTGGAAGAGAATCAAAGGCAGCTGCAGCAGAATACTCAACAGCCAAAAACCTGCCAACTCTGGGACCTTTTACCATAATAATAAATATTGGTACAGTAAATGCATTAGAAATTAATCAGCATGCAAGTTTGTGCTTTCTACCTTTTCTTGCAAATTTCCCGAATAACCCAGATACAGTCGAATGGCTTCAATACAAGACATCACAATGAGAATAGTCACGAGGATGAACTTGTAGTAGTCTGGTAAAAAGGGATACTAAAAAAGTAATCACGTTAGGCTTCCGTACACAAGTAATTTCACTTTTATTCAGAGAGCTCAGTTACCTTGAGGTTCAACATCACAACTTCACTAATCCACCAAAATGGAAAGAAACACGCGTTAAAATATAGGGACATTTGGAGGTGGAGGCTGGACAGAACACGTTTATCTGGAAATAAAACACACACAAGCTCAGTTCTGTTCTGTGCTAAGTTAGCTAGCTACATGCTAACTCTTCCAGCGGCGTGTTTAACGTTTACCGTTCAGCAAAAAAGGCTCGTATTCTTTTGTGACGGCGTTAATTGACCTGTTTGGGTCAAATAAAACATTTCTAGAAAAGTCTTCCAGTCGTTTTCTGAGGTTATCTGGTAGCTCCATTGTGGATTCCCCCTTTCCCTTTCTACGCGTTGTCCTTGGCAACCAAACAACTCCCTACTCAGCAGCAGGAGGCTATGGTCGTGGTCACTTTTTGTTATTTATTTTTTCATGGATATATTATGATTTTTTCCCACATCACCAGTGAAAAATCTATAACAACAAAGCTATCTTAAACACAATGGACTTAAATACAAGAGAAAATAGATCTTCAGGAATTGATATGTGACTACAAATATGAATTACAAGTTCTAATATTACACATGTCATACCTGCATACTATGAAGGAACACTATATTATGAATATACTATGAAAGTAAAAGAACATTCAGAAATAAAAAAAAACATACTTATACTGTAAATATTAATCTACGTCCCCTTATACACTACCTCAAACAGACAGGTCCATTAATAAGTAATTTTGCAGTGGTCAATGAGTGGTCTGAACTGATCCTTTACCGTTTACAATGGTCATTAAAATAGTTTTAAAAGTAGCGAAAAGTCTTATTTACCAGTCTCACGCGCCCCCTGGTGGTGTTCAGGGGACTGGTACGCCGGAAACCATAGACTCATTATGTATCATTCTTGAGATCACATCCTCAACTTGATATTTATCCTGCCTAACACAATGATCTGATTGGTTGGCAATAACGTTGATCCTTAGCAAACAACTTCCTGGATTCTTATGTATTTTGTGATATCCGTTATTATTATAGATCCATGGTGGTATCCTGTCAAGTAGTTGAGCTGGTATCCTGGAGTCATTGTTGATTTGGGCATTGAAGATAAGCAAAAGTAAAAACAACAAAGATTAAATAAAAATAGTTTACTTTCCAGAAAACAAAGTACATATTACTTTCATTTTTCATTGTGCTAAAAATACATTTGATGCTTTGATTAGCAAAATTGGAAATTATGTATCAGGTATCAAAAATACATGTTTCACTGACCCACAACGATTCATATAATTGATTCGACCGAGTTGTTAACGTAGGAGAGATCAATGGTGTTGTAGAACTGCAGACAGGCTTTATACTGGAGAAGTTTCTCAGTCAATGGGCTAACACCTATCGCCTTCCCCTGTACGGATAAGTCAAGGTACCTAAAAATATCACACATTTCAAATTATCTCACATTATCTTCTATGTAGAAATATTATTGTTGCCACACCTGTAGGATATCCGCCAAAATACTAAAGTATTCATGACCAAAAGAATAGCTAGAAGAAAGAAAAAACTTTCTAAATTCCCTTCATGCAGTACGTTTGGGTAGAAATTTCCTGTAGATGAGAATTTCAGACATTTAATTGGATAACCACAGTTAATTGACGTATTGTTTTCATGAAAACCGTACCTCCAGAGATTAAGTATAAAATAATAATCATGAAAGCGCTAAGGAAACAGCCTCCGCCATAGGACAGCGTTAGAAAGTGCAGTGAGATTCCTCTGATATGACTGGGAGTTAACTGGAAGGCTATGAACGAGCCTACGGACAGAAGTTTCACACATAACAAACACAACATGTCTGTGGTTAATTGCCATGTTTTTTACTCACATGTAGGAGTCACAAGAGCTTCAGCAATACCAAGAAGGATGTATTGAGGGGCCAGGAAGTAGCACGGCATTGAAGAGACCTGTAAGACTTTCCCAGAGAGTGTTTGCTCCACCAGAGGGTAGCTCTTTCTATGAAGTTCAAAAAAACCTGCCAGCAACAGTGACAGGGCTGCAAGAAGATGGCCCAAAGCTGAAAAGGGAGGATGAACAGGGAGGGAGAATGAGAGGGTCTGTGCAACAATTGGGTGTGGTCAGGGTGGGGTCATTATGTGGAGGAAAAGACAGAAAAATAATATTTAGGTATGAGCTGTTATAATAAAGAAATCTCTGAGTGAGCTCACACAAATACATACCAATAACTTTAACTGGGGCCATTGGAGCTTTTCCCATGGCGAGGTAGCAGGAGGTGACCAACTCTAACAACGGGGCCAGAAACAGCAGAGGGACGATGCTGATGACATTCATTACCCCAATGGGCAAGAGAAAGTCACCCATATGAAGGTTTGAGTTCATAGTTTGTATGTAGTAACCTGAGGGAATCTGTGGGGTAAAATGTATTTGTAAATTTTGCATTTTGTATAATTACATTTCATGAGTATCGTTCTTATGCTTTGTACTTGTGTTATGCAGACTCGATAGAACAGTTGAAGACCATAAAGAGGGAAAAGCCGTGCTAGGACTTTGACATTCTCCACATGTGTCTCGCTGTAACGTCCCCCATTGTTCTCTTTGGCCCGATCCAGCCACGAAGTGACTTCTCCACTTATGTGGCGATGGTGGATACAACACATCCTCAAGGAGTTTAAGAAGACTCCCAGAGTGGTAAGCAGAGAACCCCCTGTGTAAAGACCACAAGTGCCTATGGTCACTGTGAATATTAATAGCAGCTGTACATTTGTGTGCATCTCTTTATCATACCTTTCTTTGGCCTGTATGTAAGTTTATTGCGAACCATGTTTATGGCCATGAGAGCCAGTAACACAGAAGTGAAAGGGATGAGAAATCCAAGATTCTTTGCCACCGACTGTTGGATATATGCTATGCCAAGAAATACTACGGTGGAATTCAGATTGACCAACCAGTAGAACCTGCATATAACACAATAACAATTACTGAATCTAATCCGCTCGTTTCAACCTTTGTAACATTAACGTGTCTAACAACTATTTAGTCTGATAGAATGATACCAGTTGAAGAAGGACAAAAGCTGGTGCTGGTTGTAACCTTGTAGGCTGTAGGCTCCCATAGGACATAGTATTGCTCTGATACCACCAATGCCCAAGGCTGCTGCCAGAAGGCCAGTATAAAACAGAATCTGCTGCTCCCGAGGCTCCAGCTGATGTGTGATGTGATGATTGTAAATGTAGAAATCTTCAAAAGGAAATGCCACCACAGGAAGCATAGCTGTTCCTTAAAGTAAGGATTATATTGAGTGTTTTCAGTGTAATTGTATAGGTTATAATTTTAGACATAAACACAAATATAATATAAGTGACAAGACTTACCAAAGAAATGAAGAAATGCACACAGGTAGAGGACTTTTGTCTTTCCTAAGTATGTTTCAGAAAACCATCCCACGAGGACTGGGGTCAGTGTGCTGGCTCCGACAAACATCAGATTGATGAATGCAGCCAGGTAGTTGTCGTACCCCAGCTTCACAGTGCAGAACAGAATCATATTGCATACAATCCCAAAGAATGTGAATCGCTCACACAACTCTACTAGCAGAACACAGATGATGATTAGAACTTTCTTTATGGACTTCCGTGATGGACGAAGTTCAGGCTGTGGTGCTGTCCTGAGGGGAACCTTGTGCAGTTGTTGCTTTCCATGAGACAGTCTTCGGTGGTCTTTTGCCATAACAGTTCCAGCTTGTTTGCTTGTTTACCCCTACGGTGAAAGTGGCCTCTTCTGCTCATCAGACTCGAACTGTGGGACTATCTCACACCTCAGGCTCAGAGACACACCTACACGTGCACATGCTGCAGAACAGCTTTTGGCTTGTGGTGGTCAAAGACTGTATGTGATGTTTATCAAAACCTAAGATGAGAAATGTCATATGACAACATCACAAGTCACACAATTCATAAATAACAGGTAACTAACATGCTGTGTTCCAAGCTCTGTGTATTTTTGTTTTACGTACTATATATAACGATTAACGAAATCCTAAAAAATAATAATAATAATAATATAATAATAAATAATAATAAGCCTGCTTTGGACATTAGGAGCTCATGCAGATGACAAACGCTAAACAAATGTCTCACTGAAGTGCAGAAATAGCCACCCTCTGCGCGCTCATTTGCTTGGTTTCTGGCTGTTATTAGAGTCAGTGTGTTAAATGAGTGTTGGAGAGGCAGCAAACGAGTGAGCGGAGTCATGGTAACAGCGTCCCTCCTGCGGCGGCGTGTGTGTGTATAACCCAGATCAGGCTGTGGTCCTGTGAGACTGAGTTGTTTGCAGACCTCTGGTAATAACGCAGGCGTAAGGTAAGAAATCAGAGTAGCTATCCCTGAATCAAAGTAATGTTGTTTGTTCAGCGACTTCAGCGTTAGTTTAAATAGCTAATGCTAGCTAACCAACTTTTACGCTAAGATTTTGCATTAGCATTAGCGCTTGTGCTAGCTAAGCTAGCTTGTTCACTGTGATTGTTCTGGGAGACTGGGAGAGTTGACAATAAATGCTAAAATACACAAACTCGTTTTGTGTTACATTAGGTAAATTCACCAAGGAATGTCCAATTTCGTCCCAAACGGCTTCAGCTCCACTCCACTGAAGAAGTCCAGGAGTCGAGGAAAAGACTTTCTCAAACCTCCTCGACTGGATTTAGATGTCGGGGTCCTTTCTGACGATGAAGATACGTTTTCTCTCTTATCCCCCATCTTTCACGATAGTTTTGACAGCGAAGAAGACAATGATAGTCGATCAAGTGGACTATCTTCCCCTAAGGGGGGAATGGATTACTCGTTGCTGTCAGACAGGTAAGCTATACCAAGTTTATACTATACTAAGCACTTCCGTGAACTAACGTAGATCTAACGCCATATGTTTTCTGTATTTTGCAGGTGTGAGTTGCCAAAAACACCCTCGGGTCAGCTGCAGAGTTCTGTAGCACAAGTGAAGACCTCACTCACTGCTTGGGAACAGTGGCTTGTAAATAAGGCAAAAGAAGATAGGATCAGGTTGGAAAAGAAGGCACTGGAGGCAAGCCTTATCTATTGTTATTCTTTTGTTCAGCCAACAGTCCTATTGCATGAAATGATGTAAATCCTGATGCTAATGTGTGCGACAATTAGGAGCAGTTACTTAAAGAAAAGAAAAGACAAGAAGAAAAGGACAACGAACAGAAGATTGCCATGATAAATCAAAAAATAGAGGAATGGCTGAAGGTGAAAAGAGAAGAGGTAAATAACTGTGTGTGGACATTAATGTGACATTGTGACTGATTACTGTTACTCATTGTGTTTTAATGTAGGAAAAGCAGGCGCAAGATCTAAAACAAAGCAAAGAACAAGAAGCACTAATGATAAAAATGGAAAAGCAGCGTGAGCTTGAACTCAAAGTGCAAGAAAAATATAAAGAATGGCTTCAAAAGAAAAATCAGGAGAAGGCAGAGAAACAAAGGAAACAGAAGGTAATAGTTTATTTTACCGTTCTAGTGGTTTAACAGTTTTCTTGATAATAATCTAAGATTGTCTGTGGTTGCAAATAGGAAGAAGCAGCACTGAAAGATGAGAAAGAAAAGGAACGCCGCAGAAAGGCCGATGAGAAGTTCAAGGAATGGCTTAATCACTCCAAAGCTAAAAGCACATTCAATCCCAAATCGGCTTGTTCAAGTAAATATTTCTCCTAACGCATTATGAATTACATTGTACACACTTGACATCAACAGTACTTATTTACTTAAGGACACAGAAATTTAGTGTAATTTAATAAATATTTTTCACCAGGTCCATATGGAAAAGCTTACCCATCTCCCAGCTTCTACAACCCAATCCCTTGGAAGCCAATCCCAGTCCCCCCGGAAACCGTAAGCAAGACAACTGACCGACCAGCGCAGAGAAAACCAAAAGGACAACACAGCCTCAGTTCTCATTCGAGGCGGCACAATTCTGCTCAGTCAGTGCAGAGGAGATGACACGACACTAAAGACAAATCTGTATAAAGCCATCGTGACATTGTATTTCAGAGCTTTTCTACTTTCATTTTCGAAAGTCGCTCTTGGGATATGTGTTTTATTATGTTTTCATAAAAAAAAATGTTTTTTAAAATAAAATGTTATTATGAATGATGGCTTATGTCTTTTGTAATGTCATGTCAAACAGTAAACTTAAACCAAAAGTGATGCTTGACATTGTGTATAAAGAACCTTTTAATCACAATATTTTTATTTACATACCAAATTCCGTGGTCTCTGTCGTCTGGTCTATTATCCATTCTGAAGTTGTGTCATTTCTAATCTCCTGCATTACTGGCATTTAGTCATCCAACCAGATGCCTGTCTCTGTATTAGTAATTTACAAGACTGGCTCACAATCACATAACATGCGGTGGTGGCTAATCACAGCCAAAGATAGACCTGAGTCTGTGGGACTGTGGCCTGGGCTGTCACACTCACACTCATTGTTTAGTGTCCAGCTGTGTCTTGTTCTTTAGTGGGCTGAGATGACGACAAGCACAAGCAGGGGTGGATAGCGAGTGCGTGTGTGACTGAATGCCCATTCCCTAAGCCACATCTCACTCTGCTCAGTGTATTTGAAGACTTAAAAGGTACTTAATTACTTATCTATTACAGATGAAAATATAATGCTTAAATATGTGTTTTTGACATGTTTATAATTGTAAATGTATTCTATTCTATTCTGCTTATAATGTATAGAATGTGAGAGGAAAGACTTCAATGCAATGCAGTGTGGTCCAAAGGGCAATTGATCTAGTGTTTACTTTTATGAGTGAGAGATTGCTTCAAGGTATTTGCTCAAAACCTGTCTTGCTGTTCTCAACTTCTTATGCATAGGCCTCCATTGTTATCATACCTCATATAGGTCGTAGTTTTAGTGTGCTTTTTATTATTATTTATTATTTTATTTTCCCAAAATGTAACTAAAAACATACTGAATTGTACAATAGAATGTGATGGATGCTTGCCAAAAACTTGTGGTAGCCTCCATATTCATCCTAAATTTTTTGATCATTATTACATGCTATTTTTTTTGTCCAGGTTTCCAAGCACATGTGTGAAAAATAAGTTTACATCCCAAGATGCAGTGGTGCCGGTGGGCAGGTGGCTGGAGCACACGCAGACAGGTAAGGCGTGTCTTTGCTTTTCCAGAATGAAACTGCAGCTACAGTCAGAGGGGGCAGCCAATGCCGGAGTCTAAAGGGCACACTACACCACAGCACTATCCCTAGAAATAGAGTGCAAACAAGTACCTTAAAAGGCCAAGGCAAATAATAGTATAATTTATTGTTTAAGGATGTGACAGTTTGGTCTTTGAATATCCAAAATCATTGTGTACAGAGCTCAGATGGAACCAGTTCAGCTGCTCAGGTCAAAGCTCAGTGTGTTTTGTTGAATATTTTTCACTTTCACTATGCAGTCTGCTGAGCTGGAGCTTGAGGATTCTTTCGACTTTCTTTTTAAAATCATCCTGGTGGGGGATTCGAATGTTGGAAAAACCTGTGTGGTGCAAAGCTTCAAGTCTGGAATTTTTATTGAGAAGCAACAAAACACTATCGGAGTTGACTTCACTGTTCGGACACTCGACATCGATGGAAAGAAAGTGAAGGTAAGGGGCCACTTGTGTGTGTCTTGTTTGTTTATTTATAAAACATTTCATTGTGAAGAACGTCTTTTGAGCTGTATGTTAAAGAATAAAGATTATGCATTATTTTTGCCTGTAAAAAAATAATTATGAGACTTTGTCATTGCATGTTTTAGAATGTGAAATAATGTAAGTAAAATGTATGGTGACACAAGTATCAAGGTTAAACAATGCTATCCGCCTGTCCTACCACCAGAGGGCAGAGTTGATTTTATTTTTAATGTTTTAAAACAACTCCAGGTCTGTGACAGATTAAAAATAATGTTGTAAAATGGAGAAAAGGGAGAGAAAAGGTATATTTTCCGTAATAATAATGATAATAATGCATTGGTTTTATGCAGCGCTTTTTCAGACACTCATTATTCATTCAGTCCATACACAGTGGTGATGAACTACTGTTGTAGCCACAACTGCCCTGGGACACACTGACATAAGCGAGGCAACCAGTTTCTGCCCTTGGCCACTCCGTCCAGCCATTCTCACACACACATACACGCACACACACACACACACTCACACACACGTACACCACACACACACACACAAAACTCATTCAGGCAATGTCTGTGAAGTGTCTTGCCTAAGGACACAATAACATTGGCATTTTGCAGATAAGAGCTGCCCCACTGTAGCACCTGGTGTTCCCAGAGGTCTCCCATCATAGTACTAACAAGGCACTGTCCTGCTTAGCTTCAGAGGTCTGACACGCACATGCAGGTAGATCTAAAAGATCTTAAAAAACCAATTGAGATCTATGACCGAAGAACATTGTTGGAACATGTAAAACAGAGAAAAAGTAGATTTTCCATGATATATTTCCTTTAAGATTTTTTGCAAAGTCAGGAGTTGTGTTTTTTTATACTTGTGTGAAATTATTGACAATATTATTCAACGTCAAGAGCGTGTTTGACTGATGTGTGTTGTGCTTGGATGCAGCTGCAGGTGTGGGACACTGCTGGTCAGGAGCGCTTTCGGACCATCACCCAGAGTTACTACCGCAGCGCTCATGGGGCGATGGTCACTTATGACATCACACGGCGCTCTACGTTCGAATCCGTCTGTCATTGGATCAGAGAAGTGGAGCAATATGGAGCTGCCAGTGTCATCGTCATTCTGATAGGCATGTATAACTATTACTCTATAACCGTCAAACAACATCAGAAAACACAGATATTCCCTACAGGTGTTCAAGCTTTCTTCAAAATAAGAAAAAAGTTGCTATAATTGGAGAGGTCTGATTCAATTAGAAAATCCAGAACTAACAAACTAATTAACAGATGTGTGTCCGTCATTGGAGAAAAAATGTGAAATGATCTTAATTATCAGTTAAAGATCATTCTGGTGATACGTGTTTGTCAAATGAGACCAGAGAGTTCTGTTCAAAGAGGGCGGTTCTTTCTTAAAACTTGGTAAAATACTCCTATACCTTTTAGTTAATACATTATCAACATTTAAAACTACCTTAAAATGTGAAATAATGAATTAGTGTAATAATAAAATATTGTGGACAAAAAAAAAACGTTGTTCTAACAAATATGTATTTTGAGTTTGAAATCAGTAATATGTATTTTATTTTATTTTCTACATAGTTGTTGTGGGAAAGTAGCTAATGACCTGTATTTTACGTGATGCCAGGAGTTTCAGCACAATCCTTTTTTGGTGTTGATACAATCAGTGAATTTATAATCTGTTATTAAACAAACAATTGACCAAAATAAACACATAAAAAATCAACCAAAAACTAAATTGAGTTTCTACCCTTTGGTTATGTTATGGTTCTTTTCATTTCAGGCAACAAGTCGGACCTCCACACCAATAGACAGGTGTTATTTGAGGATGCGTGCACACTTGCAGAGAAGCACGGTGCACTGGCCGCTCTGGAAACCTCAGCCAAAGCCGCGCAGAACATTGAGGCAGCCTTTGTCCTCATGGCCAGAGAGCTGATGGCCAGGACCGGTGTGACGGTCATAGACGAGAGCTCCCTGGAGGCTCCGCACTTCACCTTGAACAGTTCTCACACAGTCCACGGGGCCCTTACGCCTGAGAGGAACTGTAAATGCTGACGAGAGTAAAGGGAATTACCAGTGGAGTGTTAATTGTGAACATATTGATTTAATAGTTTAGGAAGGTTCATCCTGTCTTTTTAATAGTATTTGGTTCTTCTATACCAGACAATAGTAGGTAATAAGGTATTAAGATCGCTAACTTACTATTGTCTGGTATAAAAGAACCAAAATAACCCTATCCTATTGATTTAAGTTATTTCTGGAGGGTGGTTTTGTTTACAGCAGGGGTCTCCAACCTATAGCTCAAAGACAAGAATCTCAGCAAAGTCACTTCTAGAGTTACGTATGAGCATTAGGGGATTAAAAATAGTGTCTTCAAAGAGTACAGACCAGGAATAGGTAAAAAGGTACGGTACTCTTCTAGGATTTGGCCATGTAAATTTCTCCATTGTGAGATTATTAAAGTTTATTTTATCTGTAACATAGAAAGAGATAAGACTGACTTGCAGGTTAAAAAAACAGTGGAATAATTAAGTCACAAGTACCTTATTAATTAAAATTGCCTGTATTGAAAGATGGACATAGCCTAAATAGAAAATCTGTTTAAAATGTATGATTCACGTGACTTTTGTAAATTCAGACCTAACTGTGCACAAATTCATGTTTTATGGTTTTCGAACTGCACCTCATCTCTCACTCAACCCAAAAAAGTAGCTCTTAGTTGGGAAAAGGTTGGAGTCCCCTGGTTTACACAATATTTGCAAAATGGGAAAGGGAGCATAGTATATATTTTAACTTTTTATTGTCATTTTTGTCATTTGTACTTGTTGGTTACACAGTCCACAAGGAAAATACAAGTAAATTGAAACTGTAAAAGTAGCAATAAGACTTAAAAAAACAGTAAATAGTGCATTATGTTGTTCCTGCAGATAATTGGTTTGTAGCTTATTCATATGCCAGGTTTATTACATTCATAATTCAAATGTAAATGATCAATGTGAAAATGCATTTCATAAATAACCATATTATTTATTTGTCCAATATTATGCAATTTGAAAATAAATGTAGTACATTTCAGTGAATTTTTAATCAGAATGTTCATGTTATTATGAGTCTGCATCACCCTGTATTGATATGAAACCCATTTGTGTTTGAATTTTGAGTATAATAAATGTATGGCACATATGGCAACTTATGATGGGTAACTTATGTAGAAGTAATGCTACATTCCCTTTATAAAGAATATAAACAAACATTTGTATTCATAAAATGCATGTGGACTAATTTCAGTCATTCTTTCACAATCATACAGCACCTGATCTTATTATATAGAAGAAATTAAAATCGTAACATTAAAATAGACCCTAGAAATGCTACAGGGAGCGGCCTTCCTGCTCAAACACGAGCTCCACCGCCTCTTTCACATCCTCCACCACAAACGATGGTTGCGTGAGGCTGGGATCAAAGCGGAAGTCCCTGTGACCGTGAAAGATTCTCTGCTCGGTGACTTCAGAGGCGTCTGAGGGCAGCTCCTCCTGGTCTCTGCTGTACACTCCAGTACAAACCAAGACGGATCTGCAGCCCTCCGGAAGCTCCTGCCCTGGTTCTAACGCAGACCTCCCCAGTCCTGAAGAAGAAGAAGATGAAGAGGCTTCCCCAGACCCGGCTTTATCCTTCATCTGTACTTCGGTTTGATGAGCTATTTTGAGGTAGTGATTGTAGAGATTGGCACCATAAATGTCCGCCATTGGATTGTCACTGTGGACGAGAAAACCAGTGCGAACCAGTGTTTTAGAAGTCAAATCAAAGAGCAGAGAAGAACCAAGAGGCGAAACTCAATACAACAGAGTGTCGCCTCTTGTTATCTATATACTCTTTGATAAAAATAACAAATATGAATCACCTACCCTATCGCATATAACCTCTTGACAGGTTTGGTCCATCCCAGTCCCTCAGCCTGTTGTCTAATGAGCAGCTCTGCGTAGTTGTAAGTCACCACACTTGGTTTACCGATCAGGGCTTCATACTTCAAGTCATAACCTGTAATCTTTTTATACAAACTCTCCAAACACACCAGGAACATGCCATGCCCAAATCTGTAACCAAATACACACATATATATATATACACGTTTAGAAATGTGTTCTGTGTTTTAAAATTGCCTGTTTCTATCTGATCTGGTCTATCGTCACACCGTGGATTTTTTGCCTCCGCCATCCACAAGAGGTCCATGTTGCAGGCGAGAACAGGGATGTGAGGGTATTGCACCGTGTTCCAGTTGTGGTCAGGGCTGCCGTTCGTCAAGAGGACATCAACTATCAACTGGAGGTTTGTCTCCCATCTGACCGGCTCACCGAATAAAATGACAGCTATGGAAGCAGACAAAGAAGTTAGTTTTGGAAAATTATAAGAATCGTCGTCTAGAAGAGTTTACCATCTATTTTCTGTAGCCCTTTTGTTGGTGGTATCTAAATAATATAAAAACAAGTTAGCATGTTGTTGTGAGCATGCAATTCTCTGATCATGAGTGAGACACGTACCGTATCTTTAGGCCGTCTATCGTGATCCACAACGTCTAAGAGTGGATATCCATCTCTGAGCATGTCCATGGTCACAACGTCTTCAAACCCCAGACTGTAGTTTTTGTTTAAGAAAATGTATTTGGTTCATATATTTTGGATTATCTTATGCATGTATTTTACTTTCTCAAGTTCATATTTTTACTATAAAGTACCTATACGTTTTCTGTGATTATATCGGCAAGTACGTCTATACATGCAATCGCGCAATGGGCATTTTCACATAAAACAATGAAAGAATGGAATAATCTCCCAACTGAACTCAAAAATCAAGCAAGTTACAATATTTTTACCTGTGAACTGAAAAAGTGGCTGTTGACGCCAAACCTGTCGGCACTGATTGAAGATTGTGTTTTATCTCATGTGTCGTAATACAGTTTTATCAATATATTTAGCCCTAGGAAATGTAAATGTAACTGATGCAGAATGAATGAAATGTAGGGAATGGAAAAGTGTTGTTGATAGAGAACGGATGGATGCACTTTCATACTGTAAATAGTAATTTATTTTTCTTTGACCAGAGACTTCAGATTTAACTATAATCTGGTGCAGAATATATGTCTCTATGAGCTTAATGTCTCCGTACATGAGGTGTCTCCAACCTTTTTCACGCAGAGAGCTACTTTCCCAGGACGATAAAGGCAGAGAGCTACTCCTTTAAGTGGCCCTGGGAAAAATGTGTTGATATATTAGTTTGAACGAGCCTGATAATGGGTATTATTTATCATCACATATTTGTTACTAGTGACTATACAATAATAAATACTGATAATGAAGAATACAATCTAAAATATTAAGTATATCATTTCATTTGCTTATTAAATCCTAAATCCTTTGGCGAGCTACCTGGAAGAGGGTGTCGAGCTACAGGTTGGAGACCCCTGCCTTACATTGTCCCTTCAATAAAGCTTAACTAACTACTATAACAAGACTATTCTGTGGCCAAAGGCTTCTGAATGGAGCAAAGTGTGAGGAAAACACTGATAACAGACCCACACTGGCCAAACATGACGTGGATTTGAAAGGTCAATATTAACCCTCGGAGCGTCGGGTTTGGTAGGATACTTGTGAGCCACCTCTTCTACCGGACCCTGGCCAGACACCAGCACACACATCTTATGGAACTGCGTGAACATGCGCAAAGGACTGTGGGACAGCATCACCTGGTCCGGGGAAATCTGACAGAACCGTAAAGAGAAATGTTGAAAATATACAAGTTACAGAACAGTAGGAATGAGGATGATTTTTACCTCCGTGTCCAGCAGTTGTGACAGGTGTTCAGCTTTGGTCTGCCGCATGCAATTCCCAGCATTCGTAACAAACACCACAGGCACTTTGTATTTCCCATCCTGATCCACTAGTTTCCTGAAGCATTCTTTAGCAGCAGGGATCGGAGTCCTGCCCCGAACCAGCACCCCGTCGATATCAAAGAGGAGCCCAAAAGAACCGGAGCTCTAGAGTGGGGACATGTTTAGTCACACGTTAACTGTAGGTAAGTAAGTAAGTAAGTAAGTTTTTATTTATATACCGCCTTTTCACTGCAGATCTGAGTCTCAAAGCGGTTTACAATTGTTAATTTTGGGCATTTGTCTCTCACCCCACACAGAGATGGGAGCGGGGTCGCCAGTACAGGAGGCGCATGCCAGAACTATTGGACATATTTTTAGTGGTAGGGGAAACCGGAGTACCCGGAGGAAACCTACGCAGACACGGGGAGAACATGCAAACTCCACTCAGAAAGGCCCTGGTCCGACCAGGATTCGAACCCAGGGCCTTCTTGCTGAGAGGCGAGAGTGCTATCCACTCAGCCACCGTGCCGCCCGTAGGGACATTACCTTGAGTACAATAAAACAGGTTAAAGCAACATGTTTATTATCAGTGTCACGTTCCTGGAGGCTCATGAAGCAAAAATGTAGAACTAATGTAATGAAATGTGTATCTGTTAGAGGGGTTGATCTCTGGGATGGATGTCCAAATGAACTTAAGTCATGTTTAAAAGTATCATTCTGGATGATTACAGGAACTCAGAATCTTGATGTTTATACAGTTGCTTATGTAAATCCTATTGTGTACATTCACTCATACTAATTGCACTGTAAAACGAGTAGGCAAAGTAAGCATTAGCTTCAGACTACGCCCCTTCGGTCTTTCTCTCCTGTAAAATGTGTATAATTGTACAAGTGACCAAAACAAATTTGTTCGTTTGTTGAATAATAACTTTTTCATCTGCAATGAATTGTATGATTTTGACACACTTCTGCAATCCAATACTGCAATGCTGTCATACTTTAAAGGAATATAGGAGGATTATTTTCATTTTGGTGCTTCTGGAGGGTGAAGAGGGCGGTTCTTTCCTAAAATGTGGGAAAATCCTCCTATATACCTTTAACATATATATTGTTTGTTTAATGACAGTAAGTACAGTAAGATAAGATAAGATATGCTTTATTTATCTCACAAGGAGAAATTTACATGTCACATTTGGTATGGATAGTGCTAAAGTACTCCAGTGTGCACCAGACAAACACATACAATAAAACAAGTTTGATATATATGTTTAAAGGGTTGTGTTTGATAATGCCTCTTGGCCAGAACACCCTTTAAAAAGAGATCCACCAGTTTTAATGGGATTTTAATTAATTAGAAGTGACTGGTATGTGTTTTCATATTTACAATCTATGGTTTTACCTGGCAGTAGGAACGTAAGGATGGAGCATTCTTGTTCAGTCGACTTGACGCTCCTTCAAAGCCAGATTTCAGAAGCTGCCAGCCACTTTTCCACAACTGAACTTTCTGCATTCTTGGTTAGTGAGAAAAGCATGGACCAAACTGATAAAACACTGCCTCAAAATTGCCTCAACAATAACAAACTACAGGGAGGGACATGGTGAAGTCTCGCAGGCAGAGATCAGAACAGTCCAGATGTTTTCCACGAGTTCAAAAGAGTGACATTAAAGTCATAGATCTAGCGGTAGGTAAACAAAGAACTGCGCATGCGTAACAACTTCTTCTCGCAGGCTTTGAACGAGAATAAATGACACCGCCCTCTAGCGCCATGTTAACATGTGGTTCTCTGTGGTTCAGTTATTATTATAGATATAGATCCATGGTACAGTCCGGTCAGTACTAGTAATTCAAAAATAAAAAGGCGGGGAAAAGGGCGTGTCTACTCTACACAGCATCTCATATATTAATCTGTTTTATAATGTCTTTTGTGTGAACATATGGGTTTATTTTTCAATTTCTAATTTTCAACATTTGTTCACAGGAGGCTTTTAGGACATAAATGCAGGCATTTAAAATGTACATATATAGGATTAATCAAAAGTACAATTCATTAGACACTAGTAACATTAGTGCACGATTGTTGTTCTGATGTCAGCCAGTGTCAGATGTCTGGTGAAAATGTTTAAGTCTGTTTGTAATTTTAGGTCTGTGGGAGGAGCGTTCCACTGTCCGTCTCTATTAGAGGAAAAGGTGGACTGTCTAAAAGATGTGCTGAACTTACGAACCACACAGCCCTCACTGAGTCGTCAGTCTGACAGCCAAACCAGAGAACGGGGGTGGCACTTGATTCACAATTTCAGTGCTAAAACTTAGAGCTTTAAAATTGAAGGTGCTCTATGTATGATAATATTTAGTAATTTCATTTGCAGGACCTTAAATTTTGTAAAATCACCTATTTACAAAAATCTTCATTTACAATCGATGTATGATGCAACATGATCATTATTGGTCACTTTTCATATTTATCCAGAAATTCAGTCATTAGTTTTACTTATTTATTAAAATAAACATCTAAAAGCCATCAGTAGTAGTAATATCAACACAGTGCATGAATGAAAAGAACAAGGCATGAATATAAAATGTGTACCTAGACAAAAACAAACTAAAAACTCTCTAGCTAAAGCGAAGATCATTTTCCAGTCCATAGATTTTTGCCTTTAGAGTCATGAGCTCACCCTGGACCTTTTTGGTTCTGGCGTTGGTCTGACGTACTTCATGCAGAATTGCCAAATCCTGATTAGGTCCAACATTCAGGGTTACCTATTAAAGGCAAATTAAGAGATTGCATATTCATTTGTCGAGAATATAATCATGTGTTGGTGTCATACTACAAACCTTGAGAAGTTGTTTTTCTACATCTTTCAGCTTCTGTCTAAGGTGCTTTAGGTCCGTCTTGAATCCTTCTACCTCCATAGCTCTTCTTTTCTCCAAAGCTTCGTAACGTTGGGTCATGAGCTGAAGACGATTAGCCATTTTATCTGAACGCTCCTAAAAACACACACACATTATATATACGGCACAATTTTACAATCAGGACAAATGTCAGTCGCAAATGAATAACTTTCTACCTTAAAGATTTCCTTTCCCACATCCCCCTCCTCTCTGATTTGTGCCAGTTCAGACTCAAGCGCCACGCATTGTTCTCTAAACATCTCTGCAAGACGATGGGCCTGCTTCAAGTCTTCTTGTAATGCCTGCGGACACACAATAGATTAGCCTTCAATAATAATATCAAGTGACAAAAATATGAAAGTGCTTCTGCCTGTTGTGAAGTGATAAACATGACACCCATGGCTCATAATATATCGAGTACATTTGAAATAGAAATATCCCTTTGTTGTTAGAATGTTCCAATGAAATAAACTATTAAAAGCACTTCCATTTCTGCCAGATGGGGCTAATCTTCTGCAGATTTGAAAGTGTGAGTGTGTCTTGAGTATCGCAGAGAAAATAAATGGCAGTTCTCAAACATAAAGAAGCAAAAACTCTGGAATCGAGTCGAGTTACATTCTCTACTCTCATACCTTTACTTCCTCTTTATTTGAGTATTGTGGCATTTGCAGTGGTATTTGCCGTGGCACGTGCTGAGGCATATGCAGTGGTACATGCTGAGGGCGGTTCATGGGAACATCAGTGGGGCTTTGCTTTCTGAGGCGGTTGTGGCAAGAATCCATCTCCCTGAGCAGCTTGTCCTTCTCAGCCATCCAACTTTTCTCCAGAGCTCGTGTCTCAAACTTTAACTGTAGAAAATCTTTGGTGCTGTCATATAACAAGTTTTGAGTTTGCTGCAACCTGCGCAATTGTATGTTATGACAAAGTTAGGAATTGGATCATTGAATCTAATGAATGTGTGGAAACTGGGTGTAAAACCTACTTTTCTGTTAAAGCGGCGATACGTTCTCGGTCTCTCTGCTCTTGTGCCAGTGCTTCCTCCGTTTTAATCCGCATATCTTCAATCAAAGACTCCACCTGTTCTTTTGCCAGCCGAGTTTGTTCTCCCATCTGAGTTTGCAGAGCCTCCACCTGGTAAAGTACATTTAAATACCAAATACCATCAAACAAAACCAGCATTTTAATGTTTGCTAGTTTATGCTAACCTGTAGCAAGAGCGTCTCATTATCATTCTTGTATTGTTCCAGACTTTCATTCGTTTCCTTATTTGAGGATCTGCTGGTCTTTTTACCAGTTTCTCCTTGTAAAACAAAGCATTGCTAAACCTTGCTAGCAAAAGCATTCAATACAAACCAAATTATATGATATTTTATAATAAAATATATACATTCTGACCTTTTTTGCTCACAGCAGGCCTTATTTTTTGTGGTCGCAGACTAAGATTTTCTTCTAAAGTGGACTCAGGGATCTTTTGTGTAATGGCAACCTGAAACATGCACACAGTTATTAAGGCTGTATGATGAATACCAATGCAGTATAATCACAAAATGACAAAGTTGAGGTAGATACTTTGTGAGGTGGTTCGCGATGGAAATAGGTAATTTCGCCTGCATCTGGACCCACTAGGGCAAGAAGATGTTGAATTTTCTTTCTGTCCTCCAGCTCTCTGTACATAGAAATAAATCAATAAAAACAAACGTATGTATGCATGTTAGAAATACTAATAATAATAATGAAAAACTACCTGATTTTAAGTCTGTCATTTTCAGCATAGAGGCGCAGCGATTGCTCCCGCTCTTGGAAGAGGTAGACTTGCATGTCACTCAAAGCATTTTGCAGCTGTGTAATCTCTCCCTCTCGTTGCCGAAGTTCCCATTGTAGTTTATGCTGCAAGTACATTAGAAATGCCATGATACAATTCTATAGACAGTCTTGTGTTGGTTTCTTCATCTCACTTGGTCGTCAGTGATGCCTTTGTACTTCACCAACATCTGCAGCAGCTCTTCATGTTCAGAATCAAACTGAGCAATTTTCTGTCTGTAGAACTCCAGCAGCTCTCTGGAGGGTCTGAGGTACGCCAGGCGCTCCTGAACTGAAGGAAGAGGGGACTCTGGAGCCCGACCAGGTGTATGTGCGTGAGACCTTTAAGGAAAAATACATGACATTATAATGCTGTATAGCAAGATCCATGTCTACACTATTCTGGATTATAGGTTGATTTGGTTTACCTGTATGACCCAGCAGACTTTGTTGGAGATCCCATCTTAAACTAAAGAAAAAGCAAATAAATTACACCGTTACTTTATGAACATTGCATATACCCGGATGGCGTGTGTTGTTGGTGTTTGTGTTGCCATGAACGTCATGGAGAGTAACACAACTAGCTCAAGACACAATTTACTGTGAAAACTAAGGCTAAATGTTTGTACCAACGCCATTGATATTGGCCCTTTACTGTTTTCTTACGTTTGTGTCACCCTTTGAAAAGAAGTAGCGTAGTTTACTGATGGATGTATAATAATAATAACCGTTCGCTCACCACTAAATTTAAAACCCGGAAACGCAGGCGCCTAAATTTCTTCGTGAGAATAAATGTGAACGTGAACACGTTTAGTGACCCCTGTGGTAAACTGGTGTCATGACAGTCAAAATAAAACTACGAACCCATGTACCCACGTGACTACCCACATTTTTCTTTATTTTTGTTTTGTTCATGTTATATTTTATTTTGCGTTGTACTTGTTGAAATACTCCACTTCTACCTTCTCTGCATTTACATCTGTTACCGGAAACACTAGGGAACCGGAACGGTTTCAAGCGGAAGCGGTTTCGTAGGGGACGCGGAAACAAAAATTGTAAACAAACGCACGCATAATAAATGCGTTTTTCAACCAAAAATGTTTAAAAATACCTTTCAGAGCGGATTTTTGTCTATTTTATACAGCATTGGCAGCAAACCTCTACAAATATGGGACAAAAAGGTAGGTTAACCAAAATTATGCCGAGCATCATTAGCAATTAGCTAGCTAATGCTAGCTAAAGCCTGAAAAATAATCTCCTTTATTCAGAATCACTAGCGGGGCTGCCTTATGTGCCCCAGGTGTTGCACAATTGGTGTTAAATATATTAATGCACGTGCAGGCTGGTTGTAGCTGGTAATAATCAAACCTTACGTTAATCACTGGAGTCCAGAAAAGCAGGAATACTCATTTAGCGTTAATTACAATACAACATCGATCAAACCAAATGTGTTTGTCGCTGCCCACATTACAGAACATTGTGCGGAAACTGCCCCTGTTACTAAACAACTCAGAACATAAGAACGTCATAATGTCAAAACACTGAATATTACAATCCTTTTATCACTTAAGAAATTATTTATTATATTGTGCATAATTGAAAATATGTTATTGATATTTTAAGGTGCGAAATGGACACATAAAGAGGATTACAGATAATGACATCCACTCCTCGGTGCTTGAGGTGGAAGGGGCCAATGTCAGGTTGGAGATATTTTTTTTAATGTAATGACTAATTTAATTCCAGAATTATTTTAATTACTCATTCATGTTTTGTCCTTGCAGTACTACCTATATAACGTGTCCTGCAGACCCAAAGAAGACACTGGGCATCAAGCTCCCATTTCTGGTGATGATTGTCAAAAACCTAAAGAAATATTTTACTTTTGAAGTCCAGGTACAGCTCTAGAACATTTTACAATCTCCCTGCTGCTTTTTCAGTATTATTATTAATCATCTTTACTTTATAAATGTTTTCTTTTGAAGGTATTAGATGACAAAAATGTCCGCCGGAGGTTCAGGGCAAGTAACTATCAGAGCACAACGCGAGTGAAGCCGTTTATTTGCACAATGCCAATGCGGCTCGACGATGGCTGGAACCAGATTCAGTTCAACCTGTCGGACTTCACCAGGAGAGCCTATGGCACCAACTACAGTGAGACGCTTAGGGTACAAGTAAGTACACCTGATACTGCATCGCATGGCAGTTTTTTCAATGTGGTTTTAATTGCAAATGGCAAATAAAATCTTGTCTTTCTAGATCCATGCCAACTGCCGCATAAGGAGAATCTATTTTTCAGACAGACTTTATGCTGAGGATGAGTTGCCGGCGGAGTTTAAGCTGTTTGTGCCTGTTCAAAACCAGAAGGGAAAGGTGAGGTTTTTTTCAACAGATAATTATGAAACAACTACAACTTAAATGAATTTTTATGCCATTACCCTGTTTTTTTTTCAGCAGTAAACACAACCAACTCCTCCTGACAGTGATGTTTTGTTGTGAAAATGTGTTTTTTCTTTTGGGAAAAATAAAAGTATTTTGTGGACACTTTGTTTATCTTTTTCTTAAAGGTCTTTGGGTTTTTGTATAATGAATGTCTAACGTTTTGATCAACAAGGCAAGAGAACAACTTCTAGACTTAAGAGTTTTGAACATGGAAACCTACACTATCCTGTCCTCTTCCTATGAACTGTTCAACTCTGGGAGGATGTAGAGTGATGTGTTTCAGTGCATCTCAAATAAGGAGACAAAATGTGTGTGTAATGTATAGCATGAATCTAGAATCATGAAAGAAACATGTTTTAAAAATTAGTTCAAAGCCCAGGGAAATAACAAATATGTGGCAGAAGATTCCCTTAAAATCATGTGAATTATTGCATTTTTAATGTGTTTTTAACGGTCAAATTCTAATTTTTGAAGCAACTTGTGAGTCAATCTTCAAGGGGCGCTCTACAACTAAAGTTTGCTTCTTAATAAGCACAGCCAATTAAAACATAGTCCTATCATTATCAAATAAATAATTGTTGTCAGCCAAACAATCTTCAAAAATCAAAAACGAACCATAAATTTAACAGCAATGTGAAACTAAAAGGCTCCCCGATTGGCCACTTTGGCTAATTGGGATTTATAAAATAAAAAAAGACACTATCTCTAAAAAAGAGACCGAAAGAGCCATGAGAGATGATTGGCTGTGTAACGGTGGTCCTCTTTTTGTCTTAAAAAAGCTGCTCTAAAGATGTGACAAATGCATGACAAAAATAAACTGTTATAGAGTCAGGAACTAGTTACTCAGGTACATAGTTTGACTTTTGTTGATGGTTTAAGAAAGAAGAAAAAACGCCAGCTTTATTTTAATTCCGGAATAAATCGCTTTACTTTGAAAGTACAACCGGAAATCTCACGCTCATGAGTTAACTTGATGGTGTCGTCACTGGGTCCTGTCAAACTTCACTCGCGTCTTTTCTTTTTTCTCATCGCTGTTTTTGCTTTTCTCTCTCAAACATGGAGCGGAAAGTGGCCCGGGAGTTCAGGCACAAGGTAAGACTTTTATGAATCTCGTCAATGTTTGTCTTAATCCTGAATGTTCTCTACCTAACGCTATTAAATGATTAATTAAGGTGGTGCGCACTGAAACACCATCAAAACCAACAACAACGCAAAGACATATGTGTTCCTATCATGGATCTATAATAATATTGGTTACAACAGGAACATGAAATACATTTATAATAACATATTTATTATTAAATACTTCACTCAATAAAATAGCATTCCTTATCATGTAATAGTCTGAACTTGAGTAGCATTAAGACAAGACAAGATAAGTTTAATTGCATAGCACAGTTCTTACACAAGGCAACTCCAAGATGGAAACAATCATATAAGGCATTCAATATATTAGATAAATATTCCCAGTACATTAAAAAGAGTAAGATGCAATCCTACAACCTGGATTTGAACTTTGTCAGAGTAGAAACCTGTCTCACAATATTCTTTCTTTCATTCCATAATATTCTTTTATTTAGTGTATAGTTTGAACCATGTTGATTTAAATGAGAGTAAAAAATCGTGGGAAATATGAGCCAGGCATGAGAATAGAGATCACCACAACGCCATCTGCACTGCACACAAACGCAGCCTCCCATCCCCTCTGCCTGTCCCATATAACAGCCCCTTACAAAGGCCAATTATGGAGCCTGCGTATGAGAAGTTCAGCTGAGCGGAATGGATAGAAATTGCTTTTAATTTGTTTATCCAGTTAAAGGAAAAAGGTTGCCAGGCGTTGTATTTTTATCCTCATTGTATTTACTGTTAAGAGATATGTTAAAGTCATTCTCCTGTTAAAGGTTCCCACTGGTTTATGGTGCTAAGGTCCATGTTTGACTGAGAATTTATGACAGCCATAAAACCTTGCGTCCAATCTAACTGGGTTTCAAATGAGTTATATCTTATTCCTGTCACATAATCTTTCTCTCTGAAGGGTTATACTGAGGGCATGGGGGTATATGTGATCCATATTTGAATCAATGACAAAAGCTTGGGTACCTTTTTAATGACCAACACATAGTAATAATGATTTATGGTTTTATATAGTGATTTTTGGACAAGGAAATTATTCTTTCAATCCATACAGTGATGATAAACTACTATTGTAACCCCAACTGCCCTGGGATTGATTGACAACTTAATGGAAATGTCATGTCTTCTTTTGCATAATCGTAAGAAAGAGCCTTATGAGTCACGTTGGGCTGAGAGCTGATTGGCTGAGTGAGGGTGGTCCTCTCTTTTTCACTTTTCTGTCTGAAAAAGCTGATCGAAAGACGTGACAAAGGCCGAAACATACTTACATGTGAAAGGTTTTGAGAGAAGCAATTTAGATGTATTTTTATTACGTATAGATCCATTGTTGTGATTTTAGAGTTAGATACCCCAGTTTCCTCAAGTCAATGGATAAAGTATAATTTGTGTCACCCTGTCTTTATCTAGCACGTTGTGAATCTGTAAGAACCTGTAATGATTATTATTGGGTTTGCTATTAATAGGGAAAATATATGAAAAATACTGTTTATTTGACATCTGTTCTGACATGCGCCTCCTGTACTGGTGACCCCGCTCCCTTCTCAGTGCGGAGTGAGACACAAAATGCCTAAAAAACAACATTTGTAAAGAGCTTTGTGACTCTGGTCTGTGAAAGGGCGCTATATGAATGAAGATTAAAGATTACTTATACTAATTAGTTGAAGTTGTGGAGGCTATAGTTCAAACTCCGCCCCAAGCCCCAAACCAGACCACAAACAAACACAACACTCCTAAAACACACCTTCTCTGCAAAAAATGAGATTATCACGGTATGACGTAAATAAAAAAATAACCAGTCTGGTCCACTGCATTTTCTACAGCCTTGAAGGTTTGCCTTAGGAAGAATAAGGCAGATAATTATTGTAATGAACAATAATATTGAAACTATTCTCAGTAAAACATTTCTTTTATCATGAAAGAAAAATTAACAGTCGAATGAAATAACATTTAGTCTACATCTAAAAGACATTGTAAAGAAAATGTAAAGCCGATAAACGTATATTGTGATAAATATACGATGTGATAAATCATGAACAAGAATTAATAGTTTAGATTGTCTTTCTATAATAAAACAATGAGCAATTATTCAAAACATGTGAATATGCTGAGTTGTGAGATAAACACGAGCAGTTTGTTGTCTTTCTTTCATTTTAATATTTTTTTGTACAGCCCTATATCACAACAGCAGTCATCTCGGAGGACTTTGTAAAGTTGCCAATACGCCAACACAGATCAGAGAACAGTTCAAACACAATAGTAAAAAACACATAAGAGTCATTGGTCCATAGGAGGCAGATGACCAATATCCATAAATTTTGATAAATGTCCATAAATAAATTCACTTTTTTGTAGTGTAGAAAAAATAGTTTGGCTAAATATGAGCTAAAATTTCAACCACAAAAAAAAAAGTAAATTAAAATGAATATATTGTGAAGATAAACACGGATAATAATTTTTAGCATGTATATAGTGTATGTGCGACTGTTCACCTGTGTTGGAGTTCACTTGTAAGAGGAGACGGCTGACCTTCCTCCTCCTGCCTCCTCCAGCCATTATCCTCTGTGTGGGTGTGTGTGCGTGTTTGTGTGTGCGTGTGTGAGAGAGAAGGCGGGGCCACTTCTATAGCCATCTTTAGCTGTAGGAGCCTTTCCATCCTCCATACAGTCTCACGGTGTTATGATCTGAGCATGTGTTACATCAACCAGTGGCCCAAACGCTTCCTCAAAACTCTGCTGCGTCACCTCAGCTGCCACAGGGTTTGTGTGTGTGTGTGTGTGGGATTTTTTCTTCGTCTAAACTCCGACAAAAGTGGTTTTTCAAAAGTCAGGGATACAGCGTGTGTTTGTTTTTGTTTATAGACTGAAATTATCACGTTGTTTTTCAGGTCGAGCTGCTGATCGAGAATGAAGCCGAGAAAGACTACCTCTACGATGTCCTCCGCATGTATCACCAGTGAGTTCCACTTGATTTTCTGCTTTCCTTTCCTTATCGTTACTTAAGCAAACTGAATCTTGACTCTTGTTACCGTCGCGTAGTAGTCACAACTTGTGTATTTGCTGAAATTGGACTTAAGTTTACATGCCATAAGCTCTCGTTTTTATATGTTTATTATGTTTAAGCAGTGGGTGAAGACTCATTCCATAACTAATTCATATTTTTTGTCACTTTAGGTAGTCCTTGAGTGGATACAAGTTGTATAAATTCTGTGTTTTTGCATTGTGGTTGGATTTTTACGGCTATTTATGCATGTCCTTAATCCCAATATTTTGTTTTGGCCAATCTGCTGCCTAAGAATCGTGTGCGTTGTGTCTTTCCCACAAGACAATCAGACTATATGCATTTGTAGTCAATTTAAATGACATATTGTAGGAGTTCCAAAATTTGTCTTAGATTTATAGCAGAGATGATTAAGACACCAGTTTCTCTGAATTTTAAACTTTCCTCAGTATTGACCAGGACAAAAACTATTCTGATTTATTCTCACTTAAATCCCACAGAAGGAAAACAGTTCTCATTAAGTCCATTATTATCTTAAGGTCTTTATAATTATCCACACTAAAACCTGGTCCACGTGACTATTATTTAAACGTGGATCGCTCCTGGATGAATGAGGCTTTGAACGGCTTTATCTGCAGAACGATATTACATAGAGTGTGTAGGTTCCCCCCCTTTAGTCTTGACACGCTGAGGTATAATTGCGGAAGGGGCTGCTGCTGTAACTTTCTATTCATCTTGTACAAAGCCAGAGCGCAGAGTACCCATTGGCTGAGCGGCCGATCGGTTTCCACTGCTCCCTGACAAGCCTGGCCAGTTGAAAACAAAGGTCTTATTATATTCATCCCACGAAACAGGATTGGAATTGCACTTATCAATAATTCAGCAGAGAAACCAGGGGACAGATTTGATACATAAAGTGTCCAAACTGCTCTTCTACCTGATTTTGTCAACTGTGAAAAAGAAACAAAAGAAACAAGAATCCGTGTTGAAGAAATCTGCTCGTAGTTTATCAATGAGACTTCATCAAATAGTATCAGAAAGTGCTTTATGATTGTGAGAAGAGTCTAAACGGTTTGCCTCCACTTTGCAGCTACACCTTCAATGTCCTTTTTAGCTCAGAATCTACATAATTCTTGAACAAAATAAGCGCATCCTGGCTTCATTAACAAGAAAAGAGTCTCATTGTTTTAGTATTTTTCCACAATGTTGTTATCCTCACATGCAATAATCACAATAATCAATGTGTTTCCCAGACATTTTTAACATACTATTTTTTTTTCTTCTTCAGGTCCATGGATTTACCGGTGCTGGTGGGTGACCTGAAGCTGGTCATTAATGAACCAAAGCGTCTGCCTTTGTTTGATGCAATCCGACCACTGATCCCACTGAAACACCAGGTGGAGTACGACCTGCTCACGCCCAAGAGGTCCAGGTGAGTGCAAGAATCTCCAAAAAGAGAGATAGAGATAGATAGATAGAGATAAAGTTAGATTTTATTGATCCCTCGTAGGAGAAATTCAGGAGTCCAGCAGCAAAAACACATCCATCCATACACACAAAACAAATAAATGCATAACTCAAAAATGTAACATCGTGCTACAATATTGTAGGTCAAAGAAGCAGAGATGGAGTAGCTGCTGGTGATGAGCTGTTTCCTATCCTTGTTTGGTTCGGACCATTTTCTTTTCTTTGGTTCAGAGTGAAATTCTGAATGCTTTGTTGGCATTTTTCAAAAAAAAAAAATAGCATCCCATCAGTGGATTTCCGCTTTATCTGCTTGGTTTGGACCGCGCTTCCTCTCTGCTCTGGTCTGGATCAGTGTAAGATCATGAACAACATTTACAGGTAAAAAACAGCAAGAAAAAAAAAAACGACTGTAAATCACAAAACAACAACTGTTTTAGAGCTACTTAGAAGTTGCTTCATTTTCAGCGCATTCAAAAATGTATAAAACGTCTCACATACTACTTTGCCTTTAGTCACCGCTTCTCTTTTATGTGTGTAGGAAGCTGAAGGAGGTGCGTCTGGATCGGACTCACCGCGACGGTCTGGGCCTCAGTGTTCGAGGAGGACTGGAGTTTGGCAGTGGTCTTTACATTTCTCAGATTGTCAAAGACGGACAAGCTGCTAATGTGGGCCTTCAGGTACAGCACCTTCTCACACTAAAACAGGAGTCTCCAATGAATCGTTCTCTTCCAAGTACCTTCCCCAAAGGGTTTAGAAATTGTACTTTAAAGACATTAATACACTTTTATAGACCTCTAACTGTATCCATCTATGGCTTAATCTCCACTTTACCTCTTGTGAATTGTCAATAACCAAAAGTAAGTGTAGATTGTGCGGAATAAGACTAATGTTATACAGAATAAAATTATATAGCTCTTCCATGTGATGTGCTGAGATAAAGGCTGGGGTGTTTTCTACATAAGTAAGATACTAAATACTGAATAAACAGAGAGACACTTAGATAGCTAGATGCAAAAGGCCTGAACTCAATCAACTTTAGATCAAATCAAGCTAGGAAGCATAAAAAAAATTAAATAAAAAACAGAAACAAAAACAAAAAAATGACAAATGTAAACCGCTTTGTGACTCTGGTCTGTGAAATAAATAATAATAAAGATTACTTACTTAAATGTTAATATACCAACTATATTTATTTCTATTGAGGAAGAGCTCTTTGATATTTTTATTCTGAAAAAGTACAAGGTTGGAGACCCTTGCACTCAAATAATGTCAAATTTAGAGCAAAACTTGTAATATTTCCTAATTCCACTAGGCGGTGCTATGTGTCTTGTCACAACTGTATCAAGTCTACACTGTTCATTTGAAGCCATTTGTATTTGTTACTACAGTCCAATAGTCAACAACGGATTTTTATTTGACTTTAAATTCAAATAACTTTTATAATGTTATTGTCTGTCACGTCAACATTTGAACGTCTCCATGTGTCACGGAATTACAGGTTGGAGACGAGATTGTTCGCATCAACGGTTACTCCATTTCCTCCTGTATCCACGAAGAAGTCATCAGCCTCATCAAGACTAAGAAGATTGTGTCGCTTAAAGTCAGGCGTAAGTCAAGCCCTCAACAAAAAGCATTTCAATGTTTTGTGCAACAGTGGACTTATAAAAATAAAAAAAACTTTGACCCTTGTGATATTTCTTGTTGTTGCAGATGTTGGCATGATTCCTGTGAAAAGGTAAAACTCTCTCTGGACTATGTTAAAAAACAAATACCAAACCTGTTCTTGAACTTAGGTCAGAATGTGCCATATGAAACCACATGTGTCCACTGTCACTTGGTCCATGCTCTCATGCTGCTAACATGTACAGATATATACATTGCGCTAAAATATACAGTATTTTATATTTGCTTTTTAATTATGCTAAAAATAGAGACTTTATACTTGATATATGAGGATTTTTTCAATTTTTTGGAAAGAACCGCCCTCAGAGGGAAAAGGTGTCTTGCATATCTCCAGGATGATTGACAATTAGGAGCACCAATAGTCTAGAAGATGATCCACCCAGAAAAAGATCCTCCCATACACCTTTACTTCTTGCTTCTTTATTATGCTAAAGTTAGATATTTTAGTTCTATTTCATTTTAGTATAGAGTTATTGTTCATTTATTGTGTGTTGTGTGCTCCTCATTCCTATTGTTCTGTAACTGATGATACAACACTGACATTTTCCCACAAATAAAGTATTTCTTATTCTTAATTTTTTTTTTTTTTTTACGTGTGTCCAGCACCTCAGATGACCCTCTCAAGTGGCAGTTTGTGGATCAGTTTGTCTCTGAATCTGGGGTGAGACTCGACCAAGAGGCTGGATTTGTTTGTGATTCGTTGATTGGTATCTAAGTTCTAAGTTTTTTCTGTGGTACAGGAGAAGAAGACCAGTATAGCGGGTCTGGCGTCTATGGGAGGGAAGGAGATCAAGGAGAAGAAGGTGTTCCTCAGCCTAGTGGGCACCAAGGGCATGGGCATCAGCATCTCCAGTGGTCCCACCCAAAAACCCGGCATCTACATCAGCAACGTCAAACCCGGGTCACTCTCTGCAGAAGTTGGTCTTGAGGTAACGTTTCTCTCACTCCTCTCTTGTTCCGAAAATAATAAAGTTCCCATTTATTTTAATCTGAAATGCTGCCTCCCCATGATTTGTCCTGACTCTGGGCACCAACAGGAGGCCAGTCCCTGTGCTCCTCAGAGTCCCAACAGGAGGCCAGTCCCTGTGCTCCTCAGAGTCCAAGTTGCTTCATATGGCACTAACATGTCATGTGATGTGAATCTCTTAATCTTAATATCTTTAATAGATCAAAAAGTCAAAGGGGATGCAGGAAACGGCTGCTTAGCTCCTGCCCGGTGTTGTCAATATCCATCCTTTGTGTTTTTCTTCTTAGATCGGTGATCAGATTGTGGAAGTCAACGGCGTGGATTTCACCAGTGTGGACCACAGAGAGGTAAGAGATTGTTTACAAATCTGGCACCAAGTTTAATCAGACACAATGTGTGCTTTTGGATCAATTCACAATTTTTCAAACCATTTTAACAAACTGTTTCCAAAGAGGCGACCAAGCAGAACATCTCGTACTTACATGGATTTATTTAGTTTCAGGATTAAAACATCCCATTTAGTTCTGTGCATATTTGTTTTCTGCCTTTTAGCTAAATTCATATATATATTTTTGTTCCAGGCCGTTGAAGTGTTGAAGAGCAGCAGAAGCCTGACCATCACCGTTCTGACAGGAGCTGTGAGTACACTGCAAATAGAAGTGATAATGACAAAAATCTATCTTGTATTTTTTATATTTTTATATTTACAAAATAACATTCATAAAACAAACAACAAAATGATGGGGAAGGATACATGATTGTTATAGGGATACTTTTTAGGAACAAGTATAATACATTCTTCAAAAATAAAATTCTAGTGTTAGCCAAAAGAGATTTTTTTGTTTTTATTGTTTTAAGAAGGCTGCCGTGTTTCAGACTTTGTGCCTTAGATTGCTCTCTTGTTGCAAATTCCCAAATTGTGTTTAACTATGCATAAGAAGAAAGAAGAAATAAACACACATGTCATCTAGAGACACACAGTACGACTAACATTTTACATACAGCAGACACAATCTAATGAAAGAGAGTACTGGCTCTTCTGACTGGGGTCATAATTCTCATCCCAAACACAGCACTGGTTCAATACTGACCTTTGAAACAGAAGCAAGAATGATCTTTTTCTGTCGTTCTAACACTCAGATAGATTTATAATTTATTTGTGCATTTACTATATTGCAAATTGCATTACTTCCCTCACGGCTCAGTCAGACCGTCTCCAAGCGGGACATTCATTTATTCCACAAAGGCAGCAAAATACATTTCATTTGTCAGATGGCTTGAACGGAAGGGGATTAAGTTGTCCAATGAAACATCTCTGGTAATTACGTTTGAGCCGTGTGTGACACCAGACTAATGTCAGATTGTCAGGCAGAAGGACTAGTGGGCACATTCATTTATTTATTCGATTGCGGCAATGCAGTCATACATACTGTACAGCAAAAGATGTAACCGATCATGTGACAGATGCAGAATGTATAGCTAATGCTAATTCTAAAATACCATCCCTGGTTGAGCTTACTCTAGATACAAATTATACAAAAGTCATACCTTCAATTCAATTTATTTTTGTATAGCCGTAAATCACAACAGTAGTTATCTGGGAGGACTTTTCAAAACCGTTGAATTTGCCAACGCAGATTAGAGAATCAAACAAGAAATGCAATAAAAAACACATAGAGCAATTGGTCCATAAAGGGCGGGTGACCAATGTCCATAAATGTTGATAAATGTCCATAAATGTCCGTTGAATACCCTGGATCATCACCACTGTCCTTGGACCCTCCTGCATCGGATAAACCCACAACCATAAACACCAATTTCCAACAGTGATGGAAAATTCAGATATTTTCAGAAGCACAAATAGAGTTCGTACACTCACAGACACTGTCTCACACACACACGATTAAACCTGGAGGAAACGTATTCATGTTCACAGAAGAAATGCTTAATCCACAGACTAAGCCTTTCTTCTCCCACTTGAACAACAATAAGTCTATAGTTAAAGTGAACCAGACCAAGTATAGTGCGACCCCGGCCTAAGTGTGAGTGGCTGATCCTTCAGGGCAGCGAGCTCTTCATGACGGACGAGGAGCGACTGGCGGTGGAGGCCCGACGGGAGCTGGATCGACAAGAGTTGATGCATCAGAAGAAAGTTGCTCTCGAGACAAATAAAATAGTCAAAGAACAGCAGGAGAAAGAGAGACAGTGAGTCCTTAGTAGTTTTGTTACTGTAATTTTGCCTGCTAACTGAACAATTTTATCCTTAATAGAAGAAAAATGGAAATATCGCAGAAGAAAACAGAAGAGGAGGAGCGTTATAAGAGCGAGATGGATAAGTATGTGCACAGTTTTACTTTGTGGTATATGGAGAAAGGGCTTTACACTCTCTTGAGCTGCTGTTCTCTGCGTATTCTGTGACTTTAGGATTGAGTCTGTGGAACGAAAACACAACAGAGACTGGGATGAAGACTGGGGAACTAAAAACCGTCCAAAAAGTCCCAGGAGCCCTTCTCCAGCGCCACCCGAGCTCAAAACTCCCTCGCCAAAAGCAAAAAGTTCTCGTAAGGATTGAAACAGCTCATCTTACATCACTGCATGGATCTGCTCTAACCCAAATGTAGACGTAGATACCGGCTGCATCCAAATTCAGAAAAATATCCCCCTTTTTTAGATTATACTTGGGGTAACAAATGTTTTTAAAAAAGATTTGTGTTGTTTGTTCCAACAGAAAAAGTCTTGTAAAAGTAAAATCCATCCATCCATTTATTTTCTTCCCCTTCATCCATTTCTGGGTCGAGGAGGAAGCAGACAAAGCTGCCACCCAGTACACATAGCACGACAAGTAAATTATTGTGAACAATTCAGACCACACCCTTAGAAAGCAGTTTTTGCCAACTTGTACTTGCCCATCTCCCATCACAGAACTAACCAGATCCTACCCTGCTTAGCCTTGAAGGGCTGACATGATCTGCTTTTATATCATAATGCAGTAGATTTCCAATACACACAATTGCACAGTACATACAGTAATACAATACATGCCACTACCACAGAGAACATGAGACAGACATATGCAGAACAAATATTTTGAAGTATTTTTGATTGAATTTGTTTGCAGCCGATGCTTTAACTGTTTCCTCTTTGCATGGTCAAACTGTGTGCGGTGATGCCTCTTGTGTGCTGCTTCACAGAGGATGATGAAGACGAGCAAGTGAGTGTCTATATAGAAATGTTACGGACCTGGTGCAATGCTAGATTTCCTTTTGACAACCAAGATGAGACCAGTGCAAAAAAGGCTGTGGAGCTAAAGGCTTCAATATAAATGTGTGTCTTTTGGGGTTTGCTGCGAGCGTGAAACCGACGTGCTCTTTCATGAATGACAGAATGTTTTTGTCCATTTGTAGCGTTTGGCTGGTTTTATCGCTACGAGGGTAAACTTCCGTCAGGCCGCAAGGTATTGTGTGTGGTGTGGCTTGGTGTGTGGCTTTTGAAAGCTGTCAGAGGTGGGGGAGAGAAGCCGTCACTCTTCAACAATGAACCAAGGAAAGATACAGGGGAAAATATACCACTTGACTAAGAATAATTGCCATATGTATTATTTATTTGAAGTTTTAAACAGGGATTGACGAAACATTAATGGTAATGGGATTGACAAAACATTAAATAGTGCACAAAATACGTCATTTTAAAACAAGTATATACAGCAAATATACGTGAAATTCATAATATTGGAACATGCTTTTTCTTCTGTGATTCAACTTGGGCAAGGCAAGTTCTTTCGTATAGCACAATTCATACACAAGGCAAATACATAATCGCAGTACATAACAACTTACAATGTGAAACTAATTCTAACGATAGGCTTAGTGCACACAAGTGAGATATGTCAAGCTTTTTGTGTTGATTGTGTTAAAGTAACTGGCTCTCACAGCTTGTAAACCCCTTCAATAAGATTTTTTTTGTTTTTTTGTTTGTAAAATGGACATAGCAAATGACTGCAGAATATTGTTCCATATTCTCAAAAGTTGGATCACAGAAATAAATGAACATTAGAACATTATTCTAATTTTCTGAGTTTCACCAGTAGGTAAGGAAGATGGTAAATGTATGGTATCTGAAAGCCACACATTTAAAGTTACTCCAGGAATGTAGCTTCCCACCTCTGTCCAGTTTGTCATTTTTTTTCACATAGCGTGGTTTTGCCGTGACCTAGTTTCTTCATTATATTGATTGCTTTATGTGCTGCTGCTGCTGCTGCTTTAAAAATACATATTATAGAAAGGAGAAAAGAAGAAGAAAAAGAAGAAAGTCTCCAACACTGACACAATGCGTGATTTGCGAAAAAACAAAAAGGAAATGGAATTTGAGCTGAAACTCGCCAAAGAGAAAGAAGAGATGTACGAAAAAGAGAAGCAGCTAAAAATCAACCGACTGGTGCAAGAGGTACGGCCCTGAACTTATCACCACAAAGAACGCTGGATATGATTCTGTTGGACAATGTCAGTCCGGATTAGATCTTGCGATATTTTTTTTACTGTTCTGAAATGCCAAGGTTCTTTTGTGATTCTGGGGCAGGTTTCGGAGACGGAAAGAGAAGACCCGGCGGAGACTGAGAAGGTGCAGCACTGGGTGGAGCGACTTTGTCAGACACGACTGGAGCAGATCTCCTGTGTCGAAAATGACTCTCCAGAGGTAAAAAAAACCCACCATGTTTTATACTGTATATATTATTTACACATACAAAAAATATCACAGTTTTAGTGAACACTAGTCTTAAGAAATGTGTGTTTTATTTGATACACATTAAGCTGATACTGTCAAAAAAAGAGTATTGTAAACACAGATGGAGCGGCGGTGCGACTTGTACAGTGTAGAGTAGCCCTGTAGGTCATCTAGTGAGTTCCATCAAGTTAATCGATTAAAGCTGGGGTACTTAACTTTGCACAAAAAAAAAAGTTGTAATAAAATCTATTTAATTATTTTCCCCGCTCTCAAAACAGTTTGGCTCTATTACGGGTTTTCACATGCATCTATTTTCACATTTTAGTCAGAAGAGTGAACAAGAAATGACCACTATCTCTCTCGGCCAATCAGCTCTCAGCTCAAAACGTCAAAGAGTGATTCACAGGGTTCAGTAACATGTTTTCGAATAAGATGATTAGAGCATGTTCATGATCTATTCACAAAAGTGGAAGTTTCCAGGACTGTTTCTGTTGGGACGGACAAAATATGGATATGTATGAAACAAATAAAGAGTTAGTCACCTGAGCTTTAACAGTAGAATCTCACAGATGATGGATTTTACTTTCTGTTTTTCTGTTTTTGTGTTTTGAAGCTCTCCCCCCCACGCTCTCCTGCGTCCGAGCCGCAGGTGAGGCGTTTCCCGGGGGGTTTCAACTTGGCCACCACCGACCTGGATGACATCAACCTAGACCAGGTGGACCAGAGCCTGCGCAGCCCTCACATCAAACTGGCCCCGACTCAGCACAGCACCAACCAGCCTCCACCGCCGCTGCCCCTCCCACCCCCATCGCCCAAATTCAACCCCACCATCGCCGCCCACGGCTACTCCACCCAGCGCAGGCCGCCCTCCCCCCCGTCCCACAGAAAACCCTCTACAGTGCCCGCCTCCACGCTGACAAACAGAGGACGCAAACAAGCAGCTCCAAAAAAGGCGTCTCGAGGTGCTCCCTTCCCCCAGCACGCCTCCCGCCCGCCATCAAGTCCTCAACCAGCGCCACGACCCACGCCTCCCCCACCGCCACCTCCCCCTCCGCCTCCCCCACCACCACCACCACCTCCTCCTCCGCCGCTTCCCCCCCAGCACAAAGAGCCCAGAATCGCCCGGTATCGACAGTTCGAGCAGACGCCTCCCCCACTAGCCCCCAGCCCCCCGGAACACAGGAGCGAGTGGGAGACCGGCGGGTATCTCCCCAGAGGTGGCCTCTACTCCTCCAATAACAGCGAGGTGTCCTACCCCTCCAGCCCCAAGGTCAGAGTCATAGTGATGATTGGTTGCTCATAAGGCCGGGACAGCCTGAAGTGTTAATATACATTGTACTGTTTATTGTTACTGGTGAAAAACCGGATCCCTCGCCTTCTCCAATTTAATTAGTTTGAACAAGAAGCATGTAAACAAGTGCATGTTTTCTGGCATGTAACAACGTAAACTGATGGATCCTAGCGAGACACGACCACCAGATGCGTTCAAGATCACAGTCATATGTTGGAAAGTCATGTATTTGGAAGCATATACTGTACATATACAGTAAACTACTCGCTCATTTTGTTCTGTGCGATAAAGTACACATAATCAAATTCTCAAAGTAGATTTTATTGGTGGGTTTTCTTAATCTATCTTCCCAGCAACCAAAAGTCAAACCGGTTTGAAAATATATCCGGATAGAGTCAGTTTTTAAACATGTATTTGTATCTTTTGAAAACCGCACTCTATGTTTTTTAGTGAGACAGAAACAGCAGTAAATAATCCAAATAGCTTTACATGGAATGGGAATGAATGACAAAAGGTTTTGGCTACGGGGGAAAAAGCATTCAAAAACCCTACATCACTTATCAATATGTGTAGACGTGCGTCGTATCATTTCGATATTAAGAGTACAACTATAAAACTACAAATATTTCATTCTATATTTTGACATCTCCTAACACAAACAAGTGACCACATTATATATTCCAGGTAATGAGAAACACGTCCCATGTGAGTCGAGTATCTGCAGCAAGCACCCCCCTGGTAAGTCTCTTAAAGGTGCATTAAAGTGCTTTTCTGATGGGGTCTGCTACGCTTGTTGCCATAGAGATGTTATTGCTTTGGGTTGAATGTATTTTAGTGTGATAAAAGCTGCCTTATTTATTTACAGATGTTTTTACAGCACAAAAAGTTGAAATCCGAGTATGACCCATAACTTATCTATCTTATCTGAGTGATTCTATCTATGCCAAATGTGACATGTAAATTTGTCCATTGTGAGATCAATAAAGTTTTTCTTATCTTGTTTTTTCTTATTTTCTTGTCACCAGTGTAGATCGAAATTTGAACGCCATTTAGAGAAACATTAAAGGAAAACACACAACATTTATATGGACACAAAGCAAAAAGTAGACCCTACACCAGGAAAAATGTGCCTTTGTATGAGTTTATTTCACTATTTATTGACTGTCATTTATTTTTCGCAGCAGCTAGCCCCCAGCCCCCCCAACCAGCGGCGCCAGACCACCCCAATGTCCAAACCCGTCATGCTGCCTCAGTCACAAATGAATCGACCAGACGTGCACAGAACCGCAGTCCGCTCCGATGGCCTGGTATGAAATAAATGTATTGGTTTGAATGTACTACTCTGTTTTCAAGGACTTCAGTCTTAACTTTCATCCATTCAGTAATTAATGACTTGATGTCCCGTTCAAATTCATTTCTCTGCTGCACAAAAGATGCAAACACAGTAGGGTGTATGAATGAATGGAGGAGCTCAGTGAGACACCAGCTGTTTCCCCTGAAGCCTTCTATGGGTGTTACATCACACAACAGGGAGGCAACAAGTCAGCAAAATGTGTTTGAATTTAGATTATCTCATTTTTAATATTTTCAATTTTAGAGGTTTTCTCTTGGACAAACTTCAAGCCATTTTGTAAAAGATCTCCTGGAATGTCAGACTGTTCTTTTCACTGGATATGTTTTTTTTCTGAAATCAAATCAGAACAGAACAGAACAGACCTTTTAAAAATATATTCAAAATATTATATTAAGATTTCCAGTACTGATTATAGTGGTCAGTACAAGATAAATTTCTACCTTGACAGACAATATACAGTTCTATTCTATTCAATTCCCTATATGTAGTTTTAGGGCAGACCCTTAAATTCCAAGTTCACTGGCATTTAATTTAGCGAGTTTGATCCCATGTTGGCTGCACCCAATAACGAGGCTCTGCTCCTGACCGAACATCAACATCTGGAGATCGGTCTCCTGGCTCTGCATTGTAGCGACCATTGGACGATCTGATATCACTGATTAATTTAGTGTCGGATCCATATCAAAGTTGTTTGACCAGGACCCATGTTTCAGAGAAAATCAACTTTGGTATTGATCCTAGACTCTTAATTACTTCTCGATATCAGATCATGTAGCAACCACTGCTGACAGGTCGCTCCCTTGTGATAAACAATAAAGTATACCCTAAACTTTACCTCTTTTTTATTTTATTTTCCACACTCATTGGACTTGGTTTACTGCAACAGTCCAGGACCTCACTGATCTATTTCAAATGACGAGTAAAGGTTACGAGTTGTAGTTTGTGCTCCTACTGTTTACTAAAGTCCTTTCAATTCAATTTATTCTCTTGTATAGCCCTAAATCACAACAGAAGTTATCTTGGAGGACTTTACAAAACCGATAGATTTGCCATCAAAGAAACAAACAGTTCCAACACAAGAAATGAAATGGCATAAAGCACATTGGTATTGGTTCATTAAGGGGAGTTGACCAATGTCCGTAAATTATATCCATAATTGTTGTTGAATGTTGAGTGTCGTGGATCATCACCACTGTCCTTATCTTTATCATTACAATTACAATCAGACCTTTGTTGTTTGAGACACACAAACTATGGGGAGTTTCTAAATGTTCTTTGTGTCGGTCAGTTCATAATCATTTGCCCACAAAGTCTGTATTTTCTCACCATAGAACCTGTACATATAACCGACCACTGGGAGGCAGTAGTGAAATTAAAATGGAATACTTTTGATGTGCTTGGTGAACCAGGGTGCACTTGTGTGGTTCTTTCATATCTCAAAAAGAAAACCGCATTTAGTCTGAATAGTAGTCCAACAGTCCAATAGTCAAATAGTCCAGTTCAGAAGGAGCAAGAGTGAATGCACCATAAAAATACCTATAATTTAGATTACAGAAGCAAGAGTCATTATGGTAATTTACCCTTAAAACCCATGCTTTTACAGAAATCACAATAAACCCAGTTATGTTACCTATGACTTAAAACTAGAAAACTATGAAGAAAAATTGCTCTTGTGTTTGTAAATGTCTTGTCTTGTCGAGTCTTGTCTTTTGAACCCAATATTGTGTCTAATTATATCTCAGGGGATTTGTGTCTCCTCCCACTCTTTATGCCAATCAAGGGGAATAAATTGTTATGTAAATTTACCAGGAAGGAAAACGCAATTACCCCAGTGGAACCCAATACACCATAAACACCAGCACCTATATAGTGCGATGCATTAAAATTAACCTGATCACTGTGTTTTTCTTTTTTTTCTGTTTTTAGCCTCCGGAAATGCTGAAGCGGATGGTGCCCTACAACACATCTTTTAAATCAAACAACAAAAGAAAAGTAATCCATGGACGGCCGCCACGTTTGCACCTCCTGAGTGGCTTTCTCACATCTGCTCCACTGGATCCTCTGGGACTCCCCATCCTCCTCCTCCTCCTCTTCCTCCTCCTCCTCCATTCCCCCTCCTCCTCCCTTTGTTTGGCGTCTGTTGTGAATGACTGTGTGCTGCTTCTACAGGTTTTTGAATGAGAAAATCGACTTACATGTATTGACGTTGTGAGACAAGGTTCATCGCTTAACTATTTATAATGCATTAAAGCAACACACTAGCTTTGCTTAATTAAGAGATGCTGTATTTGTAGAACAAAAACTCTATACTAAATACAGTAAAACAAGATCTCTATCTCTAGCATCATAAAGAAACAAGTATAGAATCTCTATCTTTAGCATAATCAGTACAAAAACTCTGACTTTAGCAAAATAAAGAAGTATTAAATCTCTACTTTTGTCACAATAAGAAGCAAGTATAAAGTATTCTTGTCCAAGCTATATAAAGTAAGGAATATAATGAGGATTTTATTTACATCTACATGACATATAAACGCTATTACAATGTTTGTTCAGAGATTTGATTCAAAACAGACCAAAGCTGGATCCCTGAAACGTTATTAGAAATAGGGCACAGCTAAAAACATGAACAAATATGTATGAAAAATATTGAAAATCATTGCTTTGCTTCTCTGTTGAATGTCGAGTCTTCCCTGCAGGAAAAGGCCTTTCTTTAAAATCCATTCCTGTGGAGAATGGATGTGTGGTTTCTGCAAATTATTCTCGTTATTATTTTTAATCAAGGTGCCTGACTATAAATGACACTCTGCTTTTTTCCATTGAATTATTGAAAGGCTGTCGTTTTGGATTTGCCTGATTTAGAAAAGAGTTGAAAACTTGGTTGTCAAAGGAAATCTGGGTATTGCACTTGACAAAAGGTCCAACAAAATGTGATAGAAAGCTGCCTCTACTTCTCTGTTTCACATCGATTCACATTAACGAATGGTTTATTGATTGGTTTCCAGGTCTTTGAGAAGCATGGGGAGGACTTTGACCCCTACGCAATGGTATCTTTTTCTGCATTGGCTTTTGTATAAATGTGTTTTTAAAGAACAGATTTGGTGAAGAGTGCTTGTGTGTGTTTTTAAATTTTACTTTTATTATCTGAAGTTTTCAACAGACCAGGTATCAGGACGAGACGTGAGGCACCTGAGAATAAGAAAGGTATTGATTATTGTGACTCGAACTGCTGAAATTGAGCGACTCTCTTTGAATTTCCCATAACACACCTTGATAAGTAAATAGAGAACTGAAAAAAAAACAAAAACACTGTCCTCACACTGTTAAAACCAACTATAACTAAAATTCCTAACACTTCTGTGATGATATCCAGCAAAAACAGTGAACTAGACATACCGACACACACACACACACACACACACACACACACACACACACACACACACACACACACACACACACACACACACACACACACACAAATCCCTCCCCCTTTACTTCCTTAACTATATGATTCCTTATCTGTATGAATTTAATGTAAACATTGATTTACATTGTTTCTGTATGATGCAATTTGACACTTTTGTTCTTGATGCTTCCAATAAAAAATTGAAAAAACAAAAACAATACAAAACCTGTTGAAATTGTCCCCTTAATCTTATCGCACACGTCTCATATGTGTTATACTTCCTTGCTCTTTAAAGGCTGGACAGCTTGACCTGGCTCTGGAAGGAGGTGCGGACTCCCCTCTTGGAAAGCTTGTCATATCAGCTGTTTATGAAGGAGGAGCTGCAGATAAGAATGGTCCGTATGTTTACCCATAATGCTGTGTTCCTATTCCAGTTACTGCCGTATCATACTGTAGGATTGCACATTAACCCCATGTCATCCCCTACGCTGGAGCTTTTGTGATCAGTGTTCTGCAGTGTTGTGTGACCCTCTAACAATGTCCGCAGGTGGGATAGTCGCGGGTGATGAGCTCATGGCGGTGAATGGGAAGATACTGATCGATGCATCCTTGACTGAGGGTCAGAATGCTTTGGCTCGAGCCTGGAATAGCGGAGGGGTACGGTGCCCGAGTGTCAAAGGCTGTAAACATGTCAATTTGGGTTGTGTTTTTAAAAATAAGTGATGTGTGGGGTTGTTTCAGGACTGGATTGACGTGGTGATAGCTGTATCTCCGCCAAAGGACTATGAAGATGAAGTGTAAGCATTTAATTAATTGTTTTTCATGAGAGTATGTTGTGCAGCTTTACCCAAAATGGCCCGAGTGCAGAGACACTGAATGTACAGAATGACTTGTGTCTGTGTGCATTGTGTGCATGTGTACAGCCCCAAAGCAGCATCAGTCAGTCCCACTGTGACCTCAAAGGGACAGGGCAGTGCGTCTCTGTACAGGCACGGCTACCAGCTCTCGTCCTGGTAATGGACCTCAAAGATGTTTGCTGTGGAATTTGTTTTCACCTTGGTGCCCTGTCTGAACACATGTGACAGTCTCTCTGTCAATCAGAGGACAGCAGCTCTTTGTAGTGTGCTACCTTTAACCTTTCTGCAGCCGCAGGATTTATGACTGTGTCAAACCACAATGTGTATTCCTATTATGCTCTGAATGTCCTCAAGGCTATTTTCATTTATGTTCCTCCATGTGCCTTTCCGTGAAACAAAATGATGTTCTACCATGAAGCCATAAACTGGATTCTGTCCAACATAAATAAAGTCTGTACATAATGTTTAGATGCTGCCAGCTTTGGGCAGTTGTTCTGATTGATGTTGTTCAATGGGACTGTTACATGTTCATTGTCTTTTATGCAGTGACACTGAGTGATACTGTAGCAAAGACTTCTGGGTATTTGGACACATATAGTCATTCAAAATGTATAATGACATTTTCAAAACTAAATCAGAAATCTTTTGCTACAGTAGAAAGTTTGTTTTCAGTTTTCTCACTGGACAATACGGACCTAGCCTGGTCCTACCATACCATCGAACTAATTTCATTTTGTAGGGAAACGGTTATTGAGTTTGTATGGCTATGGCCAGGCTAATACTGATATACTCTCTTTTTAAAAAGCATTCATTTATTTGTGCATGTAGTAAATCAACTCAACAATATAAAATTATTCATTGTTTTTCGTTTTTTTGCAGAACTTTCTTCTGAACTTCTCAAGAGGTTCTGGATCTTTACACCGGATCGTGGATATTCAACAAATTACACAATCTTTAGCACAATATTTGTTTAATATCTGTTTGTTAATCAACACCTTTTTAATACTTATTTTTTGATCATTTTCAATAAAGTTACAGTTAGACAAAACTTATTTCATGATCGTTTGTTTACTGGTTTATCTAACAACACATGCTTATAATAAATATAAACATACATATATAAAGCTGGGGTACATAACTTTTTAACCAGAGAAAAAGAGTAGTCTCTGGCTCTAAAACAGTTCTATCACTAGATGCATGTTTTTCTGACCTCTGTCACATCTTTAGATCAACTTTTTCAGACAGAAATGTGAAACAGAGAGGACCCCCTCACTCAGCCAATCAGCTCTCAAATAGTGACTCACAGGGCTCTTACAAGTATGCAAAAGATAATATGTTTTTATTAGAAAGAAAAAAGCACATTGGAGAACCTTTTCCTTTCACAATACCCTTTATGTTGGGAAAAACTATTTTTTTTAATGCAACAAGAATGTTATGCAAAAAGAATCAATTAGTGCAAACCATATGCATGTGAACTTGGATAATTGCACTTATCCCTAGGGGGCGCTCTTATATAGCTCCTGAAATGTACTGCTCCACTTTGCAGCCAGTGCCAAGAGTGAGAGGTCAGTCTTCTCAATAATTCTGTCTAATCCCTGCTGCTATGGGATAATTACAATTAAATATCACTCTAATGAAGTAGGACCCCACAACCACAACAGCAGACTATACCATACACTAATCATGTAATAGCGCACGTGCTCCTGCTGCATCCCCCCCTTCTCTCTCTCTTTCTAACTCTCTCTCTCTCTTCCATGTTATATAATACTTGTGTTGGTTTCTCTCTGAAGTCGTATTCGTAGTTGCATACGTGACACAGTCGAAGCGGGCATCGATTGCTTAAATTGTGTCCGCTGGGGGTGAAGTAAGGACCAGGAGGCAACAGAGAAGTGCCCGTGGTGGAGGGGTGGTCTCTCTTGCCTCCTCCTCCACCGCCGACACTTGACAGTCCCTCGGCACCTGGGTTCAGGACCTCGGAGAGCGCCTTTTTTATATAAATATCTTCAACTACTACAGCAACTTCAGCAGAGAAACTGGGTCACACAGACTGTCAACATTGGCTCGTGCACATGCGAGCCATCCATTCAGGATCTCCACAACCTTTGCTTTCGCTTTCTCCCGGGTCCTGGATGTGACAAAGACCACTCGTTTTTATCATACCAGCGTGTATAGACAACCTCTCACACCATGATCTCACGCTACAAACCGGTAAGTTGGGTAAAAGTTGACTCCTTGTGTCTTTCCGTCGTGACACAGCCGTAATGATAGTAGTTTTAAAGGAGCTATGGGCTATGGGCATTTCGCAAATATGTCGAGTTATTTATACCAGAGAGGCTCATCCATCACTGGACTCGTCTCGCATTATTATGACTGAGATATAGAATGCTTGTCCATGCTGTGACAGTGTGTGCCCAATCTAATTCACCACACGTCTCACGCTATTCCTAAATTGTTGTGTTATATTTACAGTGTGTATTTAGATTGGGATAGTGGCCATTGATCAACCTGTGCTTTTTCCCCCAACGTGTGAAAGAGGCTATTTTTCATCTCTAGTCCTAATGGCAGGTTCATGTCGGATAGCATATAAACAGGACATAAATTAGGCACAACAATTATCACCTTCACGAATACAAAATAAGGCAGTGCATTACAATTTTAGCATGTATTCAATTTTAACCTCTGTCTGACAATTTATGTGTAACTTTTAGAATTATGCATTTATCTGTCAAGGCAAGTCTGTCTGTCTGTCTATCTATCCTGCTCAGGGACTACAGGTGTAAATTATCACTCCTGCTATAACCCGGAACATTGCATGCACTCTTTTCAGCTAATGTGTAATGTACAAAACAAAAAAATCATACCGTATTATTTTGAATGAATGCATGGACTGCAAAGGCATGTGAATTGAGGTTCCTGTGTGGACATATTTATGTAATGTGTTGCATCAAGTGGCTGCTGGTGTTGTAATGATTTTTAGTTTGTCTGACCTGTAAACCCACTCACACAATACTGGCATAAAAGGTTATCAACAGGACTGCTGCTGTCACTGTGCTCTGCTTTATTCTTGTGCATCTAAAGCTGGATCCCTCCTCCAGCCCTGTGAAAATCAACCAGCTTACAGTTGAATAAAGCAGAGTCCAATGAGTCTTGGGTTGGCAATTTTGCAAGGAATTATATAGCATAGGTGTGTGTGGAGGCTTTCCTTTTGTTTATTTTCACAGTGACAAATGTCTTTTGTCTCATCAGCTGAAACGCTTGCAGTTTTTTGAGCCACAAGTAACAGTTGTTGCGTGAACATTTAATTGTAGGTGTCAGATTCATGGCTGTAATTCAATATTTGCTGCCAGGCCAATCCCTCTTGTGTGTGATTGGAGAACAAAAGGGAATGAAGAAAAGGAGGCAGCTAATTACCCCATGTATGATTATTGACTGAGAATTGTCCCCAAACAAGCTAGGCACATGCATCAGTAGTAGTTACCAATCTAAAAAATAGGCCACCGCCTCATACAAATCACAAATTCAATTACCAACATGCATGATTTTCTGCCTGATTCTCCTTATGTTCTAAGCGATACACCATTTCTACCGTGCGGATATTCTGTTGATCTCGTTACCCTCAAACCAGACGAAAGCTTCCGGAACCCCCATGCAATTGAAACCTGCAGTAATAGCCTATTCTCCAGATAAAGTGGTCCTGACCAACCAGAGTTTTGCTATCAAGCCCTGCATTGTTCCTGACCGTTCGCCCAGCAGCACTGGAGATCAGATAATGAGATGAATGAGAGAATGTGCCTCCAAATCAACCCATTCTGTTTTAGGTTAAGATGGCTCAGATTAAACTCTATATCATTACTTGGAAAGACCAGGATGTCAGCACCTTAGCTTTGCACGTATCAGCAGTGTTCCCACAACCATATTAACAAGGGGGGATTGCTCTGTGGCTATTCCCTCCACATCCTCTGTGCCTGGGGGGGTGGGGGTTATAACCGCAGAGTATCCGAGAACATTCATAATTTATCCTCGGTTTTAAGTGAAACAAACCTGTGTTAATCTTCTGTGTAAATTACTGTTGTACAATAAATAATGAATTAGTAATTAGTCAAATCTTGCCTAATACTAAGTGAATAAAAGCAAGAGTATTGTGCTATTCTGCTTCTTTTTAATGCTACCAAAAATACTGTACAATATCCACCTTTATTACTGGTATCTTGCTGTGTGGTGGTCAAGTAGCATTCGTGATTCACAGCATGAAGGTGATGGGTTCAATCCCATGCTGGACTGGGGGTTTACTAAGTTTCCTCCGTAAAATCCTCCAGCAGCAATAGTCTTAACTCAGCCGAGCATCAACATCTGAAGATGGATCCCTGGACGCTGTATTGAAGTGACCACTGCTCTTGACAGGTGGCGCTATAGTGGAATTGGGGCAAATGTAGAGGACAAATTTCCTCCTGGGGAAAATAAAGTAAAGCCTTACCTTACCTCTGCATATCAGTTTACCCACATGATCAGCTGGTATTCACCAAAAGAAACTGGCAACCCAAATGACATGTGAGGCTCATTCTGCTTTCTGGTTGGATACACATAAGTTATTGTTAATAAATATATTTGTTCATGTTGACCGTGTGTCTGCATTTGCACATGTTTGGTCCTGGCTTGAGCCCATTTAAGCCAAGATATAAACCAAGATATAGACTTAATTTGGTCTTGCTCTAGATTTGGTTTGGTTTTGGTCAAATCCAGGTTTATCTCCAGCATTCTTCCCACTTTGGTCCCAATTTTAAGGCTTGAGTTTTTGGTGAGCATGAACTGAATGCACCCAAACAAATCTCAATAAGCATCATTGTTGTTCCCGGAAGTGTAACAACAATAACAGATTGGCTGAGAAAAACTGTGCCAATGAACTGAATATTTTAACACCATAATAAATGAGTCTTTTCTGTCCCGCCAAGGGGTAACGTGATTGCCTCTGTGTGTGTGTGTGTACACTATCAATCAATCAATCAAAGTTTATTTGTAGAGCGCCTTTCATACACATGGCAACACAAAGCGCTTCACAGTCCACATCACAAATCATCACATAAAACAAACACCAGAATCACAATTAAAACATTAAAATCACACAAAAGATTAAAACACAATTAAAACATTAAAATCACACAAAAGAATAAAACCATTAAAACTTTCAAAATTACACAAGAAATTTAAAAAAATAAATAAATGACAGCAGTGCATTAAAAATGGAGATAAAATCCTTCAGTTGTATGCACAGGCAAACAGAACAGTCTTTAACCTGGATTTGAACATTGACAGAGTAGACGCCTCCCTCACATTTTCAGGGAGATTGTTCCAGATCTTAGCTGCATGGATCTGAAACGCAGCCTCCCCATGTTTGGTTCTCACTCTGGGCACCAGCAGGAGGCCAGTCCCTGTGCTCCTCAGAGTCCGGGCCGGTTCATATGACACCAACATGTCACTAATGTATTCTGGTGCAAGGCCATGGAGAGACTTGTACACAAGCAGAGCCGTTTTAAAATCTATTCTTTGAGCCACAGGAAGCCAGTGCAGAGACCTGAGGACCGGACTAATATGGTCATACTTCCTGGTTCCTGTCAGGACTCTAGCTGCTGCATTTTGGATGTACTGCAGCTGCTTACAGGTCTGTTTGGACAGACCTGTAAGCAGGCCATTGCAGTAGTCTAGCCTGCTGGAGACAAATGCATGGACAAGAATCTCCAAGTCTGCCCTGGACACTATATTTCTAACTTTGGCAATGTTCTTCAGATGGTAAAAAGCTGTTGATGTTATTGATTTTATGTGGCTATTGAAATTTAGGTCTGAGTCCAGTATTACCCCCAAATTTCTGACCTTGTCTGAAGGAAGTAGGGAGAGAGACTGAAGTTGACAAATGACGCCCTCTCTTTGTTTCTGGGGACCAAAGACAATGATTTCGGTTTTGTCTGTATTTAGCTGGAGGAAATTATTTTGCATCCAGTCACTGATCTGTTGGATACAGTGAAGGAGCAAATCCAGTGGTCCATGTTCTCCTGCAGTCAGTGAGACATAGATCTGAGTGTCGTCAGCGTAATTGTGGTAGGACACTTTGTTTCTTTGTATTAACTGACCTAACGGCAGCATGTAGAGATTAAATAGGAGAGGTCCCAGGATCGACCCCTGTGGTACACCACAGGTCAGGGCCACATCATCTGAGACGCAGTCTCCAATCTCCACAGAGTACTTCCTATCCTCCAGGTAAGACCTAAACCAGTCTAGGGCTGTGCCAGTGACACCAGCCCAGTCCTCCAGTCTCTGCATGAGGATCTCATGGTCGACAGTGTCGAACGCGGCACTAAGATCTAACATGACCAAAACTGTGACTTTACCTGCATCAGTGTGAAGTCGAATGTCGTTTGTTACCTTCACTAGAGCGGTCTCAGTGCTGTGGTGGGGTCTAAACCCAGACTGGAACATATCAAAAGAATTATTCATTGTTAAAAATTCAGTAAGTTGTTGGGAGGCCACTTTTTCAAGAATTTTTCCAATAAATGGCAGATTCGATATGGGGCGATAATTTTGAAGTCCCGCAGGATCCAGACTGCTCTTTTTTAGGAGAGGTCTTATGACTGCTGTTTTTAGGGCCATAGGAAATGTTCCTGACGACAGAGACATTTTACTATTTGTGTCAGTGAAGGTAACAAACTGCTCAGGACGGACTTCAGAAATTTAGAGGGCAATATATCCAGGCTACATGTGGAGGAGCTCAGACTCATGATTATCTTTTTGACAGTTTCAGTATCCACAGGTGCAAAGTGAGTTAGCTCAAAAAGCTTCTCTGGCTGTTGCATTGTTATACGTGCTGTGGAGGTGATAGTGTTTTTGATTCCTTGTACTTTGTCATCGAAAAACTGTGCGAACTCATTACACCTAGATTTAGAGGAAAATTCTAGGGGCAACTTTACAGGGGGGTTCGTTAATCTACCAACTGTTGAAAACATAACACGAAAATTGTTACTGCAACCTCCAATAATGTCAGAAAAATACATTTCTCTTGTTCTACGTAGAACCCGGTTAAATTCACCCAACTCATCTTTAAAGATTTCATAATCGCCCTGGAAATTGGACTTTCGCCACTTCCGTTCGGCCCTCCGGCACTCTTGCTTCTGTGCCCTAACCGAGTCTGCCTTAGTCCATGGGGCCTTTTTCTTACTGGTAACTATTTTAACCGTCACAGGAGCAATGGCGTCCAGAACAGTCAGAACACTGGTGGTGACAGAGTTATACAATTCATCAACAGTAGAGCATGGAGTTTTCTCAAAATTTAGCATTCCCATGAACAGTTCACTTGTGTTTTCATGTATGTGTCTTCTTCTAACAGTTGTAAATTCAGCTGGTGGTTTGCTAGCAAAACACATGTCAAAAAATACACAGAAATGATCTGACAAAGCAACATCAACTACATTAACATTTGATACATTAACCCCCTTTGTAATTAGCAGGTCAAGAGTGTGCCCCCTGCTGTGGGTGGGGCCACTCACGTGCTGAATGAAACCAAAGGTCTCAAATACAGAAGCCAGCTCCTTTGCATTTCTGTCATCAACATTATCAACATGTACATTAAAATCACCTGTAATAACTAAACTATCAAAATCTGTGCACACGAATGAAAGTAGTTCAGTAAAATGGTCAATAAAATCGCAACATGACTGTGGTGGCCTGTACAGGACAATGAAAAGAGTAGAAGATTGCTTTTGTTCCATTTTAAAAGAAATATACTCAAACGATGAAAAATTTCCAAGGGGCATTCTATGGGAGACAAAGTGCTCTCTAAAGACTGCAGCTATGCCTCCCCCCCTTTTGTTTTCTCGTATTTCGGATTCGAATTTAAAATTGGGTGGTGTTGCTTCTATTAGAACTGCATTTCCTGTATTTTGGTCCAGCCATGTTTCAGCCATAAGCATAAAATCAAGATCATAAGAAGTGATAAAATTATTAATTAAAAATGATTTGTTACATAGAGATCTGACATTAAGCATAGCAAGTTTAAAAATAACGTCAGAGTCGATTAATGTGGTTGATTGATTTCTACAGGGAACAGAAATTAGATTTGCAGAGTTGGACCGTCTAACTGCTGTCCTGTTTTGATTTCGTTTTTTAGAATTTAAAAACATTTTTGAGCTGGTGCGAGGAACACACACAGTCTCAATTGGCCTAAAATGTGAAAACCCTTGTTGTTCTTTAGCTCCCAGAGTCAGAAGGGAGTCAGCACAGTTCAGTGTTTGGACTGGTAATACACTGCCAGACGGACAGGGAGCAGTGTTTGCACCGTTGTACTCACCCGGTGCTGGTGAGCAGGAGGCGGGGGAGTGCGGTGGGGTCCGAGGGGGCTCAGATGTAAACAGTCACTATGTGCATCAGTTTGTCTTTAGGAAGGATTGTGCAAAATCTACTGGACAGATTGAGCTGAAATCTGGTGTGTAGATGGATGTGATGTTAAAAATACAAGCCCATTCAAAATTTGTGACAATCTGCAACCTTTGGGGGGGTATGCGCTCTCCGAGTGCACGCTCTAGTATTCGAATTCAACATAATTGAGGTTCTAATTCAGAAAATTCTAAATCTCTCCAGAAAAGGTAATTATTGCACTGTTAAATGAAGATACAGTTATAAAAGCAACACTTTCTGATGGTTTCCTTTGATGACCACATAAGCTCTGAATTAAAGATGGCTGTTCCTTCAAGTGATCCATGTTTAAAACCTGCTCCGTCCTGAAGAGGTGCTGGCTCACGATTCCAACTCACCTCTGCGTGACGTGTGCCCAGCTGTCATACTCTCTCTCTCCAGAGTCCTCACTACCGCGATCCTCCACCCCTCCTACTTTTATCGGCTTCTCTTTCGCTCGGGCTTCGCATTCTGCTCTTGTCTTCCAAGGTCGACTCGGTTTTGAGCGGCTGCTGCTGCTGCTGCAACGGACTGGAATAGCAATAGAGGGGAGCTCGCTGCGGTCTGGCTCTTTCTATAGCTCTCTGTGCAACAAAAAAATGAGAGTTGAGTTGTGATGTGCATACCAGAGAAGTGAAGGATGCCTGTAGACAACGGACGGCCGGGATGCAGTTGCTGGATGGGAGAGCTGCTTAAAGTGGCGGACGTTGGACAGATTCGCTTCTCCGGACAGTGACACTTCTCCTCATTCACCGGATGTGTTTTTGAGGAAGTAGAGGCTTTGTAGTTTTTTTTTATCCAGCATGCTTTGAGCGTTCACCTGTTCTCCCTTCTCTTTCTTTCTTTCTTTCTTTCCTTCTCCCTCCTCGTCCTGGGCCCCTCCAGAGTCCGTCAGCCACAATGTCCTTGGCGTTCTGTGGGAATGAGAACAACTCGTCTGCCTACAACGTGGACGGAGGTGTGCTGAACAACGGCTGCTTTCTGGACGCCCTCAACGTGGTGCCCCATGTCTTTCTGCTCTTCATCACCTTCCCCATCCTCTTCATCGGTGAGTGAGGGTCTTAAGGGTGAGGGGGGTGGGGGTAGTGACTCAAAGGGGTACTATCATTCACTTACTCCCACAACACTGATCGATGAGTCAGCACAATGCCGACTGAGCAAGATCCATTCATCAGACACATGGGACATGTACACAACTGATTATTTCGCCTTGATGCATTTACTATTTACTATTTGGAATGCATTCATTTTGAAAAGGTGAGATTTTAAGTAGTTAGTTTAGTAGTGCAGATATAGCAGTAGTGAAGTGTCTTGAATGCATATTGAATATTGACATTGTTTGCATTACATTACATATTCCTTGGTTATTCAAGGTAATTGCTGCTATATCGGTAAAAACATCTCTTCTCTTCACATTTGGGTGGCTGTAAAAAAGTCCAATTACCCAGTGTTCAATTCCTAATCCACTGTATTGATTGATTTGTTGCGATTAACTTGGTTTTGCTCTCATCAATCTAGTCCTCTTTCCTCCTTGAATTGTCATTGATCAGAAAGCTGGTTAGAGTCCCCAGTGGTATTGCGTATATTGTGCTATTTCTGTGACTGAAATTTTCAAAATATTGTGATTTTCAACGAGGACTTTTCACAAGCTGAGAGCACATGATCAATTATTGCAAATAGAGGCTTGATACATCAAATATTAGTTTTACATTGAATTTTATAAGTAAATTTCAAACTATATTGTAAGCTCTCAGAACACATTGACTTGTTCTCGATCTAATATGTTCAAGTGTCGTTAAGAATGATCCGTGTCCGACGAGGTTTTTCATCTGCATCTGGGCGTTGAAGTTATTTTCTATCTGCTGAACTAGTCCTTGGAGCCAGAATTGATATTGCCCAGAGCTCGATTACTCCAGTCCCAAGGGAGGAGTCCAATCCTGAACAGCCCTGTTCCTCTGCTCGCCTCGCTCTAGGTCATTTCCCCTTCTCTCTCCTCTGTCACTCAGATGTGATAAACAGGGATCTACTGTATCTGCTGTGAGGAAGACGACAATGAAGGAACCATCTGATTCCAAACACAATGACTCCCTTTGAAAGCTTTTCTCCCATCAATTAATCAAGCATCTTTTGCCATATCTATCTTCAAGAGTCAAAAAGGCTGCTGGTATTGGCTTATTCCGTAGATGTCTGTGTGTATGCATATTTACACAAGCTCTGCATTCGCCCACATGTTACCAGAATATTTCACTCCAGTAGCCTCCTCTTAGTCTGTAGGATGGGTTGATGAGGAAGTTAATTGCTCGCATAATTTATGATTGTTTTGTTGATGTACATTGGGTGATTAGAACAAACATCGGTTGAACCCCATAATTACAGTAATTCAAATATGTTATATCAGTTCAACATGAAACAGAAATGGGTCGACTTCAAAGCGGGACAGCTACAACATTTCGCTAAAACATGCAGACATATAAAAGTAAATACATTTCTTTATTGTCCTGGCAAGCTCACACAAGATTTTATTGTCACTTTCTCCATTGTGAGACCATTAAAGTTGATCTCAGCCTAATTTATCTTATGGAGTGACCACCAGCAGTAAAATATTTGCCTGTCTTCACCTCACATAACCGCCACAAAGCCACCAATACGACTTATACGTTTTGCTTGGGCGGCTACTTTTCATATTAAGGTTAGATTTACATGGAATTATGAACATTTGTATTGATGGGGGAATTGTTAAACAGGTCTAAAATAAACTGTCACTGTAAAGTTTTGTTGGTCTTCCGTGTCCAGGCCTCAGGGGGAGGGCTGCTCATGGCTTCATTTCAAACTCTTTTGTATATCATATTTGCTGATACTCAGTGTGGGCTAGAGCTGCTTCCTACACTTGAGCTACACTTGAGAATGTTGCTGATCGGAGAGTTCAGCTTGGATCAAGGTTGGATGCGGTTCAGTGTTTTTCTCCTATTGCAGATGTGGGGTGCAGCCTTGGTACTCCTAATTGCCCTTTGGGTCTGAATAATGTGCTTTGTCCAAAAATGCATTCTCTTATATTAAAGGTCATGTAATAGCCTTGCTCTGCTCTCTACATGCCACCGATGGAATGCTTAATGAGGAGGCAAAACATTTTTCTATTGAAGCTACACTCTATGGAATGTGGATGTTCTGATAATATACTTCACTTATGCAAAACACGTTAATTATTCGTGCCCATGCGTTTGTCCAAGAGGCTCGAGTCATCTCACCCTCCCACGGATGTTAGACTTTTGTTTGGTTTAAGCAATTATTTTATCAATGGTGTCATATTTGCATTAGTTGATACATTATTTCATATAAGTTATGAATGTACTTATAATATATAAGATAATGTATAGATTCAGTTCTGTATTGATTTAGGTCTGAATGAAACTGACTCATTTTTTTTATAATGAGGGTTTTCTTGTATTTTTCTGCATAAATGGTACTTACTTTTACTTGTGTGTGTAATAATAAGTACTTCTTTTTGTTTAGATAAAGAATGATTTGCAGTTTTGTTAAAAAAGTTGCAGTGGTTCTACAGTGAGAGCTTGTTTCTTCATAACCAAGAAAGACCTGGATTCCATTCCCTTTTCTGTGTTTAGTTTGCATGTTCTCCCTGTGCCTGTGAAGTTTTCCCCCAAGTGCTCTGGTTTTATCGACCATAAAAAACATGCACTACGATGAATGTGATGAGTGAGTGAATGCGTAGGAGTTTAGAGCATTTAGTAGACAAAAAATGTCTTTAGCACCTGTATCATTTTCTCTCAAACAACAAACTTTACTTCAGAAAGACACCTACAGACTTTGTGACCAATGAGCCGTCTTCTTCTCTACTCCTGAAGCAAAAGCGCTAAATGAAAGTGTGTCTCTGTGACAGGATGGGGCAGTCAGAGCTCCAAAGTCCACATCCATCACAGTACGTGGCTGCACTTCCCCGGTCACAACCTGCGCTGGCTGCTCACCTTCGTCCTCCTCTTCGTCCTTGTCTGTGAGATCGCAGAGGGAATTGTGTCTGATGGGTGAGTTCTGATCGCAACCTTGTCTTGAAGAGGATACAATACTTAGAGAAAAGCAGAAAGCAAGTTACTGTCTGATCTTTGAGGATGCATTCTGTTTACTGAAAGAAAGCACGTTTTGTCAATGAATTTTTGTGCAGTAAAACAAATATTGAGTCTATGCTGGATTTAAATTTGCAATGAAACATCCAGTCAAAGCAGTAACAGTAACACATACTGCACAACTGCACACTGGAGTCTTGCACAGTTTTTCCAATGTGGTTTTACTGCAAATGGCAAATAAATTCTTGAATCTTGAATCTATCTAAAGTAGATGACTGAATTAGCACTAGAGGAAACTTGCATGTATAGTACTCATGTATGTAGTTGTATTTGACCAATGGCTTATACACTGTTATTTCGTTAACCAATAAAAGTATAATAGTTTATCATTCTCCTGCCTTTGCTTGTTTTGCAGCCTCAGTCAGTCCCACCACCTGCACCTGTACATGCCTTCAGCTCTGGCCTTCATGGCTGGCATCACATCCATCATTTATTATCACAACATCGAGACCTCCAACTTCCCCAAGCTACTCATAGGTATCGAATTATTCTTTGTATCCACCAACAATTTCTTACTTAGATTGTGTGTGTCCTCAGTAACTAAAATGTCTCACCAAACCAGGACAAGAGTGAATGCATGCGGCTGTGTAATAGTTTTTCCAGGATTGATGGTGAAATGGCTGTGGGCGCAGAAAGGCACCAATGTATGTCTGAATTTGAATGAAGAGAATGAATTATGCAAAAAGGAAAATACAGGCGCTATTATATTCTACTGACAATATTTGATAGCAGCCACAAATTAGAAAAATAGAGGTGTTAGGAATAGAAAGGATAAAGTTTACATGAGGCGTTTTGCTTTCTTAGGAAATGCTAAAGAGGTCAAATTGTTAACATAATTGCCACAGTTGATGTGTATCCATGCATTTTTATTTTATGGTTTTCTCACTGTTGCCTCCTCGTTGCATTATGAACTCGTCTGTGTGCAGTACAGTATTTCCAACTCCTCATCACGGCTTTGAATCTGAATTTCATGTTTGATCTTGGTCTCACTGTGAGACATACTGTAGCCGCACGTCGCTTCTGCAGCTTGTTCAACGTCATGAATCTTCTTAATGGCGTTTCAGACATTGACCTGTATGAAAGATTACTTTAGCTTAAGTCGTATTGGAGAAATTTGAACAGTTACAAAGCCACATTCAGATCTATTCTTGGATTACTTTTCACTCTTTTTAGTCTGTTAAAGCTGGGATTGTTAACATAAAAACAATAATTATCCATCACTGGTTTTCACATTCATGCACGGTTTGGGCTCTATCACATCTTTAGATCAGATTTTTCAGAGAGAAAAAAGGATCACCCTCACTCAGACTAAAACAAAATCTGACTCTTAAAACAGTTTGGGAGGGGTTGGAGTTAGGTACCCGGGCTTTAATATACAGGACAGTGATCATCCCGCTCCCGATGAATCAATGGCTTCTATGTCTTTATATTATTTCCTATTATTAGCATTTCCTGTGTTTTACCAATTTGATTCTTTGATCTATCATTGGCAAATCAACAACTGTGTAAAGTCTTCCATTCCTATGTCGTTCCTATGCAGTACCTAATCAAAAGTTTATTTGTATTTGCTTTCCAAACAGACACATTCAGATACAATAAGGTGAAAATAACAACAAAAGATAATACAAATAATAATAATACATACAATACAATTTCTTAGGCGCCTTTCTAGACACTCAAGGTCACCTTACATCGAAAAAAAAAATAAAACATTTAAAAACAGTTAAAATACAAAGTTACAAAGATAGAAGATCATATAAAAAGTAAACTCAGTAATTTGATGCGGCTAAACAACATGAGAGAGAGTTTAGTTTATCGTTCTGAGTCCTTTGAATCTCTTCTTCTTCTTCTTCTTCTTCTTACAGTGTGTCTCTCTAATCTCCACTGACACTGTTTGCTTCCTCCAGCTCTGCTCATTTACTGGGTCCTGGCCTTCGTCATGAAAACCATCAAATTTGCCAAATACACAGAGCACGGGATCGGCCTGAGACAGCTGCGCTACTGCATCACCGGGCTGCTGATGCTGCTGTACGGACTCCTGCTCTCAGTGGAGATCAACGTCATCCGGGGAAGAGTAAGAACCGACACCACTGCCTCAGCGTGAAATAGGAAAAAATACAGTTTGAGCAGTGATTAGCATTATTATTGTCACTTTTGTTCAGTGTCAAAATTGTATTCACCCTTTAATGTTCACTCCTTGAAGAAAGCAATGTGTAAAAAGCAGAATGTTTTTAATGTTTTTTTAATAATAGGTTTTTACCAAATGGTTGATGTTTTCAGTTTTTCATGGTCAAAGTGCCTAAAACAAAGTGATAGAAATGACCCAATGAGGTATATTTCAGTTTCAAGCTAGCACATTTAAGCAACCCAGGGTGCTTTACAAACACAGAACGAACCTTGGGAGACCAAACCATTATAGGAATAAAAATAATAATAATTAGAAACATAAAATATATATACATAATATGCATATACGCACTCACTAAATACATAGATATACACACATAAACATCTGTGATAATAATAAAAATAAAGTCAAAATATGAAGGTGTAATGACCCATATGACAACAGCTCAATTTTGAACAACATTGTTATGAAAGATTGATGTCTTTAAAGAGCGTCCTAGACATAAATGTACTGATGGACAAAAGTGTGCTTGACCTAGTTGCTCTTACGATGGGATAAGATGCAGTGTCGAACATGAAGAAGAAAAATAGATCCGTGGAATACTGACTTTACTTTCAATTGCAGTTCTTTAGCCTTTGGGACATTCCACTTTCGCTGTTGTCTGAAAGTGTTGTTGAATGCTGTGTTATAATTATTAGTATCACCATGATTTACACGCCATCTACTTCTTAATGGCTATTAGCAAAAAGTGGCTGTGAATAATTCATTTATGCAAATTCTACCTAATGAAAATGGGCTTTTACATAAATAGGGCTAAATATGGGTCTAATTGAAACTTTTTGACATAGTGCATTTCTGAGCCAGGTTTTAACATGGTAATGCTTCCTCAATTGTCAATCCAGTTGTGTACCCTGCACAAAGGGATCAAATTTGGCCAAATGTGTCTTAATTTGAGCACATTTTGACTGCCTTAAAACCATGCCAATAGGACAAAGCAAAATTATCTTTTTTTTAAAAAAGATGCAAGAAATGTCTCCCTTGGAATGAAACAAAATAGCAACTGTTCTTGAAATGAGACAAAATGGTTTTGTCCTATTGGCAAATCTTGTTTTAAGACCATAAGAATGTACTCGTATTTAGATTAAAAACCACTCAAGTCAAAACCCTGACTACTGTTATTATGCGTAGCTTTTGCCAACACTTGTGCTCACTCTCTGGAGACAGAAACATAACTGCTATATCTTCTAACTTCTCATTCCGCAGCGCTACATGTGCTTCGCCAACCCCACAGAAGTGAAGCCCCCGGAGGACCTCCAGGACCTGGGGGTGCGATTCCTGCAGCCGTTCGTGAACCTGTTGTCCAAAGCCACATACTGGTGGATGAACACATTCATCACATCCGCTCATAGACGTCCCATTGACCTCAAAGTCATCGGCAAACTGCCCATCGCCATGAGAGCGCTCACCAACTACATCAAGCTACGCAAAGCCTTTGAGGATCAGAAGGTCAGTGTTTACAGCACAATGACATTTGACACATACTGCCTGACAAGGAAAGTGCATCAGGCATACATTACTGCTTATTCACAATGACAATGATAAAGGTGTATGCTGTATTCCTCTCCCCCCTGGACCTTTTCAGATGTTTTCATCGTTTAGGTGTATTTCCTGTTTTGCTTCGGCTCAGATGGTAGAGCATTGGGGGCGGGTCCCAGCTCCAAAAGGTCCGAGTATGTGCGCTGACATGCTTGCAAAACCACCACGGGCCAGTGGGGGTGGACCCGGAATGAGAATTACCTAATACTTTTGCATACCGCCTTCTTTCCTCTGGAAAAGGTCTTTACAGGATGGTTCAAGAGTCGGCTCTTGGTCCAATGCTACGTTCCAGATGTGTGCCACTGCTGAGGGGAGTATTTAGCCTCTGTGGACTTCAGAAGGCACTCGTCTAATGAATGGGGCTAATGTCGTCTAACGCATCCGCAAATAATGTTTTTTTTTTTTTACATTTTCAAGCCCCCGTGGCCATTTTGAAAAAGCCCACAGAAGGCAAAAGTGATTAGTTTCAACGGCGGAGATAGGCGTGACTACAGTACATCTGGTAATATTGGCAGTCTATGGTTCAAGCCCACAGCAAGACCCTCTCCACCGACTGCCACTGATGTCTGCTGTCGTTGTGTCCTTGGGTTGTACTTCCTGTTTTCTGATTACCTGCCCTGTCCTCATGTGTATCACCTCTCTCTTGTTAGTCTTGTATTCAAGCCCCGTGTGTCCCTCCCTGACTCCATGTTCCGTCATTGTCATTCTTTGTCCGTTTTAATTCCTGTCGTCAGTCCCTGTTTAGTTACTTTTTGTTTACTCTGGATTTTCTTTTTTTTTTTTACGTTTTATTAAAGCCCTTATCTTTGCAGTTCTGCACTTTGGGTTAATTTCCTTTTGCCACAATGACAGATGTGGTGACAATTGGGTCCATTTGGCCGTGGGCTTGCTTGCCCTCTCACCCTGACAGGCTGAATTATAAAGACGCAGTGTGTTAGTGGAGGATGGGAAAACTTTCGCACATTTCTATTCAAAGTACTGAAGTATACTGTACAGTTGTAAAGATTGCGTAACCTTGGTATAGCCTGAAGGACTCCACAGGCTTCAGTGTGACCCTTCCACTGCTGCATGTGTCGCCACTCAGTTTGGTGAACTGGAAACACCACAGTTTTATGTTTTATAGTTGTAGAAGCGCACGCACGAGTGGATCAATGGCTTCATAGATTTATATCAGCCGCACGGTGGATCTTATTGTGCCTTGCTCCTTTCTACAAGCTCAGCTGATGTGTGTGTGCAGTGTGCAGGACGCAGACAAATGCAATTCATTCATCACTGTGGGTAAAGCACCTGCCAGAGCGGGTTTACAGCGACGCTATTACTTAGTACTTGGCTTCTCCTACTCTCCTATGACCAATTTATTTGTGCAGTAATCTGTCACGCTCCAAACTTCTCCCCTGTGTAAGTGGCCGCGGAACAGAATGTGCATCTTTTACAATATAACAATCTCCATTCCTCCAGGCAAAGAGACAACACTGGAACTATGTTGTCTGTTGTGCTATTGCGGCAGTCAAAGCTAAATATTTTTAATTTTGTGTTAATGTAAGCTGTCAACTCGTGCTGTAGGTGTTAAATTGATGATATTTTTTTCTTTAATTAATTTGTTGCAAGGATTTAGACCTGAAAGGAGAAGGCTCAGAGTAGATTGAGATTTGGGACCAAGATCACGATTACTTTGGACATGTACGTGGCCATACCTGCATGTGAAAGCTAGATCCTGTCAGACATCTGAAGCTATGTAGGGCAGGGCCTGGTTAATACTGTGATGGGAGACGGCTGCAGCTGTAACGTGCCAGGCTATCGTGTCCTTAGGCAAAAGACTTAACCCACATTGCCTAGAATGAGTCTGGTGTGTGAGTAAATAGTTGGTGGTGGTCGAAAGGGGCTGATGGCACATACTGATTGCCTCGCTTTTGTCAGTGCACCTAAGGGCAATGCGAAGCGCCTTTGAGTGTCCAAAAAAGCACTATATAAAACCAATGCATTATTATTATGTCTTTAGTACATCCAAAATCAAACCCACACATCCAAACGCAGCGGATAATTTTGTATTTTGAAGTAATGCATTCGTACATTTTGTCTAGCCTGTCTTCAGTCCGTGGGGGTCTGGGATCAAGGGTTGTTGTTTTCCAGTGTTTGGAAGGTTGCGGTACTCCGTCACTGCTGGGCGCGTATCCGGTGTAAACGACGACTCTTCCTTCCGCTTTAACTTTGAGATGAGAGAGAAATGTTGCTAATCCCAGTGGAGGACGAGTATTAGTGGAGGAGGCCGGACTTGTGAATTGCACTAGTCTTTCTACTGTGAACTCGGTGACACTGTGACCTCTGGCGACAGCGCAGTGTGAGAATGGAGCAGGGATTGAAGCGGCTTTTGCTCCGGGCTCAAGGTAACGCTTCTGTTTGTGTGTCTTTGATGATGACGCACATTGTGACACTCGCAGCGACTGTTTGGAAATGGAAAGGAAAGTTCTGGAGGATGGTCACGTCTGCTCCCCACCCCCCAGTGCGAGTGAGCATGCACGCTGCAATGCGATGTCCTTCTGGGGGAAAAGTCAGGTTTTATCTTCAATCAATCAATCAATCAAAGTTTATTTGTAGAGCGCCTTTCATACACAGGGCAACACAAAGCGCTTCACAGTCCACATCACAAATCATCACATAAAACAAACACCAGAATCACAATTAAAACATTAAAATCACACAAAAGATTAAAACACAATTAAAACATTAAAATCACACAAAAGAATAAAACCATTAAAACTTTCAAAATTACACAAGAAATTTTAAAAAAAATAAATAAATGACAGCAGTGCATTAGAAATGGAGATAAAATCCTTCAGTTGTATGCACAGGCAAACAGAACAGTCTTTAAACCTGGATTTGAACATTGACAGAGTAGACGCCTCCCTCACATTTTCAGGGAGATTGTTCCAGATCTTAGCTGCATGGATCTGAAACGCAGCCTCCCCATGTTTGGTTCTCACTCTGGGCACCAGCAGGAGGCCAGTCCCTGTGCTCCTCAGAGTCCGGGCCGGTTCATATGACACCAACATGTCACTAATGTATTCTGGTGCAAGGCCATGGAGAGACTTGTACACAAGCAGAGCCGTTTTAAAATCTATTCTTTGAGCCACAGGAAGCCAGTGCAGAGACCTGAGGACCGGACTAATATGGTCATACTTCCTGGTTCCTGTCAGGACTCTAGCTGCTGCATTTTGGATGTACTGCAGCTGCTTACAGGTCTGTTTGGACAGACCTGTAAGCAGGCCATTGCAGTAGTCTAGCCTGCTGGAGACAAATGCATGGACAAGAATCTCCAAGTCTGCCCTGGACACTATATTTCTAACTTTGGCAATGTTCTTCAGATGGTAAAAAGCTGTTGATGTTATTGATTTTATGTGGCTATTGAAATTTAGGTCTGAGTCCAGTATTACCCCCAAATTTCTGACCTTGTCTGAAGGAAGTAGGGAGAGAGACTGAAGTTGACAAATGACGCCCTCTCTTTGTTTCTGGGGACCAAAGACAATGATTTCGGTTTTGTCTGCATTTAGCTGGAGGAAATTATTTTGCATCCAGTCACTGATCTGTTGGATACAGTGAAGGAGCAAATCCAGTGGTCCATGTTCTCCTGCAGTCAGTGAGACATAGATCTGAGTGTCGTCGGCGTAATTGTGGTAGGACACTTTGTTTCTTTGTATTAACTGACCTAACGGCAGCATGTAGAGATTAAATAGGAGAGGTCCCAGGATCGACCCCTGTGGTACTCCACAGGTCAGGGCCACATCATCTGAGACGCAGTCTCCAATCTCCACAGAGTACTTCCTATCCTCCAGGTAAGACCTAAACCAGTCTAGGGCTGTGCCAGTGACACCAACCCAGTCCTCCAGTCTCTGCATGAGGATCTCATGGTCGACAGTGTCGAACGCGGCACTAAGATCTAACATGACCAAAACTGTGACTTTACCTGCATCAGTGTGAAGTCGAATGTCGTTTGTTACCTTCACTAGAGCGGTCTCAGTGCTGTGGTGGGGTCTAAACCCAGACTGGAACATATCAAAAGAATTATTCATTGTTAAAAATTCAGTAAGTTGTTGGGAGGCCACTTTTTCAAGAATTTTTCCAATGAATGGCAGATTCGATATGGGGCGATAATTTTGAAGTCCCGCAGGATCCAGACTGCTCTTTTTTAGGAGAGGTCTTATGACTGCTGTTTTTAGGGCCATAGGAAATGTTCCTGACGACAGAGACATGTTTACTATTTGTGTCAGTGAAGGTAACAAACTGCTCAGGACGGACTTCAGAAATTTAGAGGGCAATATATCCAGGCTACATGTGGAGGAGCTCAGACTCATGATTATCTTTTTGACAGTTTCAGTATCCACAGGTGCAAAGTGAGTTAGCTCAAAAAGCTTCTCTGGCTGTTGCATTGTTATACGTGCTGTGGAGGTGATAGTGTTTTTGATTCCTTGTACTTTGTCATTGAAAAACTGTGCGAACTCATTACACCTAGATTTAGAGGAAAATTCTAGGGGCAACTTTACAGGGGGGTTCGTTAATCTACCAACTGTTGAAAACATAACACGAAAATTGTTACTGCAACCTCCAATAATGTCAGAAAAATACATTTCTCTTGTTCTACGTAGAACCCGGTTAAATTCACCCAACTCATCTTTAAAGATTTCATAATCGCCCTGGAAATTGGACTTTCGCCACTTCCGTTCGGCCCTCCGGCACTCTTGCTTCTGTGCCCTGACCGAGTCTGCCTTAGTCCATGGGGCCTTTTTCTTACTGGTAACTATTTTAACCGTCACAGGAGCAATGGCGTCCAGAACAGTCAGAACACTGGTGGTGACAGAGTTATACAATTCATCAACAGTAGAGCATGGAGTTTTCTCAAAATTTAGCATTCCCAT